TCCCCCAATGCCTCCCTCGCTGTTAGACCAGTCCAGTCACGATATCTACCTAGCTGAGGGAAGATCCGGCTAGCTGCTCGGCTTGATGCAGTAGCTCCAACGTCCCCCCATGCGGAATAATAACCTATCGGTGGGGTAGAGTTCGAAACAACTCAATGTCAGTCTCATCCAGCCAATCCGCGGCCACAATCAGGGACTCCAAGCAGAAATGAAACCGTTCGAAGACGACGCAAAAGTCCTAGTTCATTCGAAATCACACCAGTACTCAAACTTTCTGTCTTGATATCTCGAGTTTCACAAAGCATACAACTCGCCACCGCGGTAACTCATTCTTATCTACGAGGTACCTCGGCAGGTTTGGCATCAGGTAACTAACCTTGTAAGGCCTCGTCCTATCTCGACATCGCTCGATTACTCTCCAAGTTTTGCGGCTAGGGGTATCGATAATAAACGCTCCTGCGTCCCCATTCTTCCTCGGTCTCGACCCAGATATGGCCATTGGACAACCCTGAACGATCTTCCATCCTTGAATCACATCATATTTCTGGATTAGTCCTGAAGTGGTCTAGAGTGAACATGTGACACACTCCGTCAAAACTCACATACAAGCAATCCGCACCGAGGATCTTGGCAGTCACTTGGAGTCCGGGTGAACTGGTAACGGCACCATCCGTCGCTGCTCACGGAGTTCCTTTTTGGTAAGGGCGTTCTGCTCCAGACGTCGATCAACAGGGTTATAGAGACCTTGTCCTCCTGAGCGCGGAGTCCCTGTCCGAGCCAGGTTCTCTCCTGATGGAATCGTTGGATGACCAATGTATGCGTCGCTAATTGTGCGTGGGAGTGACACATCACGTCGGATCTTCTCCAATATCCCAAGGTGCTTCCTCTCCTTGTGCTGTTCTCGACGGTTGGTTTGTTTTGCATCTTGTAGGTCCCTCTGTTTGTTGTTCACGCTCGGGGAGACAGTGATTTGCCCTTCATATAGTTCTGCCTGGTGTATCTCATGCGCTTCGGTCATGGCACTAGATGACTTCTTATCGCCCATATTTCGTATTATAGCGTCTTCAAACCCGACGAGTTCTGTAATGGGGATGTGATCTGCCGGTGATTTACTTCCCAATACACCAGACCGATCCGGCTCTGCGGATTGCCGAGGACGCTTCGGCGGATCTGCCCTGACCTTTCTCCCACGAAGGAGCACCCCTTGTATTCGGTCCCTATGGTAGGGCATGCTTTGGACAAAGCGGCAGGTTTGAGGAGCGGTCTTCCGGAGAGCGGTGTATGTGGCCTTGTCGCCCTCTGCGGCAAGTCTGTTTGCTTTGAGCAGGACGCTGGCAAGGTGGACTGCAGTGTAATAGGTTGGCATCAGCTGGCCCGGATCCTTTTTCTCAATAGATTTCCGGGAAACGATTATTGGAGGCGATCCCTGGGATGTTTTGGATGACAGCCACTTCCCACGTCGTAAGACTGACCATGGCGGAGTATTGGCAATCATCTTCTGCTCGAAGAGTTCATAAGCAAGGAGCCAATGTTGTTGATCTTTCGACAGTGTCAAGGTCTGAATATACATGTTCCAATTCTTACTGGTCAACGCAAAACCAACTGCCTCTAGCTCAGCCACGAGGGTTACAGCACGAGATTGGAGGTCGCGGACGGACAAACTGTGCAGGTACCGTGTCAACGGTGCTTCGAGAATGTATTTTTGCGAGGGAAGGATCGCGAGCCCGGGTTCATTCAATGGACCAGAGGGCGGTAGATTCTGTGGAATCATCGACTCGAACGAGAAGTCCTCCTTTGCGATCAGCGAAGAGTCGGGTAGACCTATTGGCCTTAGCGGCAGAAGTTGCTGGGTGCCAGGGGTCGTATTTTCCCCAGGGACTTGCTTTCTGGTTGCACGGGAGAACCTTCTTGCTGTTTGGATGCCGCATTCAAGTATTTGTTTCCAAGTGGCCTCGACTTCCTCCCAGGTATGATTTTCAGTTGAGACCATCAAGCGCCTGGTCAGAAACTGGATCGAGGTAGAAGCAGCATCGCCTAAGATGAGGTAGGACGACTGAGCGAGAGATTGGAATCTCTGAATGAGCTTTTCTGCGTGCTTGATCTGACCTCTTGCCGTAAGAAGGTCAATAAGATACTCCAGATATACCGTTGGCACGGCATCGACGCCTCGACGGCGGTGCAGACCGGGTTGTGGTTGACGTGCTGCTCGATCCGGCGTCGAGAGCTCGTGAAGGATCTCTTCCAAATACTGAGCAGCAAATCGTGGCCGCTCATTTGGGATAGAATTTCGACTGGCCTGAAGATGTAGCATCGCAAGGCGTGGACTGGCGCCGATCCTAGGAAACCTCTCAACCATTTCTTGGTAAACAACATTGGCCATATCTCTGCCACCTTCTTTTGCGAATCCGTGCAGTATGATGGCATAGTGAAAGGGTGTGGCGGCAAGTGTCTGACTCAAGCTCAAAGTCCTGAGTATCTGAAGCGCATCCCGAGTCTTGTTCAGAACCACGAGCGCTGTCATGAACGCAGCGTGAGTCATGGCATCCGGCTCGACTCCCAGTGCACTCATGCTTTTCTGAACACGGAGCATACCATCAGAATCTGCTGCGAAGGCGTAGTGACGTAGTAGATAATTCCACATTGTGACAGGCGAACCCTTAAGATTGGCAGCGGTGGCTGCTTCAGCTAGCCTTTCGGCGGCCTCCGCTTGGTCATTGACACAGTATGTTTGTATCAGACCAGTGACCAGTCCATATGACCCTTGTACTTTATTTCGCTGGGCTTGCTCAAGAATATCGAGCACAGTATCAGTGTCACCAGTTCTTGAGAAGATACCCATCAGGGTTGTAAAGGTGAACGCATCCGGCGCAACACCCTCAGCCTTCATCTTGTCAAAGACTTCAAAAGCCCGCCAAGGTTTGAGAGATCTAGAGTGGGCATAAACCAGGATATTCCAGCAATAAGAGTTCGCGCGTATTCCATGGTGGATCATCGACTGAAACTCCTGTTCTGTCCCTTGCACATCTCCCAGGCGAGCATATGCATACAGAAGAGGCGTATAGTACGCCACATCAGTAGGCCGTGAGTGGGCTTGACAAAGCCGAATGAATACTTGCTGGACACCGTCGACGTCGCCCTGAGCAGCCAGGGCTGACAAGACTTTCTGGTAACTCTTTTGATCTGCAACACCGTGGAATTTTGAAAATTCGTCCAGATAGCGGTTATACGTTTCAACAGGAGCTCCTTCACGGCAGTGTATCGACAGCAACGAACCAAAAGTCTGGGGTCGTGGAGGTACCTCCGGGAAACTCGACCGAAGTGTTTTATACACGAGATCAGCCAAAGTTCCCCTGTCCGGTCTGATGGCGACTTTGTTGATGGTGTGGATGGCAGTGACATAAAGAGATGGATTCGATAGGGAGAGGTCGTTCGAAAGTTGAAACAGATGCTGCAGTCCTTGCGGTGTGATAATGCTCATAAGCGTACCATTTCTGACCAGGGCATTCAGAAGCTCGTGAAATAGTGTTGAGAGAGTTCCTGAATGCTTCATGGTGACTGTTGCCCGCTCCCGCAGCTTTGTTCCGAGTTGATAGATTGCGAATGGTAGATCGCGGTAATTGCCTATCTCCTTTGCAATGGCAAGGCGGGTCGGAGATGTTTGCCCTGCGCGAAAAGGAACTCGCTTGAAAGAGGTGTCCCATACTGAAGCAGCAGTGTTCCAGAGCTGGTTTGAGACAGCATGCAATAAGAGGAATACACTGCAGCCCTGTTGTATATTGCGTCGGGTGGCACGAGCATTGATTCTCAAAGCTATACGGTAGTTGCCAGCGATTAATGCGCATCGAACAGCCCGCTCATAATCATCTCGAGTCCTGTGCTCTTCGTCGATCAGTCTGAAGGCACTTAAAGCGAGACTCTGGTCCCGCCTCCTGCTCGACTTGGAAAGGAAATGGAAGACTTCAGGTGCGTGAGCTTGCTGGTTCGGAATCTGGTTGAACAAGGCCCAAGCTCGGTCAAAATGAGCGTTTTGCGACTCTGCCTGCACATCCTTATTGACATCGAGAATATGTAAGAGTTGTTTTTCTGCTTCACTGACGGCCTGAACGGGGTGTTCGTTCCATGCCTCTTCATGCGCGTCTGCGGTAACCGCACCATCGTCGCTTTCTCTTGCAGCGTCCTCAATTATATGTCTTGGAAGATCCGATTGTGGGTGGCGAAGAAGTACATCTCCCAAATGCTCCTCTTCCCTGACAGCTACAGCAATAGCTTTCTGCGAGGCCTTCGTGGATCTAGTATAGGTTCGAGAGGATGAGGATTGAGGACGGGCAGAATATCGATCGGATGTTGAGGTTCGCACTCGCGATCGACGAGGGATCTCGACGAGATCGTTTAGCGAGGACTGTCTCGGGGACAGTAGAGCGGACTCGCCGCCAGGTGGATTTGGACGAAGAGCTCGGATGCTGTTGAGGTACAATGGCCACCAGTGAGGGACGTCCAGCTGGTTGCCTCCATTTTTCCAGAAAGAGGGACCAAGCGCACGGTGTGTGCGAACAGGAGGCTCGAGGCGTCGGAGAAAGAGTTGGGAAGCTGGTTCAATGCATGCTGCAGTACGCTCTATCATGCCACGATCGAGACAGTCGACGTACGGTCTAGCACAAGATGAAAATTGCTAACTGTGGTGACGGACTGTCTTTCTGACATATAGAGATACGTGGGAAAGTCACAGAAATGACAACGCGAAGGGAGAGGGTGAGATGGAAAGCCAATGTGAAGCGACGATATGTATCAGGTGAGAGAAAAGTCGAAGGGTAATAATAATAAACGAAATGTACGAGGTATCTGAGCCTGCGTTGGATAAGCTCGCTAACGCCGCTTGCGCCGCTGCTAACTGCACACACATTGGGAATTATCCCCACATTTATGTCTGCCCTCACTTCTCGGCTGCGCTGTGATAATTCTGGCTTCTTGCGCAACCAGCTCTTGCTCGACTGGCTTCCACCATGGATATCACCAGATCGATCGTCTCCGAGCGCGAGCGGGCTTTGCTAGGAGGGGACTATGATGCCTATCATGCGCAAGCCACCCGCAAAATCCACAACCTCCGCAGGCGACTCGGTGCCGCAACCCGGGGAAGAAAATACACTCCCAAAGCCCCAGTGACTGCAGAAAATGTGGCCAAAAACGCAGAGTAAGAGGATCATTTCACGAACAGAACTGGTCGACTGACTGTGTTCAAAGATGGGTGCAACTGCTTCTAGCCAGCTCTGAACGGGCATGGGCGTCTTCGATGGCCATGAAATCGGCCCAGTCGGCAGAGAACACTCAGAAGCCCATGCCTGGTTCCACGAAAAAACAAATTGCTTCCAGGCTCCGAAGAGCCATCACCTACGCCGATAACCTCGTGACTGTTCTGCAAGATCGCAGCACGACTGGCGCACAAGCGATAGACGAACTCGAAGCACGTGCTTATCTCGCCATGTTAAGAGGTAGTCTGGATTTTGAGAAGGGAAGATGGCAGGAATGTATTCAACATTACTCCATCGCCCAGGTTGTGTACACGACATTAGCACGCTCATCAAAGACGGACACGTACAAAGAATTGTTATCGGGCATCGTGGACCCCAGCATTCGTTATGCCGCATATCAGATGAAGATGCCCCGCACCAGGACCATCAATGATATCGCCATTGAGAACTTTCCCAAGAGTGAAGCTGCTGTCAGGAGCACAGTCGAAGACATTAATCCACAGGCATTCTCGACAGGGACTGAGGCGGCTCCCACCAAAGGAGGACCTAAGGAAATCCCCTCTACAATTTCTTGGAGGAGTAGGAAAGTGAATTTGGAAGACGCCAATATATCTCAAGCTCTTGGTTTCTCTAAAGAACGGGAAGACGAGTTGGACAGCACCTACAAATCCTTCAAAGATGGATCTGTTAGTGCCAAAGACCTAGCAACCGCATACGAAGAAGTCATCACGGCCCGTCAGGATGCCGCCGATGCCACGAAGACCGCTATCGACGAGCTGATTGCCGAAGGTGTTGACACTGGTGATTCTCGGCTGCAGTCTCTGCAAATCACCCGCACGGCCGTCAACTATGCCGTGATCGAATGGCGGATTGGGCGCAATAGAATCCTCTGTGGTGCTGATGACGATGGTCTGGCCTTTGAACCTGAGAAGCCGACCAAGAGCTTGAAGCCACGCAAGGACGGCAAACCTCGCGCGCCCAAGGAGGAGAGTTCGGGCCGCAAGCTATCGAGGCTGCGCGAGAGGGTTGCTCTGTACGACTCGATTCTGCGGAGTCTCGACGCTGTCAAGGAACTCCCCGGTGTCATTGCGGACAGTGCTTTTGTGGATGAGCTTGATGCAAAACGTGCATACTTCCGTGCGTTGAAGTGTTTGGCTGTTGGCCGCTCACATGCGATCAGTGACCATATACCAAATGCGCTGGCCTTGTATGCTCGAGCACTTGAGTTGGCGGAAGCAGCCACAGCTACATTGAAAGCAGCGTCCGCTGACCACAGTTCTGCACCACCAAAGCTCGACCTATCGATCCAGCGTCTCACGCAGACCACCGCCACCCTCAGCAAACTGGTCACTCAATTCCGTGCCCTAGCTGACCTCGAATCCCTCGCCAGAACAAGTCAGCCAACCCCGAAAGACACGGCCCAAGCAAACGCAATTAAACCTGCACCTCTCATCGAGCGTCTTTCACACAACGAATACATCCCAAACGTAGACCTAACCAATCTCGTCAACTATCCTCCCAAACTCCGCCCGGTCCCCGTCAAACCACTCTTCTTCGATCTGGCATGGAACTACATCAAGTACCCAGGCGAAAAGGGACCCGAAGCCGAAGTCGGAGCAGCCGAAGACGTACAGATGGGAGGAATCGGGGAGGAAGTCAATGGAACAGTCGACAAGAGCGAAGAGCAGCAGAAACCCGCGGCGAGAAAGGGATGGTTTGGATTTGGACGCTAAGGGTGTGTTGCGCATGGCAAATACTCCTGCAAGGATGATGCAGAGTTACACCTCGAGGCCTCAAGCGGTTCACGCACCTCTCAGCTGGGCAAGGGATGCATTCCATCGGGCTCCCGACTAGTAGGCGGGGATAGGGACAGGGATGGACAGAGTCAGAGCGACGGTGGCAGTGGCAATGGCAATGAAAGTGACAACGACAGAGACAGTGAACCACGACAAGGATGACGCTAAAGTGTTGATGAGTGCTGGATTGGATCGCGCGCGATAGTGAGCGTGATGGTGATAGGATAGCTTACCCTGATCGAGCCTCGACTCAAATCCAGGATTAGAATCAAAAAGGCGATGAGTGACGGATGACGGATATACCGAGTACTCTAGATGCCATTGAACAGACACTTACTTACCTCCTCTCGGTACCCAGGGAGACACGACAATGTGTATGTGGACGAAACAACCTAGGAACACATACCTACGTAGCTACCTAGTATGTAGGTAGTATGTACTCGGTAGTGGTAGACACAAACCCGCTCACCCACCCCACCGCACACCGAGTCAAGATGTACCGAGTACTTAAGTGCTGAGCATTGAGTACTACATAAGTACTCGGTACATGAAACAGAAACCAAAGGATCCCTGCCTGCGGCCCGCTGGCTGGTGGTGGTGGTGGTGGCGCCAGGGCTTTGAAACCCGACGGCGAACGGGCAGGATGCCAGGTCGTCTGTACCGCGTACTCCGTACCAGGGACCAGATTCCAGATACCAGATACAGAGACGAGGTAGAAGATACGTACCTACCTACCCTAACATACCACATACCATATACCCACCATATACCACCACATGAACCTAACAACACATGCATGCGAACTGTCGTCTTATCTCAACTTGTCTCATCTCATCTCATATCCCCTCTTGCCGATAGTATCATTCGCACTCGAGGTCTCTCCTCGCCTCGCCTCTCTTCGCTTCGCTTCCTTTCGTTTCAATCCATTCCATTTCGTCATACGGAGGATGTCCTGACACGTGGCATTGCCAGGGCGAGAGTCACTCGTCATAAAACACACAAGGTAATAAAAAAAAGGGTTTGAGGATACGAGGGTGGAAAAAAAGAAAACAGAAAAACCCCCGAGCAAATGGGTGCAGTGTCCGTTTCGTTGGGTGCGGCCAGCCAGTCGGTCACTCGGTCACTTGGTCGGGATCCCTGTCCAGCTGAAAACCATCATCAGCACAGACCAGCGACAGACCAGCGCACAACCACACCACACCCACAAATCAAGACGACTTTTTTTTTTTTACTCGTACGGTGCTGCTAGGTGGTCTCCCAGCCTCACGGCTACTTCCACCGATTCCAAATCTGCAATCCCAAACGGAATCCGAGGGCATCGCCGTGGTCCACTGGTTGATTAGAATTAATCTCCGTAGGTATACCATCTGTAAAAGACGCCTCGCCAACAGAGGCGTTGATAGCCTTACAATTCCAAAAAGGGTCTGTTCCAAAGCCCAAACAGTGTTGATCCAACCCAGAATCCACCCACCCCGTTGGTCCATTCAAAAGAGCTTCCATTCGTGTTCCATGTGCGGGGTATATCTAACTTTTTGCATCTTTGGCGCTTGATCCGGTCAAGCCGAAGTCCCATTTGGACCACGCCAAACTTACAAGTCCTCTTGCAATGACTATCGTCGCCGCGTTGCCACGTTGACAGTCCCACGAAGGGATTCCGTCTGGAATGGGGGACAGATCTGCAGAGGAGTTGTCGTCTAGTCAATGGTAGCCGAAGTCGCCGAACCCGCCGAGCGAGTCTTTCAGCTCCAAGGTCATCATTCGGGTGGAAGTCGTGGCTTGAGAGTTCGACGCTCAACGCCTTCCCTCAAACGTCAATGTCCTTCGCCTCCAGACAATTCGTGCATCTTGTCCATCACAGAAATGCTCCGTGCCATCAAATTTGCAGTCCTGGCGGAGCAAGCCGCCCTGTTGCGAAGGCTGTGGGTAGGAATGTCGTCTCCACGAGGAGTCGGGCTCCTCATAGATGCTGCGTGTTTCGTCATTCGGGCCTGCATTCGCCATAGCACCCAATTTTCGACCCCTGGCTCTCACTTCAAAGTCCACCTTTCTCGCGTTTGCAGCTTTTGCCGCTGATGCCAGATACCCACTTGTGACTGGACCTGACCGCATGGGTGAAGAGTCGTGAACAGTATGAAAGGATTCCGTCAAAGGCACCATTGACCGTGTCAAATGTTGATCTGAATGTTTCGAACCCTGGTCTTTCGGATCCGACTCTAGGACGTGTTCTCTTAGGTCTGACCGCTGACCTTGATTCCGGGTCTGTCGGAAGAGGATGAGGATGCAAAGAAGAATGCAAAAAGAAAGCGCATAGATGGTATGGATGAGAAGACATTCCAGATTGGTCGGTTGGCTGGGATTGACCTGGTGTGGTGCCATTACTGTAGAGCGTGAGAATGCTTCATCTGAAGCACTCGAGAAAGGCATTTTTGCTGATGCTGTGATATACCATCAACGTAGTCGAGACGAGGGAGACGAGCACAGACAGGACATTGACCAAAAAGACCTACCAGCTAGAGACTTGCCGAGCAGGGCACTTTATATCACTGGATCTCGTGCATCCTTTTTTCGTCGGATACGGGCTGTGTGACCTCGCACAGACACGAGGGCAAAAGTATGGCACCAATGGGGGCGAACCGTCGAATATAGTGCTATGCGACAGATCTAGATCCCGGGAACTTGCTGCTGTAGCTTGAACCAAATGGATAGCAGTCTTCCCCATGCACCAGGTCAAGGTTGGAGCATGGCTGGCTGGCTTGTTGAGCGGGACGGTTGGAGAAAGCATACTGGAAACGCTCTGAGGCGTAGAGGCAGGCAGACCGTCGGGCAAGGGGGGACAATCTCCGTGATGGGCGCCATCGTGTGGTCATCAGACATGGGGAAATTGACAAAAACAGCCATAAAGTTGCAGTCCGATGATGCAAATGGTGTGAGAGGGAAGACCCAAGAAAAAGAAAACGGTGAAGCTCAGCTTGAATGAGCAGACGCCGCTGGGGCAGGATGATGGTGGGGAAAGGCTTTGACCAGGTCGATAACCGAAGCTGGTGGTAGAGTTTCGAGTTCAGCTCGCCTGATAAACGCCCCTTTTCGGGCTTGAGGTGGAGGTCACAGCGCGGCTAGGAGGTTGGGCGGACACGGCTGTCCCACCCGCAGCCTGGGTCATGATCAGTGCAAAGCCTGTCTTGCCTGTCAAACCTTGACGTTAATCAAGGAGTTAGCCTTACGTGTAATAAAGATACGAGGTCAGGAGTGAGCGATGAGTGTGTGTCAAGCTGTGAGAGGACAAAATTTTGATGAGAATTGACGACCACAGCTGGAGTGGAAGAGGAAGATGAAGTAGGAAGAAGCACAACACGAGGCGCAGGCAAAAGGCCAAGAATGTGTGTGACTGACATTTGACAGAAACAGACAGACGGCTTGCTGCTTTTAGCCACCGCGTGGCAGCATCATGGTCTAGACTACCTGATGTACGTGACTCTTCGCCCAACGCTTTCCTTGTATGATTGAATCTTCAGGTGGAGAAAACCAAAGCCACGTTGTCAGCTCTGGGGAGAACATACACAACTGTTCTGGACATCTGCTCGGCATTTCGCAAACATACACCTCCGTGTCGTACCTATATAGGCACCCCGGGTCCCGAATACCTATACTATATATAGCTAATCAACGAAGAGACAGGCCACGCTCTAAATACCAGAAAACCGGAAGGAATATCGCTACCAGTTAGCGTCATCATATAGTATGTCATAAGGGGAAGGAGATTCCTGACATTAGACTCATTCCTCTCACAACGCCCAGCACTCCACCAACCCGCTAGAACCAAACCCCAGAGATCAGAAGTCAGAAGGGCCAAATGCCATGTGCTCAAAGAAGCAGACTACACTTTCCCGAACGACCCGCTGTGTGTCAGAGTCTATCCATCACCTCATCCGGGAACCTTCATGACCTTTTCCTCGTGGCTCATGGTTTGGCGCGGCTGGGAACGATCGGCTTCGCCACTGTTTCTCCGCGATGTGCTCTGGACTAGCTTTTTCAGCACGTCCGGAGCATCTTCCCGGTCCATCATCACCTCGACAATGTTGAGGCCTCTACCTGCTTGAAGTCCAGGCTCGGCCAAAATCTCCTGCAACTGACCCCAGGTTTCAGCTCGCCGGGTCATCACAGGATATGCAGGGTCGTCCTTAGGCGCCCCAAAATACGATGGTGCTTCGAGATATCTCCATGGTTGAATGTCATTGTAGCCCGCCCTCATGCCGTGGATCCATCTCTCAATCACGTATCCGTCATTATTGATGACGAAAATGGTCACATCAATACGGTTCCGAATCATGTCGCTGATAGACTGCGCCGTCATTTGCAGACTGCCATCGCCTTCGATGAGAATGGTCCGTCCTTTGCGGCGCTTACCTTCTGCAACCAGTTCTCGCTGAGCCAGAGCGGCGCCTTGAGCTGCTGGCAGCATGTAGCCGATCGACAGCCATATACAAGAATTAATGAGAGAGGTATGCGCGGGGAGCACCATATCGCGGCAGCCTACTGACGCTGTGCCGGTCTCCACCATAACGATGTCACCAGAGCGGAAAAAGCTGGAGATTCGCCGCCAGAAGGTAGCCTGATCAATCGTATCGTTCTCGTCGGCTGCGGGGAGCGCCATCAGCTGGAACTGTGGATGCCCTAGGTCCATAGACGGGTGATACTTGGGGAGCTTGTCCTTCTCCAGCTTTGAGAGGATTTTTCGCAGGAGAGATTTGATGTGAAGGTTGTTATATTTGGTACCACCGATCTCGACATAGTCCCGGTGGAAAATGATGGCCGACTTCGGGTCTGGGATGGTGCTGAACCCAAAAGTGTTGACATCGCTCTCCAAGGGTCCCAGTTTGATGACCAAGTCACAGCCTCGTGCCCAGGGCATGTAGATCTCATTGCCCGCAATACCAGCGTAAATTCCATAGAAGTTGGGATATGTCTCGTTGACAATGCCCTTGCCGAAAGGGGTAGTCGAAGTTGGAAACTCGGTTACTCGCACGAGCTCATCTGCTTCCTGACTGACACCGTACCTTGATGTACACCCATCCACGATGATCAAAGGCTGTTTGGAAGAATACATTTTATTGAGGATGAGCTCGACCTCGGTGTCTTCGAAGCCTTCGTCATTCGGCGAGATTGAAAGGTCAATGGGCACATCGAGGGCCGCTGACGGTACCTGGGCCTTCACCATGTTGGTTGGTAACTCGAGGTAAACTGGTCGACTTTGCAGGACACATTCTCTAATGCACCGATCTATCTGCGCCGGTGCAGTACCCGGGTCTCTCAGATTGGCCTGGGCCACCGTAATCTTTGCGTACATGTCGGCAAAGATTCTGAAGTTGCCATCTCCCAGCGAATGATGCATGCACAAGCGGTTGTCCTGCACGTTGGTGGGGGCCGTGCCTACAATGTGTATGACCGGTGCCACTGGTGGCTAATGTCAGCATAGATCCTAGAGCCCAAAGGGGTAGGGACACATACTTTCACTGTATGCTCCGGCAATGGCGTTAATGGCTGATAGCTCGCCGACACCAAAGGCAGTGACAAGCGCTGACACTCCTCTGATCCTGGCATAGCCATCTGCAGCATATCCAGCATTAAGTTCATTGGCGTTTCCGACCCAATCCAGGCCGGCTGGTTCAATGTAGTCCAGAGCAGTCAAGTTGTAGTCTCCGGGAACACCATGAACTGACTTGATTCCAACCTGGCGAATCCTCCGGAAGAGGTATTCAGCCAAGTCGATGTAGGAAGCCATGATTCTATGATTCAGTGGCTGAGGTATGGCAAGGCAAGTCACGGGAGATTGGAGGGCACGAAACAATCAGGCGAGAACGAAATCGCAAAGAAAACTGGCTCTCGTAGACCAGGAATAGAGTTAATTATATAGGATAAACCGGGAGAACTTATCTTGTATTCCCCCGGAGAGGACGGGGTTCTTAAGTGCGCGGATTAGGTCAGATACTACCGCAGCAGTTGACCCGATGAAACCTTTGGACACATCAACACAGCAAGAACCGGCTCCCCATGAGAAGGATGAGATGATGTCGTCAAGGACAAGGAAAGGAGGAGAACAACGGACTCCAGTAGTCGTCCATGGGCGGAATAAACTTCAACCCACGCGGCTGTCTGCGGCTGTCGTCGGCCAAATGCGGAATCATGCCGAGAGCCGAAACAATGCATTGACCTTTCAAATGCATCGAATCTGGTGGTGGACACGAGCGGATGTTAAAAGATCCAGTCAGCTGAGCGTCCCGGGAGATCCTTCCAAAGGCTATAACGCTGTCGTATCAGCAAGTAGTCGGCCTGTTGGCTGCATAAGAGTCGCTTGTTGGTGGACGATAGGAAGCACCGCAACGTTGAGAGATTTCGAATCCTTCAAACACCTTGCACTCGACTTATCCGGCCGTATCCTAGAGCAAACACACCCCTGGTTGGAAAGTCCGGACGTACCTAGGGTACATCAAGTCCATTCCCGTCCCTACCAACTACTCCTCCCGTGCTCGTGCATCTTCGACAGCTTTTTGCCAGTCGGTCAGCCGCATGTACGTGGCCATGATGATTGTTGCGCATCCGAGTCCTGTACATGGGCCAATCCACATGCCACCCAAGCCCATCTGAGGCGGACCAAAACACAAGAAGAACGACAACGGAAGAGCGAATAGATAGTAGACCCCCAGATTGACCCAACCACCGACTTTTTGTCTCCCAAGCCCACGCAAAAGAGCATTTGAGATAGCAAGGAGTGCGTCAAAGAATTGGGCGGCCGCAGTGATTGGCATGACGGAGGCGATGATTGCCCTCACCGCGTCGTCCGTGGTGAAAATAGCTGCGATGACATGTCGACAAGATGTCAGCAAGATGACATCAAATATCCCAATGCACATGAAGATCAGATAGTGCGTCTTCCAAGCCTTCCGCGCAGCATTTAACGCTCCATATCCGATGAGATTGCCGAATCTTGTCGACGCTGCGATGGAGATGGGAAATGGGATATGATACATGGTCACAACCACCGTCATTAAAACAGACTGAGCTGCAAGGTCTGGCTCACTCAGATATCCAGCTGCGATTGTAAGAATGTCAAAGGCGAACCACTCTGAAAACGTCATGAGGACGCCAGGGACGGCCAATTTGATCATGGGACCCCAGTTTTGGCATGCTCGTCGCAAGTCCAAGCCTGGCCAACATTGTAAGTTTGAGGGGGCAATGTAGGCGACATACAGAGCTAGAACAATCGGCTGAAGGTTATTGGATATGACCACGGCCCAAGCAGCACCTGCAAAGCCCAGGTGGAAATGAAACACCAGGAGCCAGTTCCAAAGGATGTTCAGAGGAGCACAGACCAAAACAACCACGAGCGAGGCAGTAAAATCGCCCTGGGCCTGGCACAAACGCTTTCCAGCTTCAAAGATGGCCCAAGCAGGAGCGCCAGCCAAGTAGATGCGCATGAAAGTACCGGCCAGAAGAGCCTCATCCTTTTCGGGCACGATAGCTGACAGAATCCAAGGAGAACAAATCCAGATAGCGCCTATCGGAATGGTGACGACACAAACCATTAGACTCATGCGTTGAACATGGAGACCAACCAGATGTTTCTTATCGTTCCCAAATGCCTGCGACGTCAATGTGTCGAGGCTGGTTGCGAGGCCCTCAAAGACGCACAATCCCGTAATATTGGCTGTCATCGTCGCTAGGGATGCTGCTCCTAGCTCCTTTGTCCCCAGACGTCCGGCAACGTACACTGTGACCAAGCTGAAGGAGTATTGTAAGATATAGGTCAGGATCAATGGACCCGAATACCGAGCCAAAAGCTTGGTCTCTGTCTTCCATGTCGTGTCAAGATCGGGACCTTTGAAAACCAAGGACTCCTCCTCGTCAACTGTCCCGTATATTCTCTGATCGATTTGTTCAACAGACTTCCGGAAGTCATCAATCCCATGGTCGTTGAGAAGAGCACTGGTCTCGGAGGGTCGACGTCCGGCCATTCTTCGTGTAACGTGGGGGGATTTCTCTGACTAGGTGGAAACGCAAGACCTCAAAGTTCCGTCTCTCTCTGCCCGCAGTGTTATCTATGTGTTATCATAGCTGGAACGAAAAAATTATGCTGGATGAAGCCTCGGATAGATGACAGTGTTTTGCACTCGTTCGTGAGTAGTGAAAAGGAAGATTGATGTTGGAGAGGTTCATTTTGCGAGCTGCTGTCGGAGTTGTCGCTGGCGGAGTGTGTGGATCAACAAACGGCTTCCTGCACAGGGAAATGGGGAGCAGCTTACTGGGCTATCTTTCCTCCCTCGTACGAGTATGGCGCCATCGGTTAGGTAGGCGAGTGGCTGGGAATCTGGATTATCGAGGAGATGTCCGGAACGATTCCCCATGGTGTCCATCTTGCTTTGTGCTGCAGGTCATTGACATGCGAAGGGGATCGTAAGCCAGGAATTTTGACGATCATTTTGTCGAGACACTTGGTGCTGGCACTGATTGCTGCTGATGGTGATGCCTCGAGTTCCTGGCTGCGGCACCTCGCACCGCAGAAACGCAGTTGCCAGGATCACGCGTCAGATCGCGTCAGACCAAAGCCTGTGTTAGGGGACATGGCGGGGTCCTCAGGGCCGTTCAGCCAACAACTGCTAAACTCGTGGCTGGGCTGCAACACCAAACACCAACACCCTGCGACCCAAAAGCTGAAGGTTTTGGACCATCTCCAACTGCGATCCAGTCTCACTCGCCCTCAAGATATGGAATAACTCCAGCTCCAAACCTGTTGACGCGTTCTGCCTGCATCCCACCATTTGCGCCCTCCGTCTTTGCCTCACCCGCGTCTCTTCACGTACTACCACGATGACAGCCACTTCTATCTCCCCTCACAAGCTCGCCGGTCGCCATGTCTTTCTGCCCGCTCCCTCTCCCGACCCTGTTTCTGTCAGGCTTCCGGACTCACCTGAGAAGAATAACTTGACCTCTACTGAAAGGTCTCGCGGTCTTCGTCGGCTGCAATCCCACAATCAGCTCTCCTCGACCAGCAATATGGGCACCCAATCTTCCAATCTGAGGCCTCGGTCTGGGGTCTTGACGAAGCCCTCACGCGAACAGATCAGTCAACCTCAGCCATCGGCGACACAACAACATACCACTGTTTCAAACGCCGTTAGCCATTCTCGCGCCCGCGCAAACAGCGATGCCCCTCTGCCCCATGTGCCTCGCAACCGCAAGCCGCCGCCTACACTTCTCTCAAATCCCTCCTCCAACCATATTCTGACGCATGCCCGCAAGTCCAGCCTCGAAATGACCCTTCGTGATGGGCCACCGCCTGGGACTACCGCTGCCACCGCCCTCTCTTTGCTCCGACACTCTATCCTTACCAGTGGAGTTAATGCAACCAAAGAAGGCATGTCCGATTACCGAATATATCTGTGGTTGACTCTTCTGAACATCGGCCCCCTCTCGACTGATACCTATCTTGATCTCATACACCGAAGTCGCAGCCCTGCCTACGAGAAGATCTCCAACGATGTCTTCCGCACGTTGGCAACCGATACACTTTTCAAGCGACGTGTTACGGATGCGAGTTTGACCCGACTGTTGAATGCAACCGCTTGGCGGATACATGATGAACAGTCTTCCGATCCTCCCTCGGAATTTGCTCAGAGATATCCTCAATCCACATACCTCCAGGGCATTAACGTTCTTTCCGCTCCGTTGCTATACGCATCTCGCTCGGAGGCTCAGGCATACGCGATCCTGACAAGCCTATTGACTGAGCATATTCCGACGTACCTCTCTCCGACCATGTCCGGCGTACATAGAGGACTTGATCTCATCGACAGAATCTTGTCGGAGATAAATCCGACCCTCTCATCCTTCCTGCTCAGCAAGTCTCTACCGGCGAAGATCTACGCCTTTCCTTCCGTCTTGACATTGTGTGCGTGCACTCCACCTCTTCCAGAGGTCCTTAAACTATGGGACTTCTTGTTCGCATTTGGGGTGCATTTAAACGTCATCTGCGTTGTTGCTCAGCTCCTCTTGCTGAAGGACAAGCTTCTTGGAGAACCCAGTCCTGCGAAGATGCTGCGAAGTTTTCCGAACCTGAACGCTGATGAGGTGATCAAGATGACTGTGTGGATTGTGAGAGAACTGCCCGAAGAACTGTACCGCGACGTTGTTATACATGGCCGGGAAATATCATAGAAGGCACCCAACGAAACTCGCTAAGCTCGGCTTTCCTCATTCTACGTGGACAAAAGGACTGGAGAAGCTCAAAGAGTATCTACTCAATAGAGGCACAATTCAGTCGCAAATCGACCACCTGCGACTTAACTGATGCACACCACACCGACCATGGTATCCATTGCCTGGACAATCGACTCAGTCCTCATTTGACTACATTGAGACCCGCAGCGACTTGATGGTTGTGCGCCTCAAACAAAATCAACCCCAACCAGACTGGAAACTATGGCGCCATAGCGGTCAACATTTTTCGTCTTATTTTGACGATTACTGAGACCCTACATGGCACTGAACCGCAACACTCGGTCTGTTCAAGCACCAGATCCTGGTGATGGAACATGCCAGATTATATTCTGTCTCGCAGCCAATCTATTCGAAGAGAAGCCGCAACAAGATCCCTATTTCTTTTCTGGGCTTGTCCGCCGGAAGTGAAGCTGCATTTACATTTGGGAGTACACGCATTTTTAGGATTGGGAGAGGGAAAATGTACCAACAACCTGACGATGGAAATGAATAACAAGAGATGGCATGAAGCATTTTTAGACGTGTAGGATTAGTTCTTGGGTTCTTAGGGTTAAAAAGAGTCGGAAAAACTTGACTGACAGACAGACAGTCAGTTTGTAAGTCAATCAATTAATATTCATGGTTAAAATTTCAGGGACCAGAGGATCTCTGTGCCGCATATAAGCTGTAGTTGTACTCGGTATAGTACCTCCCTCCCAGCCCGCACACCAGCCTGCCCGCCTACCTAACTGCCAATCTCCATTCATCCTCTACGCATGCCGGATGCATGTAGGTCTATTGAAGAGACTCTTCCCCCCCGCCCTCGGGGCCACGACCCCGTATAATATCAGATGGCAAGATAGGCGAGCATTCTCATTCTCGTTCTGGATGGCGTTGCTCTTCTCCAGGACCACGTATGAGCGGGTGTGTGTGTGTAGGATTTCTACTGATTATCGGTCATCGAGTGTCCGGGTGCCCTGGTGGTCTCACTATTCTTGCACTACTCGTATGGGAAAAGTCCAGATAGACTTCGCTTAGGATGTAAGGAGTAGAGAGGAGAGAAGAGGAGAGAAGAAGACATGCAATCCTCCCCGTTATCGTGTTTGGTTATTCATGCAACCCATGTATGTTGTGGATTGTGGATTGATTGCTTGATAAATATATAGATGGTCCGATGCGTATTCGTACGAGTACTCGTAGATAGATCGTGACTGTGACTCGCTCTCGTCCCTCGCGCGTATCTGCCCGTTCTTTGCGGATGCATGTCTAGCCAATGTCCCATTGCTCATTGAAAAATGCTTGCCTCAATCGGCTCTCGTAAGGTCCAACTGGGTCTATCTCGACGCGTTTTTGGCCGGTGCGGGGGTTCTCAATGCTTCAAATGCCCGTTGGCCTCACCGTTGGGTTTGGCGCCATCCAGGACACCGAGCCCCGTCTCGCTCCTCCTCAGCTTCCTCCGGCCCCAGACCTCGCCCGCCCACTCGGACAGCTGGAACATCCAGCCGCCGCCCACGAGCACGCCGCTGATCACGTTGACCAGCCGGACCAGCAGGCCCAAAAGGCTCGCCCTGCTCTCGCTGACGATGAGCAGGATGGGCTCGATGTCGTACTTGAAGAAGATGCCCGGGACGGTGGAGGAGGGCACCTCGCGCGACTGGGACTGCGCGGCGTATTGGTTCGTGAAGATGGATTTCGTGTCCCGCCCTTGCTCGGGGTGCGGGACGTGGCGGATGACGCCGTCCTTGTCGCGCTGCGTGTTCGGCGCCATGTCCAGCGTGGGAGGCTGTGGCAGCGCGGCGGGGTCCAAGCTGCCACTCTTGGTTGCGACTCGGCGCTTCGTGAAGATCGTGGGCACAATGGAGAGGTAGTACTGATAGCGCATAAAGTGCGCGTCGGTGGTGTCGCTCGTTTTGTCCAGCGGGTTCAGGAGGTTAGGGTAATGGGGCCCGAAGCTGAGCTCGTTGATATGGTGCGAGAAATTGAACAGATTGTGGTCGAGATGTGACTGCATGCCGAATTCCATGTAGCCGTGTCCTCGTGCGGTGATGTGGAAGTCGCCTTGCACTTTGTTGCCCTCGAGGGACCCGTAGATGCGACAACTGTCGACTGGCATGTGTTTCTGGAGCTTGGGCGAGCGGGCGAACTTGCGGCCCTTGTTCTCACGCATGTGTCCTAAGACGTGGCCCACGTGAGAATCTTCCTCCTCGGCCTTCTTCCTTTTCCTATCTCCTTCGTGCAGACCATGGTAGATGCCCTGCTGCAACTTCCTCAGCCGAAACAACTTCCGCGGGTCCAGCCAGAGCTCAAAGTTCGTGTCCTCCTTTTTCAGCAGGTCGCCGGCCATGATTCGGTCCATCGCCGCATCCTGGACGTTGACGTGGAGGTCGCGACACGGCATCGCCACGACAATATCGAGGTTCAATTGGAGCTCGTGGCCCACGCCGCGCTCAACGCTGAAATGGTGGGTTTCGGTCCCCCGCCACCACGTGCGCAGCTCCGAGGCAGTAAGACAGAGGCATAGGATTATTAGGGCGAGGGTCCATTGGCCACCGCGCGTGGTCGCAGAGGTGTAGTTCGGTTTAGTTTTCGCTATCAGAAGGAATGATCAGTAACGGGGGTTCTGCTATACACAAGGCAATGCAGACACAGAGCCAGATCAGGTCGCAAACGTGCGATCTGCCTCCCTGGAGGAATGACGGGGCGGTACTCACGAAACGCATCGAAGGTCCTCAGCCCTGACAGGCCCTTGTCCTCGAATGCCGACTCGTCAAAGCCATGTTTCTCGAAGGAGGAGTCCATTGGCCTTGGGAAGTTTTATGGTTTATGAGAGCCTTGACAGCTCTTGTATTGTAGTCCGCGACATGTATGGGATAATCGCGAATATTTCTTCAGGGCGGATAGAAAAGACTTCCGATTTCACTGCGGGTGGTAGTGGTGCGTTTCGGCGGCGCAGCGAAGGATTGAAAGGACGGAAGGGTGAGGCTGATTCTGGCCAGATGTTATTTATGCAGGGTGCAGCCTTGCGCCTGTTGTCTCTTTTGTCCCGAGTAAGAGTGGGCTCACATCCGGCGCTAAAAATGTGCCTGGCGAGGCTGGATGAACGCATTATCGAGCACGAATCGAGTCAACTGTCAATATCTAAGATAAACAGAAAAACCAAGGTTCTGACAGGGTTGTTTGATGCTCGCATTTCTCATCAGAGTTCATAACGTGTCCTCTGCTGCCCGGTCTCACGTCTTCTTGCTATGCAACGCTATGCTATGCCATGCCTCATGAATGTAAAATAATACCGAATTGCTTGCACGGTGGGTATCTCTGAAAAGGCGCCGCCTCCCATGGACCCGTAATTCTTTCGCAGGCCCTTTCTGGGTCGAGGCCTTTCTCATTCCCGACTCCATACCAAAATCGATTCGAATGTTGCGTGAGCCGTTGCCGCGGCTCCAGCGCGCAAGCCCTGTGTTGCGTGCTCCGGACAAAATGTGCCTCCCTAATCATTCTTCAATGGGTTCCAAAGAAAAGTCCGCTCTTCGTTCCGCTCCACAGACCGACCATCGCTTTCTTTCCTTGTTACTCCTCAGGTTGCCCCCGCGAATCTCGAGAGAGCTTCTTCGCCGCGAATCGCCCGCGTCCACATCCTCCCCCCTCAACTTGGCTTCCTCTTCTTCAAGTACTGCCGCCACTTCTGCGTCTGGTGCATCCTCTATTGTCTCCAGCGAGCTGATAGACGGCGACCGAGAACGTAACGATGTTGGAGTACTGGGCATGCTCGAAGCAGAGCTGAGAGAATACATGGGGTATGGCTCGTAGGTGTACTTCTGTGGTGCGAAGGACGGAGACGGTGATGTCCTTCCCGATACACTAGGACTCATAGCCTTCGTATATAGAGCTGGGGCGCTTGCGCTCTGGTGAAGTGGCAGTGCACCTCGCCGACGCGCTCTCGGGAATGTATGGGAGAGGGATGACATGGGTGAGGGTTGTGACACATCCACGTCTACGCCCAGTTCAAGCTCTTCATGTTCTGGTATGTTCGGTTCAATATTTAGACCGCTCCAGGATGGAACGCCGAGATGAGTGTCTTCCACAGCCGCACGTAACGGGCTTCTTCTTCTGCCTGAATGTAGTGGCGAAGACGGTCTTCTCGGGACACCATAAGGAGTAATGTACCGGCCTGAGGCGTCCACACCAGGCGATGAATGGGCTCTTTGCATAGGCGGCGCGTTGACCAAACTTCCCACTGACAGTGGCCTCACTCTTCTGGGTGGAGATGCAGCTCGAGGACGCGACGGTGTGATATTCTGTGTAAGCAAGTGGGTGTGTTTCGGAAGTGTCTCAACACTCCTCGAAGGAGATGATCTAGGTGAAGGAGAGGAGGATAATTCAGGTTCGAGGCCCGAAGGAGATGGCGGCAACTCGATATCTTCTGCCCGGATTGGCGGAGAGGAATCGATGGGAAGGCTCGTCAACGTTTGACCGTCGGAGGTAGCGGAGAGGTTCAAGGGGGGTTTTGTCAGCGGCGACATGGTGGATGTGGAAAAGAAGCAATCCTGGATCCTGGATGTTGAGTGATGCAATGATTCAGCTGAATAAGGTAGCGAAAGACGACATAATCGTGCGATCGGTGGTAGGGGTTCTAGAATTTGTTGTTGTGCAGAGGGCTATCGCTAGACCTCCGGAAAACCGTAGAATCACAAAGCGCTCCACTTATCGGCACCTTCGAGGCGCTCGCGGTGTGCTTTTGTTCGAGTATCAACGCAAAGGCTGACAGAAAGATAAAGACCCAGCAACACTCGAGGCGCAAGAGCCTCTGAGGTTGCTGGTGGAGGTGGTTCCAAATGGCTGGTGGTTTGAGAAAAGGAATGTTCGACGGAAGAGTCAGGAGGGAGGAAGAGGTGTTGCTCGATCCTAGTCACAAAATTGCGGAGGTGGAGATTGGTCCTAGCCGCGGCGCCCTTGTCAGGGAGTCTAGATCGGGGGGCGCTGGGGGGAATGTTGTGATGGTGGATGTGATGTGATGGGCTCGCCCGGCGATAATGTCAGGGCCCGGTTCTAACTGGAATTTAGCGGCCAGCCTTTAGCTGGACTTGGTTCTCGCGCTGCAGGTTGCCGCTTGGCTGAGTGGCTTATTGGTGCTCGCAGGGCCCTTGCTGTGTGTCTGTCGTGCATTACAATCAATCTACAGGTACCGAGAAGGCTTCATGTAATATCGTGTTGCTTTTGTGTTCTGTTCTGGATTATTTTCAAAAGAGTCGTCCGCCTTCCGATGCGATGTTTCCCTTTATAGGACTCACACGGCCCGATGCGAGCAAGACTACTACCTCAGCGACAAGAATACCACGTCGAAGCTTTTACGGATGACATTAGGAGGACATCCTGCTCCTTGGAAGTGACTGGCGCTGGGCTATGACAGCTTGTTTTCAGCTGCGCTCCCCTGCGTCCAGCCAGCTTTGCGCTGAGCAAACCACGCCATTTGTGTCGCTTTGGGCCTCACATGTTTGTCTCAGGCCCACTACTTTTCCATTCACAGGCATCGTTCCCGATAGTCTCGCCAACTTGGGAACTTTCCCACGTGGAAATCTGCACACATATTCAGATCTGGCGACCCCCTAAATGGCTGTTGGTCGGCTTGCGGAGACCTGAAAGCTTCCTATCCAGTCAGTGCGTTGCCTACATACGTCGAGACAGTGCTCCTGTCTCCACCCGTTCGATTCTCCCGTTGTTGACGCCTCGCTCCAGAAGGCTACCCGCTCCAGCCCAGACCACGATCAATTGTGAAACATTGAAGGACGATTGATGATTTTCCACAACGAATCCTTTCCCAGGCGATGACATCCTTCCCCTGGCATTTGCATGCGATAGAAAAAGGGGATTCGTCCTAAGGAAACAAAATTCTCAGCATCTCACCAAAAACAGCTTATTGAATCTACTATGTAGGATTAGTTGCGTCGAAGGTTCACAAGAGAGATCGAGGCCCGAGGATTCCATCGAGGTTGAGGTGTATTGACACGGCACAGATTAAGGCAGGATAAGGCAAGCAGGATAATACGGTACTCGCCTTCTCCGCAAGGATCAAAGCTGTTGAGAGTTGGACTCCCACTCGTCACCAATTCCAATATAGTCTGCTCAGGCCCCAATAATACATGATGGCAGTGCAAAAGGATGGAGTGTACCAAAGAACAAGTCCGTGGCCCTGATCCTCCAGGTGGCTCCTGCGATGTGGCATGGAGGTGCAGGGCGAGCATTTAAATTTTGATCAAGGCGCATTTCGAACGATGCAGTCACCTCAGGACAGCTGGCAGGGATTGCCCGGGCCGTAGTGGCCAAAAAGACAAAGGTCCGTTGCATGCTTTGGAAAGGTCTCATTACGCAGATGGTGGGACGATGATTGGGGACGGTGTAGAAGATCGTCTGCCGCACAGAAAGGGGCTGACAATCATATCACATCACCTTCTGCCCAAGATTCGAGGTCGAATGGCGAATGGCGTTAACGCCGTTCAAAGACCTGGGCTGATCGACGACAACAACGGTGAGCATATTTGTGGCGAGAAGGAGCAGCAAACGTTTTGGCAGAGTTTCACAGTTTGTTCTGTCATGAGTGTCAAAGTGTCAAGCATTACGGCCGATAATCGACAAAAGAGGTGAAAATAAAGGACAAAGGGGGGAATATCGTGCAAATAGAGCATGTTTCAATAAGCCTCATAGCAGGTGGTGGCAAAAAGAGACTTTTTCTGTGATGGTTCGCATGTTCTTAACGTTGTAGTACAAAGTACTTGTAATAATTACGTGTACCGAGTACACAGGGCAACATGGGGTTAGTGTTAGAAATGGGTTCATTCCTGGTGGTAAACTAGATACAAGACCTTGTCCAGAGGTACATATACCTAGCACTAGGCACTTTGGGGAGGTACGGAACATGAGGCTACGGGTGTTTGGGAGGCGCAGACAAAAAGTCCCGCTCACTCTGCGCTTGTAACTCGGACGAGTTTCTCAAAAAAAAAACCCCCCCAATATATCCCTCGTTCTCCGCGCAATGGCAAGGATGAAAGATTACGAGTACACACAGCAGCCTATTACGGATCCGGCTCGGAGTTAAGCCCTCTATGAGACAGTGAGCGTTCTGGGAGACGAGAGTCATTGTTCACCAAGTACCTAGTCAGCCTCCCCTGTATGGTCACATATGATTCTTCCTTGATGCTTGCATACCTGCAACTCGAAAGCTCCAGACCAGATTACCAAGTTTCGGATCCGATTTTCATGCTGGCCCAGCCTTCCTGGCAGTAGTCAGAATGGCGACCCAGTCCCACTTGATCTCCCCGTCACCGTACTTTTGTCTCATGTAGGACACCACAGCATTCGTCGCCCTGTCTCTGTATTTCTCCAGTTCCTCCGCGGTCCATGTCTTTTGCTGCACCAAACCCACCATGCCAGTCATCAAGCGGGTGAACTGGTCAACGCCACTTAATATGCTGGTATGGGGCGCCTCTCGCACATCCACATCAACAAACCCAATTTGTGCCACATTGTCTCGAATCCAGTCCACCTCACTCCATCGCCCATCCGAGTTGATTAGCTCACAAAGTTGCTTTATTGACGGGAACGAGGGGATTTCTGGATCTGTGGCAAAGGCATCTTTCACATCGTCGTACCAGCCGAGTACCATCCATGAAGACATGGCCAAAGTGCCGCCAGGCTGCAAAATGCGGTGGGTTTCGGTCATGCCGACCTTCCAGTCTGAGAAAATCATGGGTCCAAAGTTGAGAAAAACATGGCTAAATTTGTTGCTGGGGAGTTTGGTGTCCATGACATCTGCTTTGACGGCATGGGCACTTTTGACCCCGAACCCACGAATCCGCGGACCAACGAATTCGATCATAGTGTCCGAGAAATCTGCGCAGGTGAGGTCCAGGTCGGCTCTTTGCTTGTTATTCAACATTTTGACTAGGTGCTCCGAGACAATTCCCGTCCCACAAGCCTGGTCCAGCACTACCAACTCCTCATTCTCAGACACTTCGTCCAACTTTGATTGTTTGATGAGCAGATCGGCAAAGTGCCCGGTCATCTTCTCGGCACTCTCCGCATATACCTTGGTGAAGTTTGCATCGTTGAACATTTTATATACCGCGTGTCCGTCATCAGTGGCCATGGTGGCGTTCGCTGTCTGGGTGCAAATGCTAAAGACCGTCTGATCAGGTGGATGTAAGTTTTGATAACTGGCCCGCGATAATTTGCGTTCACTTCTCGGTGGTCACACAGCAACTCTTTCGATGCAGAATGAACAGAATCCTATGGATCGCCTCGAAGAAAGAGGCTCTTAAATGTAGCAGAATTGTCAGGCCTGGCTCTCTCGGAGACATATTGTATGTGTCCGAGAGAACCGTAGCTGGCGGCCTGACTCGTGATATGCGAAGGACTGTTGCTCTCTGAAATCTGTCTTCATCTTTTGCAGTACACTAGATGGGTATTAAAGGGAGCTTCACTCACGTACGCTGTACCTACCAAGTACATTGTGATGACACTGATTTTTACCTGAGAATTGGATAGCATTGCAAACAGGCAAAGTCAGGAGGAAGAACGGGAAAGGCTTCGGTTGACGAATAGGAGACTTTTAAGCTTAGCTCGGAACACCTGCTGCGTTCGGCCACGTACTTGTGGCTTATTATCGCTACATTCCCCGACCTGGTTGGTTCACCTTCTGTTTTCTCACTCGTCCAAACCCAAATAACACCCTGAACCATGGCCCCAATGACAACTTTCCAGCTGGTCTGAAACAATATTTGGTTTCTTTTCCCTCCATCGCTGAAGCGGACCGACATTGAAACGGAGCCCTGACCGATAAGCGCCATGACTAATGTGTCATGCCTACTAATATCCCTACGCGAAGCCTGTCCCCAATCAAGACCAATTCTTCCCTTTTGCCTGACGCTTCTTCAGCAGCGACGACCGGCAAGGCGCCGCGCAAGATTCAGCTAGATGCAAAAGAACCGACAAGGCTGGAACCGCCCCCGGCATGTCTCCGCGCCACCAACGAGGCATCTGATGGACTGCGCAGCGACCCGTCAAAGCCTCGTGGTTCTCGCATTGCCACGAAGACTAGTACAGTAAGTGCTGCTGCACGTGCTAGTCGTCTAGTACCCGGCCACTCGAGGAGTCAGTCATCAAGTAGTGCAACCATCATACGCCCTACCTCAAGCGCGCCTAAAGTGGCAACCGCTACGGCATCTTCGCGCTCGCAACATAGCATTTCAACGAAATCTTCTGGCGACACACGATTGCCGGTCTCAAAGTCGCACAATAGAGCCTTGAGCGCGTCAGCGCCGCCGAGACCTAACCCCGATACTGGAACTTCACGAGAAGTCGTCTCCAAGGTCGGACCCCACGTGTTTGCTGGAGGAAATGTGTCGTCTTCCTCTGCTAGACCGACAGCGAGACTGGGTAAAAAACCAGACTTTAACGCCCACCAGCAACATTACAGTCCCAAAAAGCCAACAACGATATCAACCTCTGTCGTCCCGGTCTTGCCCTCGGATCCCCAACACGTCGCCGGTCGTTCCGGCTCTATAGCCCGCGCCATACCTGGCACAGAAGTTGCGCGTCAGGAAGATGAACTTCTCCAACTGTCTCTCGTATACGACAAGTCTGCGGCCACTTTCCAGCATTACGAGGCATCTATCAAATCGCAGCTACAGACAGGATCCGAGAGGGTGAAGCATCAGCTAAGCACCCTCAGGTCCCTGTGTCATGATCGACAGGCGAAAATCAACGCCTTCGCCGTCAGGAGGTGGCTCGACCAGGAACCGAGCCGTCAAGATGTAGAGCATGCAGGGTCAGACACATTACTCTTGCTTGCAGGTTGCCTAGAAGAGCTGCACGAGGTCAGCGGCCAGGATGGACCACTGGAGGCTGTCATGATGACCTTTGAAGACTGGTACCTTGACGCGTCTTCCAGGCGTCCAACCAACGTTACAGACAATCTGTTTCGTGAGAGTAATAACGAGGAGAAAGCATATTGTCCCCACCCGATAGACCCACAATGGTCAGCCTTGGTGTCCGCTGTGGACGACCGAGTTAGAGCGTGTGCGGCTTTATTGGCGGGTCTACGAGTACATGGGTCACCGGGGCCGTCGTCACTTGAAACGTTGATCGAGATGCACCACACACTCGCTGAGCAGATACTACAAGAGATTTGTATCTGCAGGGCAATAGAAGGTTTCATGCTTCGGGAGCAACAAGAGCGGCTTGCGAGCGAAGTCCAACAAGCTCTGTCGGACGTGGAGTTACATCCTTCTGTAGAATTAATCCCCGACACTGCCAGGAAGGGTATTTGGAACCTACGAGGCAAGGTTTCTTAGAGCCGCGGCGATAGCGCTACAACAACCCAGCGCGGAACAGCACGCTGGATCTGAACGAGTGTGCTCGAAGCTTTGGTGTCGTCACATCCAAAGAACAATGACACAAGAGAAGCTTGGAAAGAAACCCGTTCCTAGATGTCGTCCTCCTGGCGCCAACTCCTCAAGGGTGCGCATTCCCACAAAGGGAAGATCTGCTGACAAGGTTTTCGGCTTGAATCGAAGATGTAGAGGGGAATCTGTGTTGTTTGGAGCGCGACCAAAGAGCCATTTCGATGGTTCAAGCGAGGAGAACGATGGAGTAGCATTTCACAGAAAAAGGACGGTGGATTAACCCGAAGCGAGGTCACAGAGAGTGGCAGTGAGCTTCGAGAAGACATTCCCACTGCATATCCGAGTTCTTGGCGACCGGAGGGTGTCGGGATAGTGGGGCTCGTTGTGTGAGGGGAGGACCGAGTCGGTCGAATCATGGGCGACCGAAGAAGGTCCCCTTGAGATGCAAAATGACGAGTGCAATCCCAGGGAAAGGTCCAAGATGTGTTCCGAGTCAATTCACTAGGAATGAATTGGTTATAGTGTAGCTAGTGTAAGTTGGTGCAGAAGCTTTGGCCCATCTTACCTAGTTGCCCCCACAGTCGTAGGGATGAAAGTTGAGGGCCGATCTACCAAGCTTCTCCCCTCTCTTCTCCTGCTCGTTCCTAGAGCCAAACGTCAACCGCTCCCTGGTGCCGCTGCATGTCAGTGGAGAACTGCCGACGTTTTTGCCCATGACTGTCGAGGGGCTGGATGAATAATACGCCCCCCTCTTCTCTTCGGCCCGAGTCCAGGTGCATTGACCACTTGACTGGAATGAAGAGTAATTATTGTTGTTTTTTCCCGCTATCGCCCATTACTCAGAGCAGAGATGTCTCTCTTACTGGTTTCTTTGCAAGAAACCGCTTCCGTCTCGGCTCCTCTCAAAACCTTTCGGCTGTGCTTGAGAATTCTGATTCGTCATGCTATCCCTGCCAGGGGTCCGTAGTGATCCAGTACCTCTCTCTTTCTAATTCTAGTAGGAGCAGTCTTGTGTGAATCTCGCTATGCGTTCTTGCGGGCCTGCGGCGAGACCAAGAGGCGTGGTGGTCAGGAGGGAGAGGCAAGAGCGGTATACTTTGCTCTGCAGATCTCTAACCGGATAAGTGCTAGGCTGCGAAGGGATTCGTTTCGTGCGAGAACTGGCACTACTACTCGTAAAGGCAGAGAGACCAGAGCATGATAACGTTGGATTTGTCTTGGTCGTGGACCCTGCAGGATTCGGCAAGTATTCGGTGTGAATTGGCCCATGACATTCCTTCACGACTTGCCCGTCTGGATCATGGCTAGCGACCCAGTATCTCAAGGATCAAAAGAGTTGGGTGATATACATATCCCTACCTTGGGTCAATGTTACTAGCACCCACGTGGTATGCCTGATCGTGGCCTGTCCTCGGGTGCCGATACCTTTCAAGGAGCGTGAGAAGAGCCCTCTTTTCCATATGATGTAGGTACCTAGTGCCCATGTACCACATTTGTACTTGCCTTGTCCAACGGAGTCCCCTCTCTTGTCCCATTTTGCTGGCTAGGCATTGGAGGCCCTAGTCCGCACGGCCGAGCTTGTGGTCACTGATCCATCTGGTAGTCGGTTCATCTTTCGTTCTGTCGATGGGTCTCTTTTGCGGCCGCGCTTGGCTCCGGAGGAGATGGGTAGGGATCGGGTTTAGTGAGTGGCTTATCTAATACTGTGGTCAACTGTAGTCATCGGAAAACTGGAGCTGGAGAGGTTACAACACACAGTTATGGAGTGCAGCAGTGGCAATTGATCAGGTAAGAATTTCGGAAGGGTGGCTGCTGTTGGCTGTTGGCTGCAGTTGGCACCAGCTGGAGACTTGCAGAGGTAATCACCTGGTGGGAGCGAGGGAGGTGGGATGGGATGTGAAGTGCTGTCAGTGGTGGCCGATGACTGGTTCTCGCTGCTCTTACCCATTGAGCGCCATTCACCCAAGGCGGCGACGAGTCAGCCAGCTTCCCCTTGCCTCGAAGCTTTCCCTAGATAGGCTGGGGAACTTCCCAACAAGGCATTGCATCTGCCTTTGGGTATAGGATCTTTTTTTTCCCTCGACCTCCTTGTTGTGCATGACACTCGCTTCCTACCTCTCCTCCCCCCCTTTTTCCTTTTCTCTCTCTCAGATCACGTTATCTCTCGTGGAATGTTAGGTCCCCCATGGTTGCCCTTTCCTTGACTCCAGCAATCCTTACACCACTTCCCCCCTCGGGTTAGTTTTTTGATGTCAGTCGTCGAGGTCACCTCCGATAGGCTCTTCCAGATCCATCCCGCCCTGCCAATGACACAATAGCTGGCCTCATTCGCATCCCGAAAACACGCCAGCCGTGGCGAGCCCAAAGGAGCAAGCGCACCTTTTACAGAACATCTCTGTTACAATGGACCACACGCGGAGCGAAGCAGACAGTTCACCCACCCGGAAACCCTCAAGGCCCTCTGCGTAGGCGAATCGGAGCTCCCATTTCCCAAAAAAGATGGCCCTCGCGGCCGAGACGCACCACCAGGCTGCCCGTTGCAGTATCCTTGACTGGCGGGAGGCTAAACTTTGACCGTTGGCGCCCTGCTGGTAAAGTGATCCATACGCCCACTGCGTACTAAACTTCTTCGAAACAAAGTACGGAGCGCGGTGATCTCTGGATCTTTTTCCATTCCCAAACTTCACCTCGTACTTCCTGCGGGCTGACTCCAATTATCATAGTTCTTGCTCCTCTTCTCCAATCCTTCTCGATCTCTGCCTTCTCTCGACCAGATCCTCTTTATCCCCTGGCGCCCGCCTTTCCACGGTCCAATCGACGATCACCATCTCTGTTACCTCGCCCTGGTCTTTGCTCGATCCCATTTCCTTCCTAGCTGCAGGGCGATCCAGTCAAGGACATAACATACTGTACAGTCTCCCCCATGCCTGCTTAGGCATGCTATGGTACCCGTCCTGGCTCTCGTCGCAGTCCGCGAGTATGCAATATCAAGGATTTGCCTCCCGCGCCCGTCCTTTACGATAAGTTAGGCGGGAAGGTACATACGATTAAACGGCGCCTAAACCGAGAAGAAAAAAAAAGTCCTCGTCCTAGACCGACCCTTCTTGTCCTCGCGCTGGTTTGCCACACGCCTCCTCTTCCTCAGCCACTGTCCCCTCAAATGTTGCCTTGCACACGCCACTCCCGTTTGACAAAGGACCAGAAGCTGGTGCGAGATCGGTGGAAGGGATGGACGGTGATTTCTATTCTCCAGATGAGCCAGAAGATGTGAAGCCCAATACCTCTATGGCTTCCAGCCTCCTCCTCTCCCGTGTCACCAGTGCGCCTGAACCCTCTCGCCGAGGGGTAGATGGTCCTTTCTCGCCGTCGTTGCATCAGACACCCCGAAAACGCGACCTGCCTTTGGACCAATCTCACCAGCGACGTACCACAGACCGATCATCTCCTCCTGCTAGATACTTCTGGTCTCCTGGGAGCACCAGTCCACGGGTGGTGTTGGAAGAGCCTCCGGACAAGCGTCCGCGACTGGATTATATACCGGAGAGGTTAGAAACAGACGTGCAATCGTCCAAGAGCAGGCTATACCCTCAGGTATGTGACTGGTGGTCGCATAGACGCCATAACCATATCCTCGGAAGGGTTGGGATGGGCACGTCTATTGGTGAGAGTGACTGACGACCGCCTTTCGCCCCCCAGACCAGCTCGTATGTTTACCCGGGAGAGCATCGCCCTCCCGCGCCCCCTGGAGAAGATATTCCCCATCATCAAGCGTGGCGCGGATCATGCGGCAACTGTTCAGATACCGAGTCGCTGGTGCTGGACCTCGTACATGGGTTCTTGGAGCTTCAATCAGAGGTCACTCGAGCTCTGGCCATTTCAACAGGGCAAAAAAGCCCTTTCGAGGTAAGCCCCGGTCCGCCCCATTGGAACGGGAAGTGCTGACGGGACCAAAAAAGTCTATCGGAGTCGAAGTGACTAAGCTAGGCCTCAAACAGTCTCTTACATGGACCCTCAATGAACTTCGAAATACGAGTCGCCTCATACACTCACACGTAGTTACGTCGAAACCGGGGTTACCCCCCCTGGCTGATGTTGTTCCGCCCCCATTTGTAAACGACATACGTCGTTTATCTATCCATGGGCAATCTTCGGCGGCTCCCACATCTATAAATGACCCCCGCAAAGCACCCCTTCCGCCAGACACTCCTCGAAGTGATGATCACCAACGTCGCACACTTGAGCACCCAGCTGTCCAGATGCCACGTCCATTCGAACAAGGACTTCCCCCAATCCTTCAAGGGGAAGAGTTGAAAAGAAATCCAGCCTACGAGCAGACGGCCTCGGGCTCGGGGCAGTCGCCTCATGCCTCGTCTTCCAGTTCGGTTTTTGGCTCAGCCCAGTCGCCCATGCAATCTCAACCATCCAGCCGCACGCTGCCGTCACCACCGGCAATCCAGTATCCGCGGACAGGGAGTTCGGAATATTTACAATACTCTCCCACGACAACTCAGGCTGCCCACACTTCTCACCTCCAAGACCTCCAACACCAGATTTCGACCAAGACTCTCGCGCTTCAGACTCTACAACGCGAACATGACCAGTTGTTGGCCGCTTTTTCAAGGTCTCAGATTCGGTGCACCGCTTTGGACAAGAAGTCGCAAGTGTCCGATCACGAAATCAACACGTTGACCGAGGACAAAATACGGCTCCAGCAACAGGTGGATGCATTGGAAAGTCAGGTCCAGGATCTGGTCAAATCACGTGACGAAGTTCATCAGCAATCGTCAGCAGATGGTGCACAGTGGAGACAAATCGTGGCTATGTCATCGCAACTACAACTCAAGGGAGCTGACGAAGCGCGGCGGTTCAAACTGGAGCGAGAAGGGTGGGAGCGAGAACGGGCAGCGCTGCAGAAACGAATTGAAGAACTCGAGTCCGGTAAGGAAAAGCTTCCCGAGACGAGGCCGGTTTCTGGTTCCACGACCCCCGTGGCAAACGATCCCATTCTGACTTCGGGCTCTGTTGAGGTTCTTAGAGAAGAGATTATCAGGCTTCGGCGCCGGTGTGTCGAATTGGAACTAATGCTTCAAGAGCTCGCGGGAGAGGCCGAGCAGATCGAAAGTGCAATTACCGCAATGGAGAACGTTCGAAAATCACTCACGAGCAAAAAGCGCCGCACAGATGATAGTTAGGTGAGGCAAACCGGGTCCAAAGTCGAGATAGTCGCGAATGCTGGCGGGTATTGTGGTTGTAGGCAACAAGACAAAGTTTGCCACACCCCCTTGCAGGCCCACCAATACCGAGCTCAAATGGTTATCATGATCTACTCGATCCACCGCTGCGGGAAGAAACACCCCATATGGCTTGTGAAATGCAAGGAGACGCGTCTGCCACCACTCTAGAGCAAACGATTGAGAACCGAGGTGTGCACACAACAGGGCGAGGGCTCAAAAACCGGGAGGCCTTATTCTATGGACATCAGTCGCTGGGGCCCAGAGTGGGAGCTGCAAAGAGGCCTTTCCGGAGGCATGGCACACGGCGTTGTACGAGAGCAATGAAGCTGTTTGGCGTATAGCCATCCTAGCAACTTCCCGAAATAGGAGGCGCATATTGAAAAAGGGTGTGGGTCACGGGGCCAGATAAATGGCCAGCGAGTATTACGTGGGATATGCTTCGGCTGGTAATGGGGTATACCCGGGAGGCGTTACAGAAGACAAGGAGGCAAACATGTACCATGAGCACGAAAGGCTGGGAAACGGTGTTTCACGGGAGCCCCATCGCTCGAGGGAGAACACTGGATGAAACTTCCTTGTTGGAAAGAAGAAGAAAAAAACCATTGAGCAGAATTGTTGAAATATCAAATAATGCCTTGCATTGAGCTCTGACGAATGATTGGGAAGGGATTCTACCGAGGGTGGATTCTCAAGAGTTTGAAAGGAGCTTGTATCTACATACTGTACGAGTACTAGTAGATGCGGAACTCGAGGAGGGAGGACGCCGAATGACCAAAAAGACCCGAGCGACAGGGTTGCTACTTGCTGAATACTACTTGTACATAAGTGGCCGATAGGCGTAATACTGGATGTACAAATACGAGTAAAGCCATGAGCATTACGAGGAGTTTGCTAATGCCTGAGCCTTGGTGACCTGCGCGGGGTTGAACTAGTGGCATTTAGTGGCCCTCAGAGGCACTAGTGGCACCAGCAAGGCTAACAACCATTTCCGTTTGGCGGGTCGTGGTGCCAGTGACGGTGACGGCAATGCTTGGGTCCTTCCCTCATTTTCCATCTTCATGGTTATTGTAATGGCCTGCACCTCCGCCTCCGCCATCACTCAGCATGGCGTAAACACATCCCTCTGACTGCGCCCACATCACTAAGTCCCTCTCTAGATCCAAGGCTTTGCTCCCTCTTGGGTGCCAGCTTCTTACCAAGAACCACTCTGTATCGTCTCTCACAGACTGATGCCCTCTTCCAGCGCTCGCTTTGCCACCATTTTAGCCGAGCGCTTCCACCATACTCGGTGCAGCTCAGAAACCACATGCTCCCTCCACCGTTATCCTCGTTCATAGTTCCCCGTGCGTGCACAATTTGAGCCGGCACCGAACAAACCTCACATCACATCTAACTGCGCCCTCAGCCGAGGTCATCCTCGTCGGCACAAGGCTTCGTATCTTGCATGTGTCAATTCATCCCCTCCTCAGTTTATCGACTTCAGTTGCCCCCCGGCTGATACGATATGGGCGACAAGTTTGACCTTCGGCTACTGAAGCGATCTTTGGGCGAGACAAGAAGAAGCAGGTCCATTAAAACTCTTTATGGGGATAAGTCTTGGGTGGAAGATTTGGATATTGTCAACGAGCTTGGAGCTCACACCGGTTGCGTCAATGCCCTCTGGTATAGGTCTCACCAATTCTGCCACCCCCCTCCGTTCTCGTTGCGTGCGTAAGGGACACCTGTGCTGATACCGTCTCTGGTAGTTGGTCGAAAAGTGGCAACCTTCTGGCTTCAGGCTCAGATGATACCTATCTCAATATCTGGGATTACAATGCACCTGACAGTACCCAGCCCTTTACGCTGAACACAAGTGTGAGCACCGGTCACCATGCAAACATCTTCTCAGTCAAGTTCATGCCCCACTCGGGCGACCACACCGTTGTTACATGCGCCGGAGACTCCGAAGTCCGAGTCTTCGATCTGGAATATGCTGGAGCTGCGAGCCAGAGCACGTCGAGCGACGCAGGCACAAGAAGCCGGAGGTTCAACAGGTTCTTTCAGAACGCGAGGTGGCTGAATGAAGGCAATACCAACTGTCGGGTATATCGAAGCCACTCGGATCGCACAAAGAGAATAGTGACCGAGTCCAGTCCATACCTGTTCTTGACGTGCTCCGAGGATGGCGATGTGCGACAATGGGATCTCAGACAGCCTTCGTCAGCATATCCTGCTCCTCGGGGTCTCCGGGGCTTCGCACGATTTCACCAGGGTGCTCAGAGCGACAGCGGCGACTCGCCTCCTCCCCTCATTTCTTACAAGAAATATGCCCTCGATTTGAACACCATCTCCTGCGCGCCCAGTCAGCCACAGTACATTGCGCTTGGTGGGGCTCATCTTCATTGCTTTTTGCACGACAGGCGCATGCTTGGTCGAGATCTGGGCTCTGAGAAGGGCCAACCTGGCACTCGAAAGCCTGACGCGGGCTCCCCAGAAGACGAGGCCATGGCTGACGCAACCAGGTGTGTTAGACGATTTGGGCCTAACAACAAGCGCAGGATGGGACCGCGTGGACATGGCCATATCACGGCTTGCAAGATCAGTGATGCCAACCCCAACAATCTCGTGGCCTCTTGGTCTTCAGATCATATCTACAGTTTTGATATCGTCCAGTCGCCCGATGTGAGGGAAGCCGATGCCCGAGCCCATGAAGATTTCCGGCTTAGAAACCTTTCCGGCCGCAAAAGGAAGAGGGGAAAGGCGAACGCCTCTTCCAGCAGTCTGGGCGATGCAGCCAATCCCAGTAGGCGTCTACGGAGGGTTCCGGACGACCGTCCAGAAGAGGGCCGCACTGCTCTGTTGGCGAGGTTCGCTGACGGAGAGTCTGAGCTTATCCCTATCCCTTCCCCCATGTCCGAAACGACGGCTGGGACCCCGTCAGCTCATGAGCTCCTGCTTTCGGAAGCTCAGAGATCGAGTGAACGGGTGGCAAGATCACTCATTCAACTCCGCAAGACCTTGTTTGACTTCTCTACCTCATTAAGCGCCGATGTTTCTGCGTCTCTGGAGGGGACTTCAGACCTCACACCCCATACCGCTGCATTTACTAGTGCCCTTGGCCGATGTGCCTCGCTGCTTCCTCAGATGGACGAGGTCATCCGTACATGGTCATACCCGATAAACCCGAGTGAGGAGGATGTCACTCTACAAAATACCTTGAGGAGAAATCGACAATCGAGTTGGCGATTCGTGCAAGCGGCTGGCTGTTTGGCCCGCACCCTCGGTGGACGTTTGCAAAGCCTCACCTCAGCCCCGGATGTTCGGCTCGCACAATTCGACCAGATTAGACCTGCTGCTCACGAAGGTAAGAACATCTGCAAAGAGTCGAGATTTTGCTACGACTTCCTGAAAGCCATTCTTCTGTGGCTAGATGGTGGGCAAGTTGCGGTATTGCAAGGGTTTAAGCGGCCGCCCAACGTGAGTACCGACAGTCCTCGATTTCCCCTCGATCGAGAGGACACGGTACAAACTTTTGTGCCGAAATTGGAAGCCTATCTCTTGGATCTGGCAGAAGATGAGACCCCGGTTGTGGACCTAGACACAAATCGTTTCGAGCGGGACGAAACTCGTCATGTTTTTCGGAATCAGAAGTCGGCGGTGCAGGCTTTCATGAGAGCCCTCGGCAATATTGAGCTGGTAGCCAGCCATGGTATGTCTGAGACTCGGGCTGACCCGTCGAATCCCTCCACGACAATACGCGTGATGGACAAGGGTGCAGCAACCAGGTTCTGGGGGCTTAAGGTAGGCCGCTCCCTACTCATGCGTGCCGCCGAAGGGGTTACGTTCGATTTTGTGAACCGAGCGTTTGGGGGGTTGAGACTTCGGTTGGCCAGCTCAGATTTGGAGGAAGAACGGTCTCAAGAAGACATCGACCCGGACGAAGAGGAACGCATTGTTGAAGCTATCGACATTGTGAGAACCCACTTGGGGGAGTCTTCAACGGAGTCGGCCCAAACTCCGCACGAGACCACGGAAGGATCCAGCCAGCCAGATGTGGAAATGGGCACTCCACTCACTGTCCACGTCGAGGATGCGGACGAAGATGGAAACGAAGACCATATCGAGGGCGAAGAATGGGAATCAGACACTTCAGAGACCGAGGAAGAAGACGACGATGGGGAGGCTCCGGAACGTCTCTTTTTCCGACGGCGGATCGGGTTTGCGCGGTATCGTGAACGAGCTTCGGTGAATCTCGAGGTGCCCTACACGTCACATACCAAAGTTTACAAAGGCCATTGTAATACACGGACTGTCAAGGACGTGAATTTCTGTGGTCTCAATGATGAATACGTTGTCAGCGGCTCCGATGATGGCAATTTCTTCATCTGGGATAGGAAGACGTGCAAGATCCTCAATATTCTGGAAGGAGACGGCGAGGTTGTCAATGTGGTTCAGGGCCACCCGTATGAGCCTATGATTGCTTGCAGCGGCATTGACAGTACGGTCAAAATCTTCGGTCCCGGAGGCGACAGTCGAGAACGCGAGGCGGCAGAAAAAGGGATCAACATTGCTAATCCTGGTGGAGGGGTGCACTCGTCTCTCAGATTTGGAGGTCGACGGAGCCGACGCACTCGGGGTGCCGGCGACGACGATAGCGATGAGGATGACGATGGCCCTGGAGCCATGGCTTCCAGTGGACTCCGAAGTCGTCGGGCAATGCACCGCAGCTACGAGATCACCAGCCAGAACGATGTGGAACTGAGGCGCACTGCGGAAGACAGTTTTGTCACGGTAGGTTCCATGGACGAGCTGTTGGTCCGGGCATGGATTATGTCGAGTCTCCATATGATTTGATGGACGCACGCACCTCCACGCAATCTCCCACGCTAGGCTGCAATGGCATCTAACATCTGTTGTCAAAGCAGGAGGGGGTGCTTGCTAGATTGGCATTGGCGATCCAAAGAGGCCAGATGACAGGAGTTACCCTTGGGGGGGTTGGCGAGGCAGGCGGCACTATAGTGGTCGATGATAATTGTTTGGTCAGTTCATTCCCAGCAAGACGTTTGTCTCAGGCTTGCTGACGATGCTGGACGCTTAGATCATGTGAGACGATTTCTGTCAGTGGTTCAATGCCGGCCAATGCACCTCGTCGCCGACGCGAGGTTCCCCAAAACACAGACATGTCCAATTGGTGGAGAAAGAAGAGTCAGACTGGGAAGACGTACAGTGGCTTTTTGGGCTTTGATGGGAGTCAGACTCTGGCCGACCCAGGCATGAATTGGATATCCACGGAGAGAATGTCGACCGGCCAGCTTCCATCGACCCGAGCGATCGTGTTTCATCGTCTTGATTTCGAGGACTTGTTGGGTGGAACCAAGGTTGTGCCTGGCTGAAGAGGGCTTTCACGGGCAATGGCCGAATGTGCGCGAGGATCTGGTTGTACCATGACCAATTCTGGGCGGGATAGGCAATAGGTCAACCGATTCGTGCATACGTTCTCGGCATCTGGGTTGCTCACAGAACGTAATACCCCGGTAGTATGGCACTGGGCCGTCGTACCTCGCTTTTCGCGTTTCGGCTCCGCTGTGGCCAGTTCTATTCGTACATGCCCCCTATTTCCGCCCCCTCCGACTTACGAGGATTATTGATCCCAGTGAAGGGGCCAAGCCAGGTCACTGGTGCCACTGGTGCCACTGACGAATGCGTATCGCATGTATCGTGGATCGTGTAGCGTTGGTCCCCCGTTCCATCAGCTCCGAGGTACCCAAAAAAAAAAAAGGGAGCGAGGGTGCTTACGAAATGGTCAGTTTCTGACATACATATGTATGTATGTACGAGGTACCTCATCGGAGCTATTACATATGTACTCAGCTAGTACTGTAGCGAGCCGTTGCCGTTTTGTATCCAGAATTGGGCCTTGCAAGGCTTGTTAGGCGTGGGGACGGGTGGAGATGGAGATAGATGGTGGTGGAGGTGTGGTGGTGCAGAGAGGACAGACGGAGTACGGAATTCGAGCAACTGCTTGTACCGGGGTACTGTAGGCACGGGCACCTCGTACTTGGTAATGTTATCATCGAGTGAAATGACTATTCATCGTGAACCCGTCCACTGCCGTTCTGCCGTTCTCTGAACGTGGTAGTTATCTATCAGTGTTGCTCCCGAAACGCCCTTTCCTTTTCCCCTAGAGCACGCAGAGCAGGCCATTCTACGCCCGTTTTTCCACCCAAACCAACATCGATGCACATATTCAACCGTGGGAAAAAAGCGCGAGACGTCCGTCTATCAGATCATCGGCGATCTTGCGCAACCCGTCGCCAACGCCCGGTCCACCGATGTTGGTCATGACCATGTACGTTCCCTCGCGGTCCTCTTCACCACCACCGCCGCCGCCGTTCCCAATGACAGCGTACGCGACCACGTAGTTGTACCGGTTGCTCCCCGGGTGCGAAATGCTGTAGACGGAGCCGTCTGGGTTCCGCCGTTGACAGTGCCACCCACCGGGCGTGTAGATGTCGTCGTCTGCGTAGGGCGTGTGCAGGAATTTGAACATCTCCCGAGACAGCCCGAGAGGCGTGTCTAACCCGTTGACTCCATCGATGTGAGCCTGCAGGAACTTGTTGTACTGTGCCATGGGCGCATGAACCCGGGCGGCTGGGTTGAAAGCCGGCGGTTTGTCGCGGTGGTCAAAGTCGACGTCTGAAACAGGTTCCGCCGCTCCATACGGCTCCGACACCCAACGGTGTGGCCAGGGATTGCAGACGGAAGTGACGTTAGTCTCATCGTTGGGCCCAAACCCTGTGTGCTGCATGCCCAGAGGCTCGAATATTCGAGTCTGAACAAAGTCTTCCCAGGTACTTCCTGTGCTCAACTCTATGATGGCGGCAGTGATCAAATAGTTGGTGTTGTCGTAACAAAATTTGCCCTTGCTTCTCGCTGGAGGTTGGGTCAATGCTTTCTGGACCATCAGCCATCGACCCTGCTTCGGGGATATGTCGGGCCTGTACAAGGACTCATAGAACGGGGTATCGGCAGCCCAGTCAATATCGAGGCCTGATCGATGCGACGTCAACATCTTGATCGTGGTGCTCTTGTGCTCCTCGGCCATAGAATCGGCGAGAGAGGGAATGGCTTCCTCCAGTGTGGAATCCCACCGCAAATGCCCAGCTTGAACCAGAATTGCAAAGGTAGTGGCCGTCATCGCCTTGGTGTTTGATGCCAGATGAAATTGATCGTCCTTGGTGATCTTGAGCGAGGCCCCTATCCGCCTCAGACCAGTAACCGCAGAGGAAAAGTCGCCATGTCTGCTGGAAGCAGCGGCGAGGCCCGGGTAGTTGTACTCTTTGCGTAGTTTTTCGAGGAGCGTATCCCCTACCGTGGTTGAGGCCGACGACAGATCCGGTGGGCTGTTTGAGAAGGGCCATCTTGAGCAGAAAGTCAGTGTCCCCGTCAAATGATAGATATCCCGGCCGTTGCCGCAATCAATACTTACAGCCACCCCCACAACCCGGACATATTAAGGGCGAAGAGGCAGAAGGCCACGAATGCGAACTGTAACCAGCGACGACGACTCTGTGTTCCCTTTGAAGACGGAGGACGCATCATAGCGATGGGGAGATGAGGATTTTTCTCACACTTTCTAGGTTGCAGCTTTCGGATACTTTGCGTGTGAAGTGACAGGAGCGAATCGGATGTAGGCCTGGCTCGTTTCGAGCTCTGCCTCACCGCTAGGCTGGACAGACAGATTCACCAGATGTCATGATCTCTGTGAGTGTTGAACTCCGGTCAGTCACGGTTTCCACTGAGGCGGTGAGGATCTGTTGTGGCAGCAGTGAAAACAAGCAGCCAGACTGTCACTCGGCTGTGGCACCCACATACATGTTAGATAGTCACTTGTTGGCTTGGATCCAAAAGAGGAATAGCCGGACAATGCCTCAAGCGTAAGACCGAATCTTGCACCACTTGACCAAGCAGGTGGTGACTGATGTGTACCTTCCCTGGGACACACGTTTCCCCCAACTTTCGAGGGGCAGCCTCACTCTTAGGCTCCTTTAACTGGTGGCACAGCCGTCTGCCATCTGCCGTCTGCCGTGGCGTATGTTGTGATGCTTCGCCCGTTTGATTGGTTGCTGTTCGGTGTATTTGGGTGTCTGCAAACATACCGTGTTACCATCCCCGTCACCAGGCAAACGGTGTCCAAAAAGGCAACCGTGAGGCTCTGCGGACCATGCCTTTCCGCGTTATTCTTGGCACCCCTCAATTCCCCACAGTACCTAATTCCATTGGACAGTGGCTTTAGCCCCCGCTGGCTAGTGTTTGCAGTGGGTCTCGAGTTTGCTCAATGTCAATCACTTCCTACACACCATCAGGCCGGCCAGCCTGATACTGGATAACTGCCACCGAAGAGCATCAACACAGCGCCCATTGCCTTGATTTTCTTACAAGGATGATGGCCGGATTACATCCATTCGGCCAGACAGCCCAGAAGTCCGAGCCTTGTTTGCCCACCCTTTTTGAACATAAACCCCAAAGAGTCCGAAGCGCATGGAGACTTCCTTGGTGGAAAACCCCCTCTTCTCTTATGCCAACTGAAACCGCGGCCGAGCCTTTTAGAAAGCCGCTCAATGAACCCTTTGCATAGCGAAGCATGCCACGACTGGGGAAATGGGAGATATCCGCCTTCTATTCGGCACAGCGACCGATTGAGCTGAAACGCCTCACACCCTCCAATACCATCTTCTGTGACCCTAACCTCAACCGCCATTCGGCAGACGCAGTGGCACAGATTTCGTCGCAAAGCTGCGCGTGGAACTACGTCTCGAGATCTAGAGAAGCTGCACCCATTGTCGGCGGCGAGTCGAAGGAGGTATTTGAGAACAGTTATCCTGAGCCAGAGGAAGGTGTGCGACCTCGCGCCATCGAGTCTGAATCTTGCAAGCCTCTCCCTAGCCACATCCGTGGCCGGTTGAAGAGGAGACCGGTCCCCTCCATTTCAAATTATGCCTCCATACGAGGACATATCACCAGACAGATACCAGGTTATTCGGTGGCCATCCTCGATGTCTGCCCAGACGACACAGATGTACCCACGAGCAGTGGCATGATATCGAAAGAAATCGCCTGGCAGCGGCCTCAGCAACTCGTCCTGAAATACTACTCCGCCGCCGAGATCACTCGTGACCCACGACGAACCGGCCGGGAGTACGTTCCGCGCTTCTTCAACGAGGTCAATGCATATGCCCAGGCGAGGGCCGCCCAGGGAACAGTCCTACCGTATGTTTGTGGGGTGTATGAGGATGCCAGTACCGCGGTCGTGACGGGCCTCTATCTGGTCATGGAATACCTCCCCAATTCGACCACTCTAAGAGACATGGATAGCCATCTTCGAGCAAGTTTGGTGGGCCTCCTTCGCGAGAAAACCGCGCTTGCTTTGGAGGCGTTGCATTCCAGTGGCGTCTCGCATGGCAGTATGAAGAGTAACCAACTGCTCATCTGCGCAGACACTCATGACGAGAATGAGCATTCCACGTTTTCGGAGGGAGAGGATTGGTTTGTGGTCATCGTCGACCTGCAGTATGCTAGGTGAGCTCCTTCTCCAACCCCCCATATCTCTGGCCCACCGATTGGGCCAACCGAGATCTGATACACCTCCCAGGTTTCACCGCGCTATGCATGAGTTGGAGTTGGCAGCCGAAGTAGACCGGCTTGCCCTGCGAGAAGCATTTTCTTACTGTGGCTGCAAAGCGGAAGAAGACGACGATGATGAGGCGTATCAACAATTTATTCGTGAACGTCAGTTTTCCATGGGTTACTGTTGAGAGGATAACCGCTGTAGCCACCGCCGTCACGGCCTCCCGGAACCGGTGAATGTATGGTCAAAAGATTGCCAGATTCTCTTGAGCTTCAAAAAACTCGTCATCACTGTCCGGATCTGATGATTCTTCGGTTTCGGGTTCGTCACCGGGACATGGACGAGGTCGAGGAGATTGTTCGTTTCGTCGCTCCATCAGGACCGCAAGCCAGTCCTTCATCGCTCGCACAAACTCCTCACTCAAAGCAATACTCGTGGCCCCGTGTAAAATGTCACGTGCTGTGTAGCCAAAGGCATCCTGCTTCTCGGGGTTTAGTTGCGACAAATCGAACCCTCCATTCGCAAGCACGTCCAATGCCTTCATACTCCCCTTGGACGCGACACGGTGAAGAATCGACTGCCCCACGTCATCACCAATGGTGTAGTCCGCGCCTCTCCTCATCAACACCCTAATCACATTCACACTATCGTAATCGATCGCTTCCATTAGCGGGGTCGAGCCGCCCACGCTTTGTTGATTGATCCGCGCTCCGTGGTCCAGTAGACATGTCACCATTCGTGGCCGATTGTTCAGAGCGGCGCGGTGCAGGGCCGTCTTCCCTCGACTATTACTACCGCTTCCACCAACAGACACGCCGCTTGGAGGAGACACCATGGCATTCACGTCCGCGCCGCCGTTGATCAAGGCAAGCATGTAGGCCGGGTCGTCTTGATTCATCGCCGCGGTGTGCACGGGTGGCCAGCCGCCCCAATCGCAGGAAGATACTGATGCGTGGGCCTTGACGAGCAGACGAACACATTCAGGAGATTTGCTCCGCAGTGCATAGTGCAATGGGGACGCCTTGAGCTTGGAACAGATGTTGGGGTCGGCATCGTGACGGAGAAGCTGGGCCACACTCTTCACGTCCCCCCTCTGCGCTGCCCACGATAGAGCAGTGCGGTTCTCGGTATCCACAGCGTCGACGTCCGCAGCACGAGACTCGAGAAGTTTCTGCAGTTTAACGCGAAGGAGACCAAGGAGGCATTTGTGAATCACAGAGAACCCCTTTTCGTCAAGGACGTCACCCGACCCGAAGAGTCGTTTGAAATTCTCTGCGAGAGGGGAATTCTCCGGTTGCGTGAGGATGACGGCCCACGCTTTGTCCACAGCGGAGCTGCCCACACTGTTTTCGATTGTCGGGTCCGCGCCGGCGTGGAGGAGGAGCTCACAGATCTCCGGATGGCCAAAGTCGATGGCATACTGCAAGTCGAATTAGCTATCAATGTCATATGTCCTCTAAAGGGGTCGAGTAGCGTACGTGTAAGGCCGTATTTCCGAAATTTGTGTGTACCTCGTTTGGATGGGCGAGCTTCTTTGAGAGTATGTCCTGCGCAGCTAGCACATTGCCTTGGGCCGCAAAGATGAAGAGCTCAGAGCGTTGGACGACGGTGCGTAGTGAAATATGGATGGAGACTTTGGAGAGGGTGTTGACAATGCCCAGGGAGACGGCGCGGGAAAAGTACCACGAGGGGAAGTGGTACGTGGCTTTGACGCTGAAGGTAGTATTGCGGGTGCAGGATGCTTTGGAGCATTTTTGTCGGCCCAACGGTAGACCAGAGTAACCTAGGAAGAGACTTCCGAAGATGCCTTGGAATATCTTGGGCGTATTGACCGAGCACCTTTGGTGACAGACGCAGCTACACCATGTTTTGCATGAGTCTGGGCCGTAGCGAGAGACTGTGACGCCGATGTGAGAGATAGACGAGTCCCAGGGACTGATGGTGTCCATCTGAAATGCCATGTTCGGCGGCAATGTGACCAGAGAAGTAGCCCGCGCACCAAAGGTCTCGTTAGCAGACATGTAGTCCTGTGCTGTCTTCTGGTGCTGAAGGTTGTCTCTCAGCATGAATGGCTGATTGATTTCTCGAGTCTTGCATTGTGCCCCTTGAGCCGTGTTGTCGATCTGTCTCCTTTCCCTTGCCACGGTCGTTGCTCTCTCAGCTCGTGAAACGTCAAGAAGGGCCAGGTCGACTCGAACAAGTCCGGACGCAGACGCAATGGCTTTTCTCAGCTGCTCCCGCAGCGGGCGAATTTGGTGTAGCAACGACGCAAGCTCACGCAACTTTTGCCGACGATGTGCTTTCGTCACACGACCTAATAACGTCGTTGGGGTACCCATGACACTGAGATATGCTCGTGCGGCATCATCGATCCGAGGCAGAATTTCTTCGAGCTGGATGAGGATCCTCGAGATGGCAGGCAGCGGGCGATGGCATCGACCATGTTCAACATCATTATTCCTGCCCACAAGGTCTGGGAGAAGAACCTTCAGGTCGGCGACTTCATTCTTCAGGGCAAGGATCTCATCTGGACATTGGCCAACCGATCGGCGAATTTGCTCAAGTCTCGTGTAAACGGTGCTAAGGCTGGCATTGAACGAGTCAACCGATCCCTTTTCCTGGTATTCCTCGAAGATCATCGACATGGCAGTAAACCTTTGTCAGTGCATTGATTCCATCGAGTTTAAGTAGGTGTCCAAGACTTACCGACGCACAGGTTGTTGCAGTGTTGAATCAGCGCCTTATATATCCGTGCCCTATGTCATCGGGCGCATGCGGCAGCTGGTCATGCCAGCAGGAGGCAGGGGCCAGGCTGTTTGGGCATCGTTTGCCTGACCACAAGTCCAAGTTGTCATCGGATTGGCTGGTGTGAAGAGCATGCCGGGGAAGTGCATGAAAATAACAGCTAAAGTGAATCCCAGGACGCTTTTGTATGGTACCGTTTGCATCGACCGGAGACATTCAGCCCAGTTGAATTTTGCAGCCAAGGTCAAGTTGAAGGCGCCCGACTCTCACACCTTCGCTAAGGTGGAAATCTGCTAATATAAGTAGGAGAGGTTATGACACTTTACACGAGCGTCAGCTCTCGCAACTCGATATATGGCCCCCATCCTCCCCTCCTCCTCCCTCGTCCTCTTCCTCTCACCGGAATATGGTCGACGATTGCAGAAGCCTGCCATGACCAGCCAAACATTATGAGCTTCGGATTCAGCCTAGGCGACCTTGTCACCGTGCCACAGTTCGCGTGGAACGTGTATCACACCTGTAAGAAATCGCCCTCAGAGGCTCGCGTCATCGCATCCGAGCTATTCACCCTATGTGGCATCCTACAGACCTTGGGCGATGGTAGGGCGCATTACATGCGGACGCTGGCCGAGAACGATAGAGTCCGACTACTCTCAGCCTACAATGTGTGTCGCGATGTGCTCGAGGAAGTCTCAGCCACTCTACGCAGGCATTCGGAGTTGAGCAAAGACAATCCTCATCTCTTTGCACGCTTAAAATGGGGTGCCGAAGACGTCCCTGCGTTGAGACTGCGCATCATCTCCAGCACCTCGCTGCTCACGGCAATCCAAAGCAGTAGACAGTCGTAAGGACACCCGGAACCCTCCATTTGTCCATGAACTAACGTGTGCTTAGACTATCGGCGTCAAGAATGGAGGACAAAGTCGACCAGCTCCTCTCGCGACTAGATTCTTCACCATACGAGTGGTTCCGATCGCCATCAAACCCTAATCGCAGCCTCGAGATTGGGCGCAGACCTCAGAGGCTGCTCCCAGAGAACGAAAATGACAATCGGTTGATGCTTTCGCTAGAGCAATTGACCACGTCTTCGCTCCTTCAGCTGCCCGCTTCAATCAGAGAAACTCAGACACCCATCGATTCGGAGTCACGCAAAGGACTTCTCAAGCCATCTTGTCGACTGCTTGGCTCACTCACAAGACCTTTCTCCCACTCGAAACCATCCACTTCGACCAAGTCGGACGATCTCCCTCGCGCTGCCGCCGCTTCCAACATCCCCAAAATCCAACACCTTCTCATGTCTGGCTACCCGGTGGACCATGTCGATAGTAGTCATGGCTACACTGCTCTGCACAATGCTGGCATGTCCGGCTGCGTTACCACCCTCGTCCTCCTCCTCTCGCATTCGGCCTCGGTCTCGATAGCAGACGTAAACGGCGCAACCGCCCTCCACCACGCCGCACAGAATGGACACGTGGACGCATCCCTCCTACTCATCCAGAAAGGGGCAGATATCGATGCGGCGGACAGCGCCGGACATGCACCGTTGTTCTATGCTTTGCAGAATGGACATCTCTCGGTCGCAAATGCCTTGCTCGGACTGGGTGCGAAGATGGCGCTGCTGGCTGATGGGGGACAGACATATGACTATTGGGCGAGTAGACTTGCTCCTTGCGCCGAAGAGATCCGTCGATGTGATACGCAGGACGATTCCTGACTTCACGATAGGCAATCAAAAACGAAGAAGATCTTCGGGATAAACGTGAAGGAGGTGAGGATATAGTGTCTTGTCGTCCTGTCTCTCTCTGTTCAGCTGGATCGTCTGGAACGGTTCAGCTACATAGGAAGCTTCGGCTGTGTCATGGTTTGCTTGATATTTGTTTTGTGTGTTACCTCCCGTGGTCACTTACATCATTTATTCTGTGTGGCGCGACCGAGACTCATGCCCACCTGGACATCCATCATGATCAAGTGGCGGCTCACACTGAGCAAGTCCTCGTCGAACTGGATGCAGCCCTCCTCGAATGCGACGATGATGCTCGATCCACCAAACTGGAACAAGCCGACCTCATCGCCCTTCCTCACCTCGGAACCGACCTGCTGGCACTTGGGGTTGATTTCGACGGTGCCAACGTTAGTCGCGCCGATCGCCACGAACAGCACCTTGCCAAATTCCTTGGAGTTGATGCACACGGCGCACCGCGCGTTCGTGGTCAAGACGTCTATGTCACTTCTGAGGCACAGCGGATCCACCTGGTAGTAGTCACCGGGGATCTGTTTGAACCATTCAATCGTGCCGATGACAGGGGAGTGGTAGCGGTGGTAGTCTTGAGGCGAAAGCCGGAAGCTCGCGATGGCGCCGTTGTGCCATGGTTTGGCAACTTCGTCGTCGCGTATGAGGTTACCTACGGTGAAGTTCCTCCCCTTGATCCAGAGTTTCTTGGTCTGCGCCACAGTTGGGTAGACCACCAGACGACAGTCTGCGACCACCACGGCACGCGTGGGGTCGTTCTGCTCGAAGATGGGTCGTGCGCCAGGTCTGTGCTGTCGAACGAAAAATTCCTCAAAGGTGCGATACTTGTGGATGTCGGAAGGCGAAAAGTCGTCCATATTGATGTGATAGAAGTCCACGAAAGCCTTGATCTGACGAGCTGACGCTGGTGTGCCTTCCTCTTTTCCTGTCCCGCCATTTCATTGGTTAGCATCATTGAGATTTGCAAGGAGCATGTATCAAAGACAGGACGAGCGGCAACGCAGGGACTTCTCACCGGCTGTGATGGTCTTCTCGTGGATCCACAGCCGAAGCAACTGCGTACGATCCAGCCATTCAACGGGACGACTGAAGAGAACCCAAAGCTTTATCTTTTTCCATATCGGCTGTTGTTCGCGCTCAAGGCGGCCTGTTTTGCGATTCAGTGTTTTCCAGCCTATCTGGCGGTTTTGGACGAGTTTGACCGTCGAGAGAGCATGGTCCAGGATTCGGTGGATCCACTGCAAGATGAGGTCGAACATTGTTTGTCGTGGGTACGATGCTATGATTGTGAAACAGTCTAAATTTGAAGATTGGCTGTGGGCACAGTCTGTATGATTTAGAGGGTTTGAGGAAATGAAAAAAAGAATTGTATCAGAATTGCACTGTCGGATGTCATCTCCGATCTTAACTTGTACTGGAACTGTGTAACGTCATAGCTCTGACATCAGTCACTGCAGTTTGGAAGCAATGCTCAATTGATACTGGCACATCTAGAGTATTTCTAGCTCACGGACCTCGAGGCTGGTCGGAGACCGTTGGGGTGCAGGTGATGTTGCTACGCCCCGTAACCGGACTCTTACCATTCTCGTTGACAGCTAAACCGGGTCATCGGAATCGCGACTCTCCATCACCAGATGTTCTCCGTGTACGGACTTTACAGGGGTGAGCAGCGACGTTTCCTTGATCTGACAGTGTCCTCTGACGACCGCCGTAGGTGGGAGGGTATTGATTTCGGTCTTGGTCAGTCACGGGCATATCGTTTGCGTCTCGCGCCCGATGGGGCTGACCATCTGCGGGATGTTCTTTGCGATATCGAATGCTGACCATGGAGAATGGACTGGAGCACCAGTAGGTACCTGGGTAGCCTCCAACGTAACAGCCGCGTATCAAAGGGTTCGTAAAAAGGAAGATGCACCCTGGATCAACGGGCGCAGTTGGGCGTCGAAGGTCTCAATTTAGGTCATGTGGTAAAGCGGCACAGGCTATTTCTTTTCGGGTTAGTGTCATTTTACCTGTCGCACAGCCTTTCGCCTTACAAGCCGCCAAGCAAATCAATTGTCTGGTTCAACGGCGATCAACAATCCTTCATTTTCAATAACTGAGGAGGTGCTCACAGCAATTCCAGCGGTCTTATCAATCTAATGCTCTAGATGCGGTCACGATGAATGGCAGTCCTGTCGACTCTCTGGCGGAATTGCCACCATATCTACGCGACATACTGAATCAGCTACCAGAAGACCACTCTATTGCCCTCAGCGAAACCGCGGGCCCCTTGATATCGGATATCAAGAAGCTGACGGATCGGAAGAAAAGATATGCGTACTTGCTTCTCTCCCGTCACCGTTTGACTCGCCTTCTGGCCGAATGTCCCGGTCCCTGTCCAGATCTCATCCTCCGCCGTGCTGAAGTCTACGAGGCCCTCGGGTATAGTGAACTAGCACTGGCGGATGCATATGTCTCGTACACCCTTTGTCTCGTGGCTTTAGATGATCCCGATATCTCAGACCTTGAGCCTGTTGATTTGGAAGGAAATCCCTGGCCGCCTTCCGATGACGGCCAGAGCGAGGATGACCCGAACCCCGTGGCACTGAAGCAAAAATACCGCTCACTTGTACTGATGTGTCGCTCTGCCATTATCCTGGGTGTACAGACCCAAGCGAAGCTGTGGATTGACGAGGTCTTGGCGGTGAAGAGGATCATCCGGCGCCTGAACGGAGAGGAGCCTCGAGAGCCGGTCCGGGACATTGAGGAGGTTGTGGGAGATTTTTCTGAGTATTCCACTATCTATGAGGACGAATCCAAATTCCACAAATGTGTCAAGATCCTCCGACGCGATGTCAAGCCCACTCTGTTTGGGTGGTGTCAACGCCAAATATACCCTTGGAATGAGTATGAGCCCGACAGAATGTCCAGAGAAGCGTTGATCGAGATCAACGAGAAGCTCCACGTGGTTGCCCCGGATCTGGAAGTAGAAATATCCACGTTGCCGACTCTTACACCTTCGATGGATGAGGGTATGCAGAGACTTTCTGTTGGTGAGCTGAGAACCTCTGTGTCTTCGACAGCCAATTGCTCTTCGCAACTGGGGCTATTTGCCAAAAAGCAGCTTGCGCCGGGAGCTACCATTTTGAGAGAGCGATCGGTCCTGACAGCCATACGCCCACATGGCGAAGCCCTCTGTGATGCTTGTGCGGCTGACATGGAAGATATCGACCGAGAGGATCGGAGATATTGTGTAGGATGCAATATACCATTCTGCTCGGAAGAATGTCAGAGAGCTGCCAATGAGCGTTACCACCACCCGAACGAGGAAGACTACCAGACCGATGAGGGCTATCCTCCCGCTGAAGCCCCTTTTTGCCCTGGATCTAGTGGCAATGACGACCTGAACACACTTGGTCGAGCTGAAAGTTCGACTACCCCTGAATGGGATTTGTACTTTTTGCTCCTGTCACGAACCTTGCAACTGGCCGAGACCCAGAAATTGCATCCGTTAGATCTCTTCGAGACAAAGTATTTGTGGGGGGATTTCTCCCCGACCCCGGAAGTCATGGATCTCCCACTCAAGAGTGGTCCGAAGTCACTACCATACAGCGTACGCCATCATGTTGAGTTGCCTCTCCAATGGTTTGAAGTTCTCATGCACTCACGAGAGAGATGCACGCCATACAGTGCCGCGTGGCTGAAAAAGTACGACTGGTGGATCATTCAAACGCTCTTTTCCAAGTTTCGAGGAGTGGCAGATGCACAACAATCGACGTGGACGGGTAAGCCTGAGGTCGCAGCCGTTCATCCGCTCTGGTGTCTGGCAAATCATAGCTGCAACCCAAACGTGACTTGGAAGCCCTCGGGGGTAAGAAATCTGACAGTCGTCCAGGAGAGGGTGTGGGAGAGGCCTGATTTTCCGTCGCCAACCACGTGGGAAGGGATTCATGCTGGTGAGGAGATTTGGAACCATTATACAGATGTGCAGGAAACCGACTATCGAGAGCGGCGAGCCCGCTTGCAAGCGGTCCTCGGAGGGGATTGCCGGTGTGAGAGATGCACATATGAAGCGAAACAACACTGAGCCCTGGCATGGCGACAGTGCATTGAACAAGTCCACGGAGCCAGTGACCAGCGAAGAGCAGCTCGACAGCAGCCGGGAACTTTCAGCATTCCGGAGACGGCCAATGTGCTTTTCGACACCATCAAATGCTTCTCTGTATTTGCGGCTGCGTATAACATTGGACAGAGGCGTTTTAGCAACTGAAATGCTCCCCAATCTGCCAAATACCAGTAGGTACGACCGGTTTCAAGAAGCCCTACTTGCGGCAGGTGATCCTGAACCTCGTTGGGCTGGTCACTGCTTGACAAACGGAAGCAATCTGGATCGCTCGGGCTTGTGTATTTGTTATCGTCTCGGTATCGCTACTGCTCTCATTGCGTTCCTATTTTGCAGCCCGATCAATCACATGTTGGCAAAAATCAGCTTTTGGGAAGCATTGATCAGGTATGGATCAGGATTACGGCGGCCATCCACAGCAGAAATATCGTTATCGACCACGCATGCCGCTTGCGTCACGCATCAGGTCTTTTGCAACGGCTTTGAAACCAGAAAAGACAACACTTCCACGGCTTGGACAGTATTCAAAGGCTTTCTTCCTGGACCACTGGCTCGATGTTGTTTGTGTCCTTACCATCGCGGGCATTACGGGTGCGGTAAGTATGCATTAAATATATGCCTGTCGGTTTAATCTCCAGCGCTGACCAGCAGGCACAGATTTGGATCATTCCTACCCGTCCGCCTCATCTATTTCCACTCCTTACCCCTGACGGTGCCACTTATAATCCCTTGATCGGCTATCCGTATGTGTCGCCTATATTCTCCTCACTTCTCACAGGTCTTCTCTGCGGCCTCATGCCTCTTGCAGTGATTTTGCTCTCTCAAATCTTCGTCCGGTCCTTCGCAGACTTCTCCTCTGCTACTCTGGGCCTCCTATATTCACTGGTGACGGGGACATGTTTCCAAGTCATTCTGAAGAAATTCATTGGGGGACTTCGACCACATTTCCTAAGTGTCTGCGTTCCGGTAGTGCCAGACAGGCTGATCGGATCTGGATACAACAGGATGATGTACCGTGCAGGAGATGTCTGCACAGGCAACCCCAAAGACATTGACAACGCGCTACAGTCATTTCCGTCAGGACACAGTGAAATTGCGTTTGCAGGGATGGGGTATCTCTCGATCTATCTTTTCGCCCATCTTCACATCGGCGACGCCTCTAGACCTGAAAAAAGGGGGTTCTGGCGCATGATTTTGGTGCTCATGCCTATCCTGTTTGCGACTTACATCTCGAGCACGCTCGTCTTGGGACACCACCACTTTGCGCACGATTGCTTGTTCGGTGCGGCGATTGGCTGTCTGACCGCGGTATTGGGGTACAGGATTGCCTTTAGAGGGTTGTTCGATGCGAGGATGAATTGGAGACCCAGGGTGGGGAGAAGATTGAGGAGGGTAGTGGACGCGGAGTCAGAGAAGGGAAACCATGTGGGATCGGAGAGGGAGTCTTGGACTGATGGCACAGCGGTCGACGTCGAATCGAGGAGGTCGACTCGTCGTGGGCGAGGCACGCGAGGCGAGAGCCAGACAGGGAATGAGCCAGAGATGGATCCTCGCAATTGACAACAGACAGGAAGCTAGTCGCATCTTTATGTTGAGGGTTGGATATCATGCGGATAGAGCGAGCGCCCTATGATTTTGCCAGGAGGGCTGGGGGAACATTGAGATGGTCGGCACCGAAGAGACGGTATAACAACGAACCTTTTACACATTTACACGTTTACACGTTTACACATTTGGGCGGCGTTTCTATTGTCATCTCAGACCAGGGGCCATGTGGACATCAGAGCTCATTCAAGGCGACACGAATCTCAGAGGACGTCTCTGCCGGAAACGCGCATCATCAGATTGAAATCCGTTGCCGTTCCTCTCCAGCATTGAGCTTCAAGCCATGTTCGACCCGGTGTTGGGCTTGGTATCGCCCTCGGCGGCTTGAGTGGTCGCCGCCGTGTCGAGAGAAAACCCGTGCTCCATCTTCGGTGTATTGGGAACACTGCTTTCGTCCGCTCCGTTCCCATTGTTGTTCTCGGCCTTGAACTCGTGCTTGACCGCGGGTTCCTGCTTGATCTTGCTCTTTGTCTTCTGGAAGTCTTCTTCCTGTATATGTTCTCTGCCCTTTTCCCTCTCCCGCTCCATTTCCTCTTTCTGTTTGCGAGCGGCTTCCCGCTCCCTCCTTCTGCGCCTTCGTTCTTCCCTATCGTCTTCTCCGCTGGCGCTGGTCAACGGACTCAGTAACGGAGTTCCAAGAGGCGTGCCGTCACCTCCACGTTCTCTATTCCCATCTTTGTCTCTGCGTCCGTCTTTTGCCGGCTTCCTTCTGATGCTGGCTGTGCTACTCACCGAGCTTCCTCTCCTCATTCTCTCCGAGAGAGGCCGGTCAGCGGACACGTCAAACTCCAGATGTGGCGTGGAAGAGCGCGATGATTGTCTGCTTCGGCTGTGCGTGGATTCAGTGTCGAGGTTGGTGCTCCTTCTCTTGCTGGCTGTACCACTCAATCCTCGAGAGTGCGCACCACCCTCCCTTTCTGATAGGCTGGCGCGGTGTGAGCCTGTCCCGGCGTGTTGCAAGTGGGGATGTTTCTCCAGATCATGATGCCGTCTCTGGCCATGATGTCTAGATGACTGTAGTCGCCAAGCACCTGTCCACCATTTCCACCCTCCCGCCTCCTTTGCCTTTGCTCTCCGGAGAGTATTTAACTTTCTCCGTAGTCCTGCCCTCCGCTCGTTCTCTTTTTCCCAATACTCTGTGCGATAATCTTCCCAGTTCTCCCGAAACTCTGGGGAGAAGGACTTCGGGAGCAAGAGAAGCATGATGGCGTCACCTCCCTCGGCGAGATCTTCCTCGATCACCAGGCCGTTTTCGTGTTCGACAAGATGCCAATCTGAGCCCCCAGCTTCGCGCCAAAGCCCAAAGGGTAGTAAGAAGGAGAGGTGGCCGAGCATCTCCCTCCAGAACTTCCCCCGGATCCTAACTACGCGGAGGTTGAAACCCCTCAAACCTCTGTTTGTTGTACCTAGCCATTTTCGGGGCCAGCGGATGCCTCTTTCCCATTGTCCTGTGCCCCAAACAAGGAGAACCGTGACAATACCACCCATCAAGGCGAGTTTCTCCGACGTTTCGACGACCCAGTACACAGAGCCACCCAGGCCGGTGCCATCTTCTCGAGGACGCAGGAAGAGAGCATAGAAGAACAGGCTGTTCCAAGCAGCCAGCAGCAGCAGGAAGAAAGTGTTCAACCGACGGCGGGAGACAAGGTGTAGATACTGTGCGCGCAGGGACGACTCGAGAATCAGGAGGTTCAAGTAGATCTGCGGAGGCGAGGAGGGCAAGGTGGCTAGAAGAGGATCGAGAGAGGACTGCTCGGAGGCCTGTTTTCCTAGAGAATGGAGTGGAGCAGAGGGCAATGGTCGAATGTCTGTCGTAGGTGCGCCTTTGACTATTTGATTGAGGCGAGATTCGGGCGAGGCCATCTTCGAGGAAGTCGTGGCGGGAGAAGCAAAGATGTTGTTCGGCGTGGATTAGTGTAGTGCCATGGAGAACGTGAGGTGATGCTGTTTGGGCTATTGTTTGTCTACCGCTATACCATCAAGCTCGCACAGAGGGTGGTGCAATGCGCTTCGGGTGACTGGAGCGGAATGACGAGGCTTCGATCGGGGAGTGCGGTTCGAGTCAGGATGCTCGCATGATGGTTCCTGCAGGAGATGACGAGCGCCAGGCACCAAGATTTCCTGAGACTCGAGGTGATAATCACAGGAGCAATTTTGAGACGTTGCAACCTTGTCACGCTCGGGCTGCACGAGAACGGACGAAGGTGTCAGTTGGAGAATGACCAAAGTGTTAACTCCGGGCTGCATGTGGTGGGAGCATTTGACTGGGTGTTTAGTGGGTTGGCGGGCAGTTGACAAGGGGGGCATCGAGGGCCAAAGCCGGCTGAATTGCAATCCGAGTGGCTGATCTGACCCTCTGGTGCCTCCTTGCCCTGCATCTTCATCCGCGTCTATGATGTCGGCGTTGAGGGAAATGGGGAAAAAAGCGAAGAATTCTACTTCCTGTATCTCGGATCTATCGCTGCCTCTGGGACCCCTTTACGCTCATTTCGCTTTGATTGTGCATTAATGCTTCTGCCTGGCCTACGCGAACATCAGCGGCTAATGCCAGACTTCCATACATGTCCTTGAAATAGATTACCTTCTTCCCTTCTTCACTTGGTGAATGTCCTGTATATGAGACGAACGCTTCCCTCCGCCCTTCCGCTCCTAGAGGCAGCTCCCCGATCTCCCATCCTTTACCCTCGTCGATTCCAGTCCTCAATCACATCCCCCCCTCTCACAACCGATCCTGAAGACCTCAATCTGCCTCCCACCTCCCACCATCCGCCCGTCATGTCTGCGTCTATCTCGGCCGCCGACTCAGACAGCGAAGTGCAATCTCGAACCCAGCAGAGTCCCCTCGCCTCTCAGCGAGCCAATGCTGAGAACCCACGACGATCTCGCATCGAGGGCCTTTTCCCTCTGTCGTACAAACAAGGATTCTCACAGTGGTGGTCCGCTCTCCCCGCTGCTCAAGCAGAACACCGAGTGCTCTCGTTTGTTCCACATTTGCAGCAACCCCCCACACATGCAAAGACAGGCTCTGCGCCACCCTCACAGACCAACTCTACCGTCGCCATAGACAAGACCGCCTCGCCAGAAGCCACCACCTTCACAGACTCGATCACAGATCCGCACGGCCCTCGAACGTGGCACTCTCGCCTCGTTCCCCTCTCGGGGAAGAACCGCGCATTGAACGAGTTCTCTGTTGTGCGCAACGTCCCCGAAGAAGGCGATCCGGAACATAACCTGGTCATACTGCACGGCTATGGGGCAGGTCTAGGTTTCTTCTACAAGAACTTTGAGCCTCTTTCCCGGGCGCCAGGGTGGCAACTCTATGCTTTGGATATGCTGGGCATGGGCCGCAGCTCGAGACCGCCATTCAAATTAAAATCCAAGACGAGGGAAGCACAAATAACCGAGGCGGAGGATTGGTTCATCGACTCATTGGAGGAGTGGCGAGTCAAGAAGAAAATTGACAAGATGACGCTCATGGGGCACAGCATGGGAGGCTATATGGCTGTGTGTTATGCGCTGAAATATCCTGGCAGACTGAATAAATTGATTCTGGCCAGCCCGGTCGGAATACCAGAGGATCCTTACGCCACGCACGCAGCTATGCCGCCGCCGCCAGATTCAACGGCACAGAATGAAGTCACGCAGGATCAGGAGACCACTGACAACAACAAACTATTCAATGGTCGCAAGAAGGCAGAGAAGGAAGCGCAACTGAAGCAGAAACCAAACCCCAACCGTCTCCCAGTGCAGGACACCTCTTCAGCAGAAAACTCGTCTTCGGACGAGACCTCAACACCTGCGCCGCGTCGCCCTCTGCCAAAATGGCTCACCTATCTGTGGGACGCAAACATCTCCCCGTTCAGCTTTGTTCGGTGGTCCGGTCCATTGGGTCCGCGCCTTGTCTCAGGGTGGACGTCTCGGCGCTTCTCACATCTGCCCCCGGAAGAAGCCCTCGCGTTACATGATTACAGTTACTCTTTGTTTCGGCTCAGAGGTAGTGGGGAATATGCGCTCGCCTATATTTTGGCTCCCGGAGCATTTGCAAGGAGTCCTTTGATCCGACGGATTGGGGCCGTGGGAAGACAACCTCTCACAGCTTCGACACACGAGGTCAATGAGCAAGGCCAGTTGGAGCAGTTTCCAGGATCAACTTCAGCCGCGCAAAACGAAACTACTTCGTCTACACTGGCTTCTGCTTCACAAAATGTCGCGAGAGAAAGGGGGATCCCGGTCGTATTGATGTATGGTGAAAACGACTGGATGGACGTCTCAGGAGGATACGCTGCCAAGAAGAAGATCGACGCTCAAACGAGTCGCGCTTTGGCTGCCACTTCGTCCGAAGAGAGACACCAGGACCACGGGTCTGCGAAGGTTGTCATCATCAAGAACGCAGGACATCATCTATACCTCGATAATCCAGACGACTTTAACGAGGTGATCCTCGCTGAGATGGAAGATGTGCGGCGACGGTTTTTGAGGGGCCGAGAGAATTTGAGGTAGAAATTGAGGGCCTTGGAGTTGTGAGAGACGATAGAAATGGTCCGAATTGCATGGGCAGGCGAATGGGTTATGGTGATTCGAGCATCATGATGATATTACGGGATTTAGACGGGCATTATGTCTTTTTTTGCATGCGTCGAGCGCGAAGCTCCGAGTCGGGCAATCATAGAAGGGCGAGCGGGCATATATTCTTTGGTCAAATGCCTCTTTAACAACAGCTTGGTGAGGCGGGCTCTGTGGTGTCATTTCCCGGTTCAACACGTGGTGACATTGTTGGTATTTTCTTCCGCTGATTTTGATTTGAAGCATACCGCTCCCGAGAGAAGTTAGGTGAGTCTCGGGTGGAGGAGATTTGAAGGGACGATGGGCTGGGCGACGTACACGGGTGGTATTTATTGAATCTTTGGGGCCAGTGTTGCCGTAGCATACTAGCCCTGTTCTACTGGTAAAAGGCGACGATATGGCAAAGTGCCAGGGTCAAGGTCAAGGTCAAGGTCAGGGGTCGAACAGACTGACCAACCCCAAAAGATATCCATCCATCACGGCGTCTCCTCCACCAAATACACCAGTTTCTCTCCACTGACCTTCCCGTCCTTCATGTCCTGCAGGCCCTGCAAGACGCCCTCCAACCCACCCTTGCCGACCCGCTCCTTGTGCGGCCGCAACTTGCCCTGCGCGAGCAAGTCCTCGACCACTGCCAAAAACTTCTTGGCGTACGCAAAGTCCTCGTCCACGGCCGGGATCTGCTGCGGCCCGAACGTGAACGGCTCCCCGAAGATGGTGTACATGAGCGTGGTGACGCTCTCGACTTCGGGCCGGGGCGACTTGGCCTGCAGGATGGAGCCGTATTTGAGGACGCCGGGGTGGGAGGAGCTGGACAGCGCGTCGGCGCAGAACCGCGCGCTCGACTCTTCGCTGATCGTGTCCCACGCGAGCGTGAGCTTGTTGTCCGTCAGGGCGCGGATCTTGGCCGGCGCCTCCGCGTCCTTGTAGTCGAAGACGTCGCTCGCGCCGAGGGACTTGACGTACTCGAAGTTGCGGGGCGAGCAGGTCGTGATGACCGTGTAGCCGGATCTGTTGGGCAGGGTTTAGAAAGAAAAAAAGTGAGGGAAGAGGAGGGTAGTCAGGTTTTGTTTCGATGAGGATGATATGAGTAGTGGTGGTGGTGGTGATGATGGTGTGAACGGCGAGGATGATTTGTGGGGGTTGTATGTGAGTAGAGTAGAGTAGAGTAGTACTTACAACTTTGCGAATTGAATACCCAGGGCCCCTGTGGCGGTGCTCCCACCATAGATGAGGACGTAGGTCTTGTCCTTGATCGGGTCCGTGGGCCAATTGAGCTTCAGGGCCTTTTGATACAGGCCCTGCATGACGGTGGTGATGCCCAGGACCAAGGTAGACGCCGCCTCAAACCCCAGCGAGTCCGGGATCTTGACCTGCACGTCGCCCTTGGCCACGACGTACTCGGCAAAGGCGCCGTCCTCGGGCTGCACCGCGTTGCCGCCATGGGCGACGCCAGCGATCCGGTCGCCCTTGGAGAAGGACTTGGTCACGGCGGGGCCGACCTCCTCGACGACACCCGAGAAGTCACACCCCGAGAGGCACCCGTCGGCGGCGAGGCCGAAGGTGGCGTGTTTCCAGTCGGTCGGGTTGAGGGCCACGGCGACAGTCTTAACGAGGATGTAGTCGTCGCGGAGTTTGGGCTTGGGTCGGTCCCGGTCGAGGTAGGCCTCGTTGCCCTTGATCACGACAGCCTTCATCCTGGAATTTCCCTACCGAGTACGGCTTGGGCCTTGGGTCGAAGGAATTCTCTTAGTCACGTTTGTCAGCACGAGTCGATGCTCTTTCTGGAGGGTGATTTTCTGTGAGATAGACACGCCCGCACCTTGTCTCTCAGAGGATAGGGTTAAAAGGTACCCGGTGACTCCGGTTGCTAGGATCTGAAAGTGTAGAAGGTTGAGAGGACTATACGTGCGTACTATGTTCAAACGTAGAAGGCGACAGAAAAGGATGACGTTCTCATGATATCATTAATTCCTAAATATCTAAAACACACTGGTAGAAGCTGACAAGGACAAAGGTGTGCGGTCGCGAGAACCGGAACGAATGATCCCCCACTGGAGTAGAATAGGCTTGAGTAAGCAAATTGTTAATGAGAAGTGCCTCTTCTGGGTGATGGCGAACCAGGAAATGGACGACGGGCGAGGGGAATCGGTTTGTCCCAAGCACCCAAGAGGTTCCAAATGTGGCTCTGGGTGGCTCTGGGTGGCTCTGGGTGGAGGGATTGTTGTAGTGGTGGAGTCGATCAAAACCTCTCTGAACATTATTACCTCGGCCGTTCGTCGTGCCCTGACTCGATCAAAGGGACAACGGAGACATGTCCTCTGCTGACTCCAAGAGCTTGTCCTTCTACAACAGGCCTCGATCCAAAAGCCGTTTCTGGAGTGCTTCATTGGCAGCTTGCAGGTCCTGGTCGGCCTATTGGCCCGGTGGCATCCACATGTGGAAAAGAGCCTCGTATGTCGACTGGTTATGGAAAGTCGAGTCCTTATTGGCGAAACAGTCTCCCACACCCGTCCAAAGATCTCATACTGTATACGAGATAATGTAACCCTTCAACGAGTCTTCCTCGGTCGGGCCTTTTCTCCTTGCATTGTGTCTCAAGTAGCGGATGACCATACACGCAGAAGCCAGTCGCGGAAGCTCTCCGGTCGTACTGTCACCAGCTGATTGAGATTGGTGCTAACAAAGTCGTAGCGACCTTCGGCGGTCGTGATCAGATGATGTACTCGAGTTTCTCGTGCATGATCCCCAACAGCTCGAGCGTAGGTCAATGCGTCTTGTAAAGAACTCCTTGTATGCCCAGAGACTTCGAACGACCGGCCTTTAAATAGTCAGTTGTGGACGGTGGGTAGAACAAGGTCTTTGCGGCGCCTGAAACATACCTTGAATCTCCTCAGCTATGGCTACGATATCTCGCACATTCAGACGCTCACCGCGCAAGCGAAATTCCCGCGGCCACGAAGGCAGGTCCAGGGCTGCGACCACAAACCTTGCAACATCCGCAGCCGAAGTCATGCAAATTGTCGCAGGCTGTCCGGCACTGTTGAGATAAGGCACCTGTGCCCGCCTCCGGCGAAAATCCATCAGATAGTCGCCTTCCTGCCCGATGTTACTGCGCAGACCGATTTGTGAGGCCGCCATCCCTCCGGGGGCGAATCTCTCATAGAGAACACCGCACGTAAAGACAGTGAAGCGCATGCCCGAAGATTCATGCTGATGGAGTCGAAGAATGGCTGCGCGGCGACCATTGTCAAGAAGATCGTTCTGTGGACGCAGAGAAGGAGGCCCACCAAACTCGGAGGGGACGAAGCGACGCACATGAGCCGCCGCCGCCGCATCAATCAGCGCAAGCTGAGCGTTACCACTGACAGTAGAAATGACAGTGTCGACACCGGCTAGTTTGAACTTGAGGTCCGAAGGATTGGAGTAATCGACCTGTCAATCGTGATGATTAGTTGAAAAGAGTTCCCGGACAATACCGATCCTGCCCGTACATTCAGACAGTTATACCCTCGCCGTCGCGTTGTACATGAGGAAAATACACTGACGACTTACCTGAAGTACTTGCCACCCTCTTGCCGTCAGACCTGGACTAGGCTATTGTTCATCAGTCACCGTTAATGAATAGAGGGCATTCACAAACCCTTCGAGACAGAATGATGAATTGATGGGAGGTCTGTGTTGCTATGCTGTTGGCAATGTACTGCGCCAACCCATTGGTGCCGATCACTGCAACTTTGATCATGGCTGCGCTGTGGCCAGGAGGGTGCTGTCTGGACTCAAACATTGGGACATATATTTGCCAGAGATCGGCATCGTGGCAAAGGCGGCTATTCTGCAGTGAGTCAAATCAATCAGGGCAATATCAGGAGATTGTGCATTGATGCAAGCGCATGTATGCACTTTGATGACACCAGAGTTGCCTAGCTAGATGTATAGGGATGACAGGTGAATATAAGTTCATCTCTCGCCCAGGATAGGGTCAAGCAGGAGTATTAAGGCCCAGGTGGTGGACCCATAGAATGGGAATAGACCACCAATAAGGCCTAGATCCGGGGGGAAGGGGACCAGGACGCTACACAAGGCAGACAAGGACAGAAGTTCTCGATCACTCCTTACCAATGACGGTGGCTGTCCCTAGAGTCATGCTAGGCAGAGGAGTAGGCATCGAAGGAAGTCTGCGAAGGATGAGTCTTTTGCCAATGGTCACGCGCAAGTGCAAGTCCCCAGCGACCTTTGCGAACTTTTGGTCCCGTTGGATGGGGTGGAGGAGGAACAAAGTCGTGGTCCCCGGTGCAGTGCATATCGAACAGGCAGAGAAACGGGCATCCACTTGGAGGAAGGTTAACGATCGTGGAAAGACATCGGTAAGAACAAACAATTGTCGCATCTTTGCGAGTAGCAAAGCCACGATTGGTGGGTTTTACACACACCAGTGGTTCTGGAGGAGCATGCCGAGGTTTGAGGTTCTGCACGACCGTCTGGCGACGGATCTCTGTCCTTTGATCGAGGTTTAAAAATGTACGAAGTGGTTGGTGCAACAATGGTAGAGGCTAGTGGTATTCTGGACCCAAGCCAGAGGAAGTTTGGGCACGTTGGTCAGCCCTATCAGGCCCACCGCGGAAGGTGACCATGGGTCCATCCCGCAATGTAAGGGACCTCTTCAGCCGTATGGTCATTCTGACTTGCTGACTCGTAATCTTTAGTGACTTGACGGAAACAAGTGGAATTTGCTGCCTGTTGCGATCTCCTATCACGCGAGGGAGCGCCAAAGTGCGCAGGCCTGCAGCAGTGGCATCTCCACGCACCCTCTACAAAGCCTTGAGAGCTCCAGGATCAGATGAAATGTGGCCGCAAAATAACGTTCGAATCTCGGGATCGGTACCACTTGGCTTCGCGCCAGGGAAGATGGAGATACTGCAAGCGAGCTCGACGCACAGGTCTGTAAACCAAAGATGGAAGTCGTCATCGTTCATCCCTGGACTGCGGAGCACCCGAGGATCAACTTTTCAATGCCCAGCACAGGCAATTCTCCTCTTGAAACGAATGGGATCTTGGCCGAAGACGAACTTAACTTGCTTGACAACCCTGGTGCCCTTCCCGCAAGCTTTGTGGCACTCGGTGCATACGGAATGTCTTGAAGCCGAGATCTAAGAGAGGCAATGCGGTCGTCCTCGGCACAAGTTGTAGCAGTCACGTTTTCTCGCGTCTTGGGCGCGCGATGGGCGCTTAGTCGGAAGTAACACCCTGTTGAGTCTGAGGTAACGTATTAATAAGCCCTCGACCGTGAACCTTCCACGGGGGCCAGTCCTGGGGGCCGGGCTGACAGATACAGAAGGTGGCATAATAGTCAAAGTTTTGGAAGTTTTGAACTGTCGTCGCCATGGGAAGGATGAGCAGGAATGGCAGGAAGGGGCGAGAACTAGGTGTGAAATGAAGTGGTTTGATCTCTTCGTCGAGGTCGACGGGCGAGACGCCGCGGAGGTTGGGAGGGATCATAGCGTGGATCCTCGATCCTCAAGGTAGTAGTCAATTTATTATTGCACATGTTGATCTCTGTTGTGACGAGTACTGACACTGGCAACTGACGGCTCACAGGTTCACCGTCTGGAAGAGAGGAAACAGGTTGAGAGATGAAGATTGAGGGTTCGATGGGGATGGGGATGGCGGTGACTGCGACTACGACTGCGACTGCGATGGTGGGTCGAGTTGATCTCATTCTCTTGGCAAACCGTGACGCGCCCTCAACCCACCGTCGCGGTAGGGAAACTAGACCACTTTACACCTTGTTTTGCTGTCGCGACTCTGACTGTCTCTTCGCTCTGTCCCTCCCTCTGTGCTCCCAGTTCTTTTGCAGATTACAGCCATGAGCCAGGATGTACGCAATATGACCGAGCCAGCGTTTCAGCACGCTGCGTATGGCATTCAACTCCATTCTGACAATATGTCTTCCTCTGTGGGCCCTCTAGCGGTGAAAGCAAAGAGGAGAAGAACGAGGTTGGTTGTCCCAGCGCACGCCCATTGCCGCAATGATGCCTTCTGACCATTTGTAGCCCTCAGGACTGTGCCGTCCTCGAAGCTGCATACCAAAGAAACTCCAAACCAGACAAAGCCGAAAGAGCCCTGATAGTCAGCCGGGTTGCCCTCGGGGAGAAAGAAGTTCAGGTACGTTGCCCTTCTGCAGCCACCGTGAAGCGAGTTGACCGTCCCATAGATTTGGTTTCAGAACCGTCGCCAGAATGACCGTCGTCGCTCCAAACCATTGCAGCCACATGAACTCGTTGCCCATCTTCGCAACAGTAACGCCAGCCCTATTCCTCCTCAGATGAGCTCGTCTCCTGTCCCCGAAGATCTTACTGCCTCTTTATCGCATCCTCTGCCCGTGGAGCCCATCAACCGACCTAACTCGAGAAGTTCAAGCATCCATGATCTTCTCAACCCAACTCCATCAGAGGAGGATACAAGCATCAAGCATAGCTCGCAGGAAACGACCGAAGGAAGTACACCGCCATCCAGTATTGAAAAGGACGCGCTCACGGTCGGGACACCACCTCCAGGACAAGCTCAAAAGGAAGGGCCCGAGAATTGTGACGGACAGTCGGAAGTTAGCAGTGAGGGTGGGAGCACTAGAAAACGTGACCACGATGAAATGACTGGTGCAAAACCTTCTAGTCCATATTTAGACGGGCAGGGGAAGATCTTCGACACTGCTCTCCCAAAGGAACCCCTTGTGAGAGTGTCCAGTTTTGTACGGCTGGCAATGACTGTGGATGGGGCAGTCAAGATTCGGACGAACAATGAGCCCACGCCATCACCAGAAAAGCCACGTACCGCGATGCCGACCACACATGGCAGGCCAAAGGCAGCCTTGGTTCGCAGCAAGAGTGCTGCGAATGGAGTGGAAGTGTTCCTCGACAATGCTCCTCACTCAGGACCCAAGAGTATTGGAGCTGGATTTGGTCGGTCCCGTGACGCCAGAACTTGGGAATTCTATTGCGACAGCAAGACGAAGGATGCGCTCTCGACCCAGGCGGAAGCGGAAAGTGCGGGCTCTGCTGTCAGCGCCATCAACCTCATTCGATCAAACAGTTTCAAGCCACGTCTGCAGGCTCTAAGCCTGTCGTTGTCCAAGACAAATGCTCGTCGGGCAAGTGCGAACGAAGGAAGACCGAAGCTAAGTCGCGCCCAATCCTCACTGGGACGTTTGCAAGGTCTGGCTGCGTCCATTGACCCGTCCAGTGGGAAATCGAAGGCTCAGCACGGCCATATCAGGTCACCGTCTGGAGACTCGGACAAAGAGAACTGGGCTCCTGGGACCAGAATATCGGAGCATCCATTGCGCAGAACCCAGACCAGCACATGTCACCGGCCGGTACTGCAGGAAAATGAAGAGATGACATTTCCGGATCTGACCTCGTCACGCAAGCGGTCGGAGGAAAGACCTAGAGTCGCTGAATCTCCGACAAAGGAGGGAGCCAAAGGCGAAGAACTCGACTGCATTCACGGCCTGCTTTCGCTTAGCCAGGGAGCTTGGTCGAGATGAAGATGCTCACAGAATCACCAAAGATGAGGATGGAAACCAACATGATGACCCTGGGAAGGATATTTGTCTAATTACGGAGGCATAATTCGGGATAACACAGAAGGGCATGGGGGATGTTTGCATTGTATCTGCATGACTGTTCGCAGCCAGTCCGGGTGTCGAAAGAGATCAATAACCACATGTATCATGATTGCTATTGGAAAGTCAACTGAAGAAAGAAGTCATATTTGTTTGAAACCGTCGTCTTGTTCTCTTGTTATCCTGGTCTCTTTGATCCTACAAAGTTGGGCTTATCTTGACGTCAGCTTTGGGCCAGCGTCGGCAACTGCGATAAACATCCACGTGGGCAGCGACAGTTACGTACCAGCCAGCGCACGGCGATATCATGATTTCAACGACCCAGTGTAGGGCGATCCTGTCCTTGAGCCAATACTTAACACTGAGTGATATCCTTAGAAAAGATTGATACCAGCTGTCGACATTCTTCCCAATATTGTTTTCCTGTTAATTCGAGTCCGGGCCTCTAGTCGACTGATAGACGTGCAGCCCCTCCACACCTGCAAAAGCACGGACAATTGTCGAAGCACCGCCTTTCATTCGCCCACGAACCCCCCATCCACGACACCTATCGTCGCACAGATCATCGGGCCCTTCAACTCCGTGGTTGGATTGTATGTCTCGAATCTCTCGGGACCTTGCTAACAGTGCGCACAATGGCAATGCGAATGGTCCCATGCCCTCTTCATCCTCACCTCCCTCTTCCACCATGCAAGCTCTGCGGAATGCCAGCACGTTGTCTTCAGGCAGAATCCCCCACGTGGCGGTCATCGGCGCCGGCATTGCAGGGCTTCGCTGCTCGGACGTCCTGGCTCGCAGCGGCGTCAAGGTGACACTCCTGGAAGGCCGGGATCGTATTGGTGGGAGGGTCGACCAGCTGGAGTCAGGTGGCTACCTCGTGGACATGGGCCCGAATTGGATACACGGCACCAGTGGAAATCCCATTATGCATCTCGCCGAGAAGACAGGCACGACCATCCTGGAGCCGGAAGAGCATCAAGCGCTTTTCGACAGCGAAGGGAAAAGGAGACCAGACGCCGAAGCGGTGGCGCTGTCGAGCAAAATGTGGGAAATGATTGTCGACGCATTCAAATACTCAGATGAACACTCGGCCGACATTGATCCCGGAGTCAGTCTATTTGAGTACTTTCGATCCAAGCTCGACACGGACAAGAAGCTCACCCGACAGCAAAGACAAGACCTTCTCCACGAAGCGCAGATGTGGGGACCGTTTGTGGGCGACTCGGTTGAGAAACAGAGCCTTAAATTCTTCTTCCTGGAAGAATGCATCGAAGGAGAAAATGTCTTTGTGGCCGGAACGTACAAGGACATCTTGAAAGAAATCGGCCGCGTTGCCACAGACGAGAGCAAAGTCGACCTCAGACTGGGGACCGAAGTCGTTCATTTCGAGACGAGATCCGACGGTGACAAAGATGATTATGGCAAAGTCATCGTCACAGCCTCGTGTGGCGACCAGTCTACCTTTGACGATGTGGTAATCACATGTCCTCTGGGTTGGCTCAAACGACATCACGCTCGAGCATTCACACCGACACTGCCCTCGAGACTGGCCTCGGCCATCTCTCACATCAATTACGGACGCCTGGAGAAGCTCTACGTGACTTTCCCCTCTGCGTTCTGGCTCTCTCCCGATGCGGAAGGGAAACCCGACCTGTCAAGCTATCCCGTTCACACCCACTTCCACGATCCGGCCTACGTGCCTCATGTGTGCGGCGAAGCGTGGAACCAGTCCGTGGTGTCGCTCGCTCACCTGCCGCCACCCTGCACACAGCCAACGCTGCTGTTCTACATCTACGGGCCGTGCGGCACGCACGTCGTAGAGTCCATCAAGGACCTCGCCACACACTCGACAGAGTACGACGCAGTCCTCAACAGCTTCGCATCCGCCTTCTACTCCCGTCTCCCCAACTACGACCCCAGCAGCCCGGCTTGTCAGCCCAAGTCCTTCCTGATGACGAGGTGGCAGGCCGACCCATTCGCCGGCAACGGCTCCTACTGCAACTTCCAGGTCGGCCTCGAGCGAGGTGACGAGGACATCGAGGTCATGCGCGACGCGGGGGGTCTGTGGGAAAGAGGCCTGTGGTTGGCGGGCGAACACACGGCGCCATTCATTGCGCTGGGAACGACGACGGGCGCGTGGTGGAGTGGTGAAGGGGTAGCGAGGCGGATCTGTGCTAAATGGGGTATGAAGGTGCCCGGAGACGCGACGGCAGCGGCGGAGGAAAACGGAACTACAGGTGTACAAGGTGCTAAGAAGAAGGAATTAGACAAAGACAGGGCAGACGCGGCGAATCTGAGTGGATTGGCAATTTAGTTCATCATATCATTGGATATCTCAGCTCCTTCTTGGATTGTTTTGCAATAGCCCAATGCTCATTCATCATCAATCACCCCAAGAACTTGATCCTGAAGCGGGACCACCCCCAAGTCCAACACGTTACGCAGTATCAAGTCTGGGTTAAAAAAGCCCCTAGGCCCTATCCTAAACTTCCATGGTCTTTGCGCGCCCGAGTTGTTTCGCAAGAATGACATCGCGTCCGTCGTATCTGGATCCCGCATCGTCTCAAAACGCTTTCTGGAGCTCTGTTTGTTGTTAGGATATCGTCCACGGTGAAGAGAGATGGGATGGGATGGAGACTGGTGAGAGAAAAGGTGATGAGGAAGGGTGTAGCGGGAGGAGGAGGAGGAGGTAGATATCAATCAACTCACCTTGGGTAATCACGTCGATCTTGTCGTCCTCGGTCAGACCACTGGGCTGGCCTTGCCACCGCTTCTCCGTGGCCTTTGCCAGTCTCTGCTTCAATCGGCGCTGGTGCTTGTGCCCGAACGTACGCACCGTCTGTGTGATGCCGACACGCTCGACCTGCTTTGTAAAGTTTGGCCTGTCGTGGATGCCGCCCCTCCTGCGCTTCTCGGTCGTCAGCGTGCCTTTCCCCGATCGATTTGGCTTGTCGATGACTCTGCCAGCTTCCTTTTCCATCTGGGAGCACGTGACTGGTCGGTGTGGCACCATGTCGGCTTGCTTCTGGACGCGAATCGTCTTGGGCTTCTTCTTTCCTCTCTTTTTTCCTCTGCCTTTGGCGCGTGGTGCAGCGGGTGTTACTTCCTCCATGGGTTCCTGCGCATCTAGACGCGTAGCCTCTGTCGCAGCGTGGTTGTCTTCGGCCGGATCAGCAGAGACGAGGTTGGGAGCAAGGGGTGTGTTGGGAGGAGCAGATGACAGAGCAGGACAGTGTGCGATCCTGGACAGTGTGGGCTTTGTACCAGGTCGTGGAACTGGATCATAGAACCAAGTGATGGGCTTTTGTGTAGACAGAGCCAGTTGTCGAGCCTCGGGTGCCTCCTGTTTGTCCCATAATGGTATCTTATTGGGCATGTTGTCCGGCAATCTGTTCCAGGCTGGAAGCGAATGGTCGTGGTTGAATATGTGGAAGACAGCGCTATCTAATTCTATCGTGTCAGCATCCGGGGGAAATGACGGAAATTCCTCCACCGTGTTTGACGAGGAAGTTGTGTACCCTTCATCGCCGTAGAAGCCAGTTCTTGACCGTCCTGGAGACCACATATGTTGCCTGGGTTCGAAGCAACTTGCATGCTGGTCAGGTTGAGGCCTCGATGAGCAAGTCGTTCCAGGACGATGTGTGGAACACTTTCTGGGAAGTACGCAAGGTTCGTCGGTTCGTCGACGTGAATTTCCAGCTCTTGACGCGCCGTCACTGTGACCTTCATCATATGCTTTCCTGGTAAAGAAGACATGGCTCGTCTATGTTATGAATCTGTCGTCACTTGGGGGAAACATTTGCGGGAGAGAGGATCTAAGCAAGGTCCTGTGTCAAGCAAGAGGTTATAAGTCGGGCGTTGACAAACATGGGTGAGTGAAGTGAAGTGAAGTGAAATGAATCGTTAAAGTGAATGAATGTTCAAGGGACAATTGAGGACTACAGCACAAGTGAAGTATTGTCCATTTCGCGCCAGGTGGTTGTGCGCAGTAGTGACATCTCATTGTAGCGCGTGACCCAGGTTGGAGGGTTTAAACTATTGCTGTCAAGCCTCAGTGCTTGGAGCAGTGCCATCGTGTAGTAGTAGACGCGAACACAGTTGGACACAAGGCCATGGCGAATAAATGCAGGAAAGGTCTGTCAATATGTACCCGAGTACGAGGTAGTCTGAAGTTGGTCTCAATAGAGACTCCAACTATTCTTGTGTCCATGTCGTCATTGGTTTGTCTGTTCCTCGTACATCGTACTTTGCCCTTTCGTACTGTTGGTCCCTATCAGATTCATCAGCGTCACACACCCATGCAGCCATGACACCTCCGATCCTTATCCTACTGCATCTTCCCATCCACTTCACCGCTCCCTCTATCTTCCAGCCGTTCTCGTAGAAGGCAACCTTATTATCATGGCAACGCGGTAATCGTTCTATAATGAATACAACGACGTCTGGTCCGAAGTGGAAATCATCACGTCCCGCTCACCACTCAAACAATTCGGCCACCGCATTCGTCAATCCATGGCCCTCCGCAGGAACCCCAACGTGGGCGGAACTCGTTCAATCATCTTTTCCACTTGGATGGTACACGGATGACCTGAGCAGCCACAAAAGAGCCCGACAACTCAACGTCGTCACTCCCGACTGGGGAACAGCGGAGTTGGAGAAGAAGAAGCTCGACAAGACCAACAGTGTCATCGGCACATGGTTGGGTCATGCGAGTGCCCTGGTCGAGGTGCCACCGCTCGAGAACTCCGAGCACAAGAGCATATGGCTTCTTTTCGACCCCATCTTCTCCACGCGAGCAGGGCCGACTCAAAATAGTGGTGTCGCTCGTTTCAAGCAAGCCCCCTGTCAACCCGAGGACCTGCCAGGATGCGACGCAGTCTTCATTTCCCACAACCACTACGACCATCTAGATGCCGCCTCGATCAAGGGAGTCCTCAAGAAATTCCCCCGGGCCAAGTTCTTTGTCGGGCTGGGCATCAAGCAGTGGATGTCGTCTATGGGGGTCCCGGATGCACAAACCTGCGAAATGGACTGGTGGCAGAATCGCGAATACAGTCTAGAAGACTTTGGAGTCCAACCCACACCAGCGTCGACGAATCAGATCATTTTCCGGTTCTCGTGTGTCCCTGCCCAGCACAATTCTGCACGGAGTCCTGTAGACCAGGGGCGGACGCTGTGGTGTGGTTGGGTTGTCGAGCGCTTTCTCCGCTCACAGGACGAATCTAGCGAATCGAAGGCGACCAGGCAAGGGGTCATCTACCACGCCGGTGATACAGGCTATCGGAGGACGTCGAGATCAGAGGTCGTCTGCCCGATCTTCAAGGAGATTGGGGACAAATTCGGCCCTATCGATCTTTCATTCATTCCTATATGGCGCGGGGGCACTCTTGGATTCTTTTCGTACATGGGGCTTCGACTATCCCATAACGACATCCCCGCGGCACTCCACGCCTCTCCAGCAGACGCCATTGCGATACATCTCGACGTCCAATCCCGCAACACCGTCGGAGTCCACTGGGGGACATTTGTCGGTTCGTCCAGCGAGAGTTATGAAGCGATGATTGAGTTCGCTGAGGCGCGTGAGAATCGCGCCGTTGAAAGTCTAGACAGTGAGAGCGAGGGTGACCACGGTCGCGCGGGTTTGTTAGATATTGGCGCGAGTCTGGCTATACGCATTGTCTAAACAGAGATCTGCGGCATGTCAGGGAAACGCCCATCTCTTATACTCTCCGTAAGATTGTGCGTGAGAGAGAGAGAGGGGGGGGAGAGAGACGTTTCAGACTTACGCACCTAGTGCTATGCCCGTGAAAGAATGGAATGGGAATAGAGAATGGAAGCGAAAGTTGAAAAAAAAAAAGGTCTTTGAGATTCAATCAAAAATTCAACGGGTAAACTCCGTTCAATGTCTACTGTACAGTACCTCGTCCTCGTCCCTCGTACTGTATATAGGTAGATACCAAGTACAGAGATACCACGACACCACCACGTGCCCGGCAAGGGATGTTCTGGCGAGGAACGACGGTGAGAGTTTCCTTCGTTCCTTCGTTCGTTCACTTCGAGGGACCTCGTGTCGGCAATCGGCATCACATCTCGGGAACTTTGCTTCGACTATTTTGGTTGATGTATCGTCACTTTGGGGTCGAAAACCGAAAAGGCTGACTTGACTCTCTGGCGCCACGCTGAGAATGTTTGCCATGCCAGTGCCCAGGTGTGGTCCCTGCCTATATAAACGGATTCGGCTCCAGGTTCTCTTTACAGCTGGTCTTGCCGTCAATCACGCGGAGTCGCGGGATACCCGTTGGCACACGAGGAGGCGACGTCGGCTCGCCCTGTACCAGTTCGCGCCGGCTCGGTCGCCATGTGGTGGCTCGCTGCTTCTCCATGTCCTCGGGGCCGGCCGAGCTCGTCATCCCACTAAAAGGGCAGGTGAACTTTTGTTGCTGTTCGTTGGACAGACGGACCTGCTCCATGGTGCGGCCGAGGCTGGTCGTGCTCTTTTCCGACGACGTCGACGACACGGTACCCGCGATCGAGCTGTCGTCGTCGTTTCCGCCAGCGCCGCCGTTACCGCCTAGGATCCGTTTCCCGTTGAGGTACCCCTCAGGCTCGCGCGCCTCGGCCTCCATGTCCTCCTCGATCTCCTCGTCCAGGAATTCTCGCCCGTCCTCGATGTGCCATTTCGCCATGAGGTCGTTCTGGATCCAGATCACTTTGCCGATGGCCTTGACGATGGCGATCTTCTGTGTGAGTTCCAGCCGCGGGTGCGAGAGGATGGCTTCTGTCATCGAGTCCTGGATGTAGCCCAGACACGCGCCGAGAAAGATGTAGTCCACGTGGAGGGGATTGCGGCGTCCTTTGCCCACATGCATCAACCTACGAGCCTTGCGGTCAGATGGTTTCTTCTCACTGGAGGTGCTGCAGGCCGACGGCCCAAGTTGGCTCGTACAGAGATCGGTGCTTCCAAGGTCTTGCAGGCAGGTACATATACACTTACCCTACTTTGTCTAGATATTGCCAATACTCCATTTTGCTGGGATCCGAGTTGAGTTTCGTGAGATACCATCTCAAGAACATCTTTCGGTGCCGGATCTGAGCGTCGTCTTCTTTGATCCATTTGGTGGGGTTTTCCTCAACCCGGCTATCTCGCGTACTGAAGACTCGAGCTGTGATATCGTGCCTCAGCAGCTTCTTGTACACCATGTTGACAATGGCCGGAATGATGGCCTTGATATATTTTTGACCCTCAATCAGGGCGACGACATCATCTGAGTTAGCACAGTGGTCAGCAGCGGCGTCCTTTACAATTCCCTGTCCTTTCAATCTCGAGGTCTCAACGAGGGAGAAGAGCGCTCACCTGCCCCGAATTCGAGGAATTGCTGGAGATACTGGACTCGAACTGGAAGCGATGTATACAGCTCGCGCCGGTCCACATGTTCCATGTCCTTTGGAATATGGTCCATCGTGCCGTCAATTAGTGCCAAAAGAGTAGATGTTCGTGAAATAGGTTAATGAAGCAGCTTGGCCGCACGCGATTGATCTATTGAATGAGAAGCCTTCCTCGACTTAGAGATACAAAATAGAGAGCCTGATGAAGCACGGCTCCAGCTGCGCTTCGCGACGGCGGACCCATGATTTAAAGCCGATCGGATTGATCCTGTGCGCTTTGTCAGACCCAGGAGGAGCTTTCCGACTATCCTTCACACCGAGAACTGTCTGCACCGACACATCTCCATAGTTGACGCCCGATTGGGACGAGTTGAAGATAAATTTTTCGATCCGTTCCGCTAGGGAGCAACCCACGTTCCTCGTTTCCACGTGGAGTGGCGTGACCATCATCCACATGGGGGCCAGCCCAGGGCACAGAACCTCATGCTCGCTGGGTTCTGAAACAAAGATAACGCCACTCGCTGATCAATAATAGGAAATGGACTTGTCGAGAATTTCCCGTTAGTGAATTTGATAGACCAAGCGGTGGGAATAACCGAAGAACTAGAAGGTGATTTCGACGTTGATTCTCGCCGCAACCCGAGGGCCAAGTCGGGAAGACAAGCCACGAGAGCAATTGTTTGACACACCATGAGGCATGTTCCAACCTCCTGGTGCCATGGCCATGTTCTCTAGTTGTAGAAATCTACAAGCACAAGTAGTAGTGAACCTGTCGACTTTGTTGCGTCTTGTGGGGATGTCCAGAACCACGGATCCAGGACCTTCATTCTTGCCGGCAATGTCTATCCGAAGCTGACATTTCTAGAAACCATTAGGGCGCAGCCATGTGGTCAGGAGTTACGTCGATCATTGACGATGAATTGAGATGACTTGTCACCTCGTTCTTCCATGTTGGAGCGCAAGGTCTCGTCAAGGGTCTGGGCACGGAGATTGATTGCCAGGGACTCGCTACCTGATACCTTCGGGAACCGCACAAGTGCAAGAGCAGGACTCATACAGGTAGGTATAAGGACGGCACAGTTTGGGCCAAACCCGACTCTGTGGGTACAAAACGGATCAGAAGCCGTTGTCCAGCTACTCCAGTCGGTAATGTGCCAGTATTTTTGCACTCGGATATACTCGGTATTTGTGTGTGACCTTGTACAATGTAGGCAGTGCATCACTTGCGGTCTGACCACTTCTCGAAGTATTCCTTGCGAGATTGCCCTGTGTTCTACCCACAGCGGGAGCCTGGGTCCACAAATGCTGGGTTCCAGAATCACCGATGGAAGCAAGCCTTTTGAACCCCCGGACCATAGTTATTGAGCAATAAGGGCGTGACCGTCGGACGAAGCCGTTGAAGAAACAGCGAACCATGTGTTGGGCGAAAGTCAGTCTCCATCTAGGGCTCCTCTTTGCGGCGCTAGTCAACGTCTTTTCGGCTGCGAGGCTGCACGATTAGGCGAGAAGGAGAAGTCTTGCGTGCCTTGTGGCCTGACCGTACGAGATTCAAGTATCGAGGATCCCCTGTGACGCCTAGCGAGTTGGGTCCATATCTGTTGTCATCGTCGAGGCATTGAAGTGGGTACGTCGGAAAGAAAAGCAGGTAAAAAGACACGGCAATTGTGGGCATGCGGCCAGAGACAGCCGAGAGTCCGCATTGAGACCTGGGAATAAGGGTGGAATTCAAGTGAAGTTTGCGAGAATTGTGCAATAATGTCGTACAAAGTATTCAGCCCGTCAATTGCAACCGAGTAGTACATAGTTGGCGAGAAGAAGGTTGATTGCTTGCCCGTTACGTAGTTTTTTCTCCGCATTCGCGACTGCGCGGAACCCCCCAAAGCCACGCGTTGAGTGTGTCACGAATTATCGTGCTCGCTACAGAATACCATGGGTTGATCAACAACACTTTGACAACCCTTCGTCTCAAGACACGATATTTTGTTGGGGCCCTTTTGCAGCCTTGCATACGAAACCTGCTGGAGTCATGCCACCCAAACCTTCGGTCCGGGGCGAATATATCGAAACCGTCAGTCGGATTAACCCTCCCCAGAAAAGAAAACATTCACGCTACGCAGTGTCGCTGACGACCAGACCTTAGGAAACTGGCAACAAGATCAGTCGCCGAGCCAGTGTCCTGGGGCCGCGCCATATCATCCTTGCTGGGAAATGTGTCATTCAGCAAGACGTGGTGATCCACGGAGACCTGGTTCGGCCTCCGCAGCCTAAGCCTCCCTCCTCCTCCCACCAACAACACCCACAACAAGCAGGCGGCGATCAGAAATCCGCTGCGCAAGATCAAACGTCGATTCACCTCGGTCGATATGTCTTCATCAGCCCCGGCTGCACGCTTCACCCTCCTTCGCGTTTGACGACGGTCCCGAACCCGAACGGCGGTGAACCGCAGCAGATCATGACCTACTTCATGCTCCGAATCTCAGACTACGTCTACATCGGGCCCAACACCCACATCCGCGCCGCCGAGATCAGGAGCAACGTGTGGATCGGCGCGAACTGCACGATCGGAAACATGGTCATGATCAAGGACAACGTCAGAATCCTGGACGGCACCGTTCTGCCCCCGAATACCATCTGGGCTGGAGGCACTGTCATCGCGGGCCGTCCAGGACGAGTTGTGGGAGAGATTGGCGAGGGTTGGGCTGCCGGTGGCAGTAGTGGCTCCTCCGTGGATGAAGGCGTCGGGGTCAAGAGTAGGGAGAGATGGGCCGCTGCTGGGAACAAGAGATGATAATCTGGACTTGGGACAGGAAATGATGGATGTAATGGCCATCCCCATTCAAAGTCCGCGTCTAGTTCCACTTCGAGTGGCGTATCAACACACCGAGAGAGGTGCCGCCGAAGACTGCACATGCCGGCGGAGGACCGAGCAAACTGGACACGTTCCACGCTCTACACATAGTCCATCCAGCACGTCGCTCTGACTGGATCCTATGGGATATTGAGTGTTCCCACTCTCCAGTCAAAAGCGATGAAAGCTCTCATGCAGTCCAGCATGCAGACAGGGCCAGACACTGCGCCTCTACACCTGATCGAGAAGAGGGGCTGTTCGCGGACAAGCACTGAGCTACCTATGTCGTGTCCATCGCGTCGTACCGAATTGAGGAGGATCTTGCATCGACAAAAGTCACGGCAAGACCAAGGCATGCAAACAGAAAACATGGGAAAGTTCTGGACTTGAAAAAATGTTTGCAAAGGGGTTTTTACAGGCCCCTCCGTCCCTTGCGGGTGGAGAGGAATCAACATGTAAAGAGGATATCTTGCATCTGGAATTTGCTAGAGATATCATTTGTGTGTTGCTCCCAGACTACCTACGTGCCTACCTACCTACATACATACGCCAACCTCAAACTCCAGAACCACTCACCAACATCATACACTCATACTTTGACCCCATGAGCACCTTGCCTTGTATGGATAGCTTTCAGCCTTTTTTGTTGGGTGACCTTTTCACACGACATTGTCCCTGTCCGTTCCCACCACCCTGAAATCCTCTGCCGTCCAACTCCATCTCGATGGCCTGCTGGCGGCGGTGGACTGTGATGATGGGGTGAGAGGGACGGTCGTCCAGCCGGCGTCGCACGAGCTGAAATGGCGATGACGGTGGCGTTGACCTTGACCTTGACGAGGATGGTGATGGTGACGCTGCTGATCGGATCCGTTCACGGGCTGGTGTAGTGTTGGACATGAAGACTTCACTTCTGTCGTCAAAGACCGGTCGGTTCGGAGATCATCATCATCTTTCGTCCCAGTCTCACCGGCTAGCATTTCCTGTGGCTCCTGGGATGAAGTTTGCGCCGACACATCCCTTGGGCCTGGTAGGTCCAGGAACAACTCTGGTGGATGCTGCCTCAGGGGACTTTCAAACATGCTGTATCGAGGCTCAGGCCATTCCCGTGACACTGATCTGCAGGCTGAAGCAGGCTGAGACCGAGCACTCGAAGGGCGTTCCAGCGTGAGACCGGATGCCGCGCGCACCGAGTCTGTACTTGGAGTTGGTTCGCGGCTCTGATCGACGTCGAGGCAGCGCTTTCCATGACGGGGATTCAGGGGTGCAGGGACAAGACTGTCGCGCTCGTAGTGGAATGCCGGGGGCTTGTGGTCTGAGCTTTGATCTGAGGGTTGAGACGGCGCTGGGCTTTGGGAAACCGGATGGTGTTGGTAGAGCGGGTGGTCCTTCGGGATCGGGAGTGCCGCCATCATATTGTCATTTTGCTGCTGGTGTACAGGCGGCAGTCCATTGTACGAGGTCAGTCGACACCCATGTCCCGATTCCCTCGAGTCTGTGCTGGGGATCCGGGAAAGATAAGAACCTGCCGGAACGGCTTCGACTTCGACGATGCTAGGTGAATGTCGGTGCAATGGGTTTTGGTCTTGGACCGAAGCAGGAACCGGAAGCGGCGCCATGTTGTCGTGGCCGTATGCAAAATCGCCGTATCGATACCCACCAAGGTTCTCGAATGACATGACATCTGTAGGCCGTGATCCTCCTTTCTCAACATCATTCGCGTAGCTCGTCCCTGCCTGGCCCTCAGCACTGCCAATAGACACAGATACGAGCGCTTGCTCAGGCTTCTCCCTGATACCTCGTCGTCTTGCTATCACTCGCGTCTCTTCTCGATCTTCAGGCCCGTCTGGTACCTGGGCCCAACCGACGCCGTCAATGATCTTTCTCCACCTCCAATTTCCGCCTCGATTGTCTGCTTGCCCATCAATGACTGGAGCGTTGCCTGCACGGATGCTGTCCGCATCTTGATTGCCGTTCCCCGAGTCGCCGCCGCCGTCGTTGTGAATCGCTGTGTCATCAGCTTGGCCGCGCATGTGGCTCTTGTGATGAGTCCTCCAGATTGCTATCCCAGCAACGAGCAGGATCACCCCTGTGACGCTGAAGAAGGATATCATGGCTGGTTCATTCATATCTGCTGTTTCGTCACTGCCAGTGACTTGGATGTGCTGTAGGTATGGGTGTAGATGCTCCGATGGAGACTGGGCTGGATTTGGGTCGCGTTCTTGGAATGGAGCGGGATTATATGTAGAGTAGATGAGGACAAAATGGGTGAAAATGGATTGATAACCGTAGGAAAAGGGGCGAGTGCCACACTGTGTCGCTTACTGCAGGGAGGAAAAGAGTAGAGGGAATGTTTCCGGGTTGATGAACAGAAATGAGAAGAAGTCAAGTCGTTGTTGTGTAAATGGTCTTCATGGACGACCCTGAGCTGGCGAGTTCGATAGATATGTAGTTATAAATAGATACCAGCGACGCGCTGCTGCGAGATTGCACAAGTGTAAGTCGTTGTCGACTTTCTCCTGTGTCAATACCTCAACCAATATCCGTGACCCCCTGATCCATATCGAAAGACATACGTCCTTTGATGCCCGCTGAGACGCTGTCTCGGTTTGACCGAATGGAAGTGGTAAGTGAGCATGAACAAGTGGGAAGAGGAGTTGCAAGGCATCTGGTCTGGCCCGGTCATGGCCCTTCTGGTCCCGTCGTGTAGTTGCACCCCTTTGTCACTGACCTGGGTAGGAGGGTGTCGAATGTAAATGTAATATTGTTCGATTGTTTCTTGTTTCCCGACTACCTGTCTTGGTCGTAGATTTGGCTTTGGCTTTAGGCTCAATAGCAACTCAAGCCATCCATCCTGGCCTTGGGAACTCTGTTCACTGTTTCAAGGTGACGACTCTGGAGACGTGGCAGTCGAAAGCGACCGGATAGTTGCAATGTCTGGTATACGCAGGAACTTCAAAAGGATTGCTGGGGGTTGCAAAGAGCAGCGGCCTTTATCGCTGAAGGAGGCTGAAGGAGGCTGAAGGCTTCCCGATCCCATTCTGTAGGCTGCGCGGTTGCAGCAAGATTTTATCTCGGACGAGGGCCCATATTTTCCGGTTCATCGGGCTGCAATTTTGTTTCTGCCACCCCTCAAACTCACCCCAGTACTCATGGCAGGTTTGAGTAAACGTCCTCGGCTCTGGCCTGTTTGAGAGCAGCATCATTACCTGGAGCAGAGGAAGTGGGTTAGCTACAAACGCAGAGAAAAGTGCATATTAGCTGGGTAATTTTACCAATCCGTAAACCTTGGCTGTGGTGGTGGCTCTCTCTCTTCATACTTCGTTGGGGGATATCTCTCTCTGAGTAACCATGATTTCTGTCCGCAGAATCCTTGCGGGCACACGCAACGAGGCATCCTCACGAGGCCCTTGGGGTTCTTGAGTTGCCACAGCAGACCAAGTGTTCCTTAGCCGGTCTTCTTCGTCGGCAAAAGCGAAGGTCTCGTAGGAAGGCAGTCCATGAGGATCTCGTCCGTAGTGAGGGGGTAAAACGGACGGACTCAATGTTGAAGAGTTTGGATGGCTGCTTCTCTCGTCGGTGATTTCCCTACTAGCATCAACAGTGGCGTTGGGAGCGTTGTGAGTATCGCCATCGTTTTGTAGTTGTGAGTTCGTCGCGCTCCATCTGTTCGAGCCTGACCAAAGCTGAGGCTGGGAGTGTCCGTGATCAGGGAAGAGGGAGTCATAAGTTGGTGGAGGTGGCAGACTGTTCGTCGCCGTCCACTCCGCAGCATCAAATATGACGTGTCGTCGGGAGCGTCGTCCGCGACTATTATGAACCCTGACCACATTGTGGCGTAGAAAGCCTAGGACGACGAAAAACACAACCATGCCTATCATGAATGCGATGCCAACGATGGCCTCAATTGCACTTCCTTTGAGGCCCATCTGAGTTGGAACCTCGATATCCTCGAGCACGACAGGAGCCATGGATGTTTCAGACGCTGCAGGGAAGGATTTATATTCTCACAATAGTAGCAGGAGGTTAATCACAATAAAGCGATACACCGAGATTTTTAATTTCTGTACGTTGAATAAAATGAGGACGTGTTGAGGGGTGATCAGCCGCTCGAACCACTGGTTGAGCAACCATGTTTGCTGAGAATCCAGACTGCGCTGGCTGTTTCCAAGCATTGCAGAAGTTACCGTCACAAAGTCCTCATTCCAGGCGGGAACAAAAGCGCGCGCGTTGGAGCAGGATGAAAATGCCTAGACGGATCATATAATCTCACCATTCATGAGGATCGCGCGTCAACTGATTCGCACAGGATGCCGAGCAAAGGTTTGAGGACTAAATACAGAAAGCGCTGAGATTGAGGGAGAACAATATCAGAACATCATTAGAATATCACCGAGGATACCACGAGATGCACAAGAGAAGAGAGTTGTCGACACAAGTGAAGTACCTATCGAGTCCAAATTCATGGCCAAGGGACAGCATCCAGTCACGGCAGTGACAGCGACAGTGACACGAGACTTGGCGGCTAGAGGTCTAAGTCTTGGCATTCCTGGACACTTTGCTTGGCATTGCCATTCGACTATTTCTATTTTCTCGTCCCTCGATCCAACTTGACTTTCTTTTCTTTTTCTTCTTCATACTTGTACGTTCCCCTCCCCCGTGCACCATGACATCGCCATAGATGACTAACATTCTCAATAGACCTTGTGGGAGCGACTCAGCTCAAGCATTGAGCCTGCTATAGTGGTGTCCCTGCATTGCACATCGCGGAGGATGTCGCCATCAAGTGTCCTTCGGGGCTCTTGTCCGCGTATTTTTTGGCCATTCCAAAAGAACTTGGTTCTTTTTTTTTCATCATTACTCTTGCCTGGTTGCAAGGTTCTGGAGAAGAAATCGGAGGTGATGTTGGTGCAGAGCTGGAAGGAACTTTTGGAAGAGGGTATTATGTTGATGGAGTTGATTCACTCGAGTTCATGGTTTGCGGGCAGGAAATGTGACTGAATGAATCCATGCTTATCTTTCCAGGAGGCATACAGCCACGGTTCTTGTGACAAACTGACTGAGCCTGTGCTGAGCCTGTGTTTCCACCATCTCGTGTCTGGTGTAGACTAGCGAAGCGATGGTTTGCTTCGCAGTTTGCTCCTGACTGCACCGTCAAACGGGGATGCAAGATGCCCTGTCCGTGAAACAAGCTCGCTCGGGAATATTAAGGCAACGTCCCGACCGAGTACTACTGCAAGCTACGTTTTCCTAGGTCCTTGCAGGTAGGTAGACGGCGTCTTGAATGAGATTTGACGCTAGATTCAACAATATCCCTACAAGGTTGAGGTTGAGGCCGAGCACGGTGGGCAGTAGCTGGTACCAAGTTTGGTAGGGAACGATTGTACCTATCCCTCCCACATGAAACTCTGTATGAGCGCGTATACCGAGTACTCGCCGAACGACAAAGACCCATGAGATCTCGTCCAAGCTTGTCCTGTTACTCTGACCGAGGGCCGCCGCACTGGCTGGGCTGAGTCTGAAACCACGGGCGGAGCTCAACGGTTTCAGCGGCGTGGGCGCGTTGCAGCAGCGAGCGCAAACTTTATCCAGTCTATCTACTTACGAGTCGCTACGAGCACCTCGTACTCAGTAGGATTGCGCGTGGTTTGAAGGTTTGCCAGGCAGTTGTTCGTAATTATGACTCGGTATACGAGGGACTCTTCATCCTTTACTAACATATGTACATACCACGGTGAGGGACGTACTCATACGTACGTGGACTGTTCTGCCTTGGTAGGCAGGTAACTCGTGTGTTGCTTTCATTCGTCATTACTCGTAGGTACCTAGGGAGTTGGTGAACTCGCACTGGCACTGGCACCAGCTGGCAAGAGACGCTTTTGTGGCTCAGTCCTTGCACAAGCCTCACCAGCCTCAACCGCGACCTCCGCCTTGGTGTCAGCAGCATGCGTTGGTAAAACATAACAGTCGGTCTACGGCGATGACTACTGTATGACTGCCCGGCACTCGTAGGGCTCCCCACTGTTTTCTGCATCGGTGTAACACACCGAGCACGCGGTACAAGCTAAAGCATCCCGGTCGTTTTGCCTGCTTTGGTAAGGGGATGTAGTGTTATTTGGTGTCCATCTCGGAGACGACGACCATGGTTGGCGGGCCCCTTGGTGGCCCCGTGTCTCAAGCAGAAATACTCGGACAAAAGTGACAAAAGGTAGTTTCACCACAAGGGAGGAGGCCTGATAAGGGGGTTATGATCATTGATCAATGGTTGGTATACGAGTACCTCGTAGGTTTCCTCACGCCGTTAGATTGCAGACCGTGATTCTGATGCTTCATTTCCCCGCCCTTTCAACGCCCACTAGCGTTTTCCTGATCGTGCATATGAGATGATGTAGCACAAAGGTGAGACTGGTGGCTGCACTCTCTTGAACAGCCACATACTTGGAGTGGTGTTGTCATGTTTTTACCTCAAATAGCTTTAGTCACTAGTCCGTCACTCATTTACCAGTACCGAGTACACGTTGTCATCTGCATGTGCTGTCAAGCATGCCTCAAAGACGCTTGGTTGCATACAAGGCCTACTCGTCATGACAAGTCGGGTATCTCCTCTTTGTGCACGCCACCAGTATCTCTTCCTTCGCCAGATTTGCCCTCGGGGCCTTGTGTTTCAACCCCCGTAGACCGTTCAGGCGGCTTCTGGGGATCGGGCTGCTGCGCTGGGTGGCTTCGGCCGTCTCCCGACGTCGCGCTTTTCCCAGTCTTCGTATGCTCATCGCGCTTGTCCAGGTCAGGTTCGTTGTCAATTTTGGTCTGGTCGACCACGGTTGCCACGCTGCGACATAAGGGCGAGGGACGTCGACGAGGATCAGCACGAGAGTACAAGAACCCCGAGATGCGATGACTGCCATTTGCAGCTGAAGTCAGGCGATTTCGCCATGCGGTTGCAGCCTGGGAATATGTACTCATGCTGCCGGACGAGAGCTATTTTTTTGGGAGTTGAAGTTGAGGCACCAGTGGTTCTTCTAACCAAGCAAGATAGATGGCCAACGGCCAATGTGTAGTGCTTGTTGTGTTTGTACGGGTAGTCCTGGTATTGTCAAAACTCTTAGTGCGCTCATTTTTGCTGTATTTGAATCAGTACGTGGAGACTTTGGTTGTTGTGATCAAGTCATAATATCATCATCATTATCACCATCATCTATGCGGAAGCTAGTTCCGTCGATGCTGTATCATCCTTGGCCACGTCGCACCCTCAACACATGCATCTCATTCTCACGGCCCAGATGTGCGAGCATCACTTACACAATGCTGTAGTATTCATCCTCTTACTGTGATGACACCGAGGGACCAACGATCTCATTGCTCAATCGGAGGTGGCCGTTTGCCGCTGCTTCGAGCTGTCATGAGGAGCTCGATTGTGCGACCCATGGACAGCTTGTGGTGAGGACCACGAGGCGTACAATAAGGGGGGGCTGCAGTCGGCAGATTAGAAAATCGGATAATGATTGATTGTGATACTTTCATGCTTCGTCGGTACCAGTCGGCTGACAATGCTTTGGATAATCGGGTAATATGATGATGGTGGTGGTGGTGGTGGTGGTGGTGGCAGATGATGAGGGGAACACGACGAGGGGCTGGTCACGGGAAGTATACAGGCAGGTGGTCGTGTTCGTGGCTGTGCCCTTTCTGGTTCGCGATCTGCAGCAGCAATGGTGGCAACTAGGGGGGACGGCAGATATCGAAGGGATTGTGAGACCATCAGGAGGTCAGAGCATGTGGTATTCGGAAGGCGGGACAAAGAAAGCTGAGACAGCGTGGGCCGGGCTGGGGTGGCTTGAAGGCGTTCGCCTTAACAAGACACAGAACCAAAGACAAAAGGAACGCCCGTAGCGAGTCGCGCGTCTTGAGGCGAGAACCTTTTGCGGACAGAGGGCCGTGTTTCACCAGTCACCGGACAAGCCAAAGAAATGCTGCCGTGGGCGGATGATGTGCGTTAAGCGACTGGCCAGTGGCATTACGCGAGAGAAACCCCCCTGAGGCGCGTCGACGGGGGCGCGGAGGGGGTGTCTAAAAGTGTATCAGACGTGTCAGGCGTGTGTCTCGACCCCTCAGCCAATCGATACCTCCGGGTTGCAGCACTTGGCTTCAAGGGTGTGTCAAGTGGCCTATTTGGGAAAATAGTAAAGGTGGGGGGAAGAAGGGCGGGCACGGCGGGTTCAAAGGCTTCGGAAGTGAGGGTCAAGTGAGGAGTGAGGCAGGGCTCAGAGACAAGAGTTGGCAGGATATACGAGAAATGCTGAACCAGCCCTTTGCATGCCAGCACTACGTACAAGGTACAGTACTTTGGGGGAGCAAAAGGGAGCTGAATGTCTCGTAAAAGCGTAATGGGGCAAAATGGAAGGGCGACAAGCTGCAAGGACGGCCACTGACGGCCAAATAATTATTTGACAGATGGCACTGAACAGCTGGGGATCGGCACTTGGCGATGCCTAGGCAGGGCGATAGGTGTCTTTTTGTTGGTAACTTGTGTGGTGATGGGCACTCCGAACACCTAGCTGGGTACTTACCGTACTCTCTGGGCCAAACACTGCTGGTACCCAAAGACATAGCTAGCTATCTATCTACCTAGGCACATGTGCCATGTAGGTCAGTTGGTCGCCTCTACATACGAGCAGACAGAGTTTTGCATCCTGCACCGCCATGTCGCCATCCCCATGCAGCTCCCCAGGGTTCTAAGCAATGTTCATCACTGCCTTAACAAGAGCTCCATCCGTAGCCCATCCCTGCCCCCCCCTTGACTCCCTGCTTTGACGCATTGACAGATATGCATGCAAAAAAAGTCAACTGAATTGGTCATTGGGTGCACTAGTGGTCAGCGGTCATTGGGACTTCAGCAAGGAGGACACGCTCTACACGCTTGACACGCTCACAGACAAAGTTGAAAAACTCCACAGGATCCCTACTCCATCAGGCCCATCGGGAATAAAAAAGCCCAAGTGCACATCTCATCTCAACCCCATAAAAAAAAGCGTGTACGAGGGGACTACATTGTGCAGCCGTGCAATCGCTCAGACCCCTGTTGGACAGACTCGCGGCCCAATCCACGCGCTCTATTTGCCAGCCGCCAGCACAGGCCGAAACAAGGAACCATCTCGCCAACTCGCCTGCGATTCTAGCCACTGGCCCTGGATACCTCAGTGAATCCTGTAGCTGTGACCATTCAGGGTCTGTGCAAGCGCCCATTCAATCTATAACAGGTGTTTGTGGCAATGCACCTCTGATTCAGGTTGCGAGCCAATTCATAAAATCATCGTTGCCTCACCACCACCACTACCTTTTTTTCTTCTCTTCATCCGGCATCCTCACCTTCGTCAGTGTCGAAGGCTTGAGCTCACCCAGCTTCCAACCACCCCCCTGTCGTCGCCTCAACTCACCTCCAAAAAAACACGCACTACCCTGATATTTCTGGGGCTGGCCTCCCCACCTCTTTTCAAGCCTCCTTCGAAAAAGCTCGCATCCTATCCCGAAGTGATCTTAGTCCTCCTCCGTGGCAGACAAGCCGAAGGAACCACACCTGTCCGCTGCTCCAGGTTCCAACCCCTGACAACCCGGACAAATCCTTGCCTGCGCCGCCAATCCAGGGTGAAAGAGAAGGGAACAAACCCAAAGGCCCTCCAACGGTGCAGCTTCAAGCCATCCACCACATCTGTGCTCCGTACCTGGAGTTTATCGTCCGCCTATCCACTAGCTGCAGCAGCCACACCCACTCTCCTGCATTTGCTACATCACTTCGGGTGCTCCCTTTCAGGAGAAAGACTCGCTTGGATACTACGAGACTCTCTCTCAAACATCAGGAGCTGCATCCCTGGGCCGTGTCTGGGACCACCCATATTTTGATATATCACACAGACCACAGGCTCGTGTGAACTTCTGAATCTCTTCCTGCTGGCCAGGTGAAATCGTCTACAGAACTTGGGCAGATAATATCTTGGATACCCAACCTCCCCGCTTGTGTCAGAGGCCTGTCACTTCACTTCAATTCCACTCGCTCTGTAACCAACACTTGAAACCTCTCTGAGAGAAGTCTGAAGTCAAGTCCATAAACTCGCGGACTCGCATCATCTCCAAGTCACTCCCTTTATTTCTTCGCCTTCTTACCACCAGGATCAAACACCTATCGCAAACAAGTCACACCATGGAATCCAAATACACCTTGGCTCAGAACAGGGCTGCTTTGGAAGAGTTTGTCCGCCAGCCTGTGCGGACCTACATGGTCCAGCACCTTGCAAAGCAAGCCTCACAGGTCATCCGATGTGATCCAGAGCCTCTACCATCTGCCGACTCATTGCCTACCCCTCCGTCAACACCACCGCACTCGTCTTCCGCAGAGCCTGCTGCAGCTCCTCTACCGAGCCTGGAACAATTCATCAGCTCCCTGGTTCACCGGTCAGCTGTTCAAGTACCGACTTTGATGACCTCCCTCGTCTACCTCGCCCGCCTTCGATCCAGATTGCCACCTGTCGCCAAGGGGATGAGGTGCACGGTGCATCGCATCTTCCTTGCATCCTTGATCTTGGCCGCGAAGAACTTGAATGATTCGAGCCCGAAGAACAAGCACTGGGCAAGATACACAACGGTCAAGGGTTTTGAGGGCTTCGGATTCGGCCTCGCAGAGGTGAACCTGATGGAGAGACAGCTCCTCTACCTGCTTGACTTTGACACTCGCGTGACGGAGCAGGACTTGTTTGATCACTTTGAACCATTCCTCGCTCCCATCCGCTTCCAGATGGAGCTGCAGCAAGAAGAGGCAGAACTCACCAGCGGCCACCGACACTGGCACTCTCACCAGGTCTCGTACGATTCGACCATGTCTGTGGCACCTCTGACACGCAAGGAGCCAGTCCAGGCTGTTGTCGCAACCCCTCCACCAAGAGCAGTCGGTGTCTACGATTCCCCCGCTTCCTACGTTGATGAGGACCTGGCTGTTGGTCGTTATCCCAGACACAAGGCTAACAATAGCTCCTTGTCATTACCTGCACCCAGTCATCGACGATGGCCGTCGCCATTCCGCCATCACGGCAACGCTCGGTCGGTGTCACCTCCATCCATACGAGATCTTCCACCTCTAGTTCCATCTAGCAGACCTGGTACGATGCACAGCCACAGCAGTTCTCGATCTTCTTCCCTGGCTCCTTCATCACGGTCTCGATCTTCGTCTCTCGCACCTACATCTCGAGGAACCCCCTACACTGCGTCATCAAACATTGACGACAGTATCGTGGTGGTTGACTTGACCCAAAGCCCCGATACCTCATACCACAGTACCTATAGCAAGACTGTTCGACCCAGCCTCAAAGGTCACCAAACGAGCTTCCAGGGCGAAAGTCAACCACCAGCCAAAAAGGTCAAGTCAGAGACTGGCGTGGGCGGTGTGATGGCGAGATTTTTCAGTTCCGCGACGAGCAACTACCGGATTGGAAGGACACCTATTCAACAGGCAGCTTAGGAGGCTGTTGCCCTTGTTGACGCGATGAAAACAGGCAGGACTTGCAAGCGACGACGTCTCGACTGAAGTGCAGAAGAGATGTAATATCAACCCAGATGCTGATGACCAAGCTGACATGCCTACGACTGATACCATCTACGCCTCACAGGCTTTACAAAACCTTACTCTCATTTACGGCAATGCTGTGTTTTTCTATTTATGTGGTGCGGCGCGAGATCTTGCATAGCGATGGCGTTTGGGAGATATTTTCAAAACTTGGCCTCCCAGAGAGCAACGGGGCAGGCATATTTTCTTGGAGAGAAAGGGAGCTGAGCACAACCCATGTTCACATGTAACACTACAATCCTACTTTAGTCAGAGATCGCCTGGCGTTGAGACGAGAAGAATGAAAGCAATGCGCAACCAAGCAGTATTCGTTGGACTGGAGCCAATGGGGGTTTGTTCATCTGTTCGGAAGGCGGGGAGAGAGAGAAAGTCAAAAGTGGTAGCTGGGCAGCGACAGCGATGATGATTGATGATGATGAATGAGGCGCGATACGGCCCGCATAAAGGGACCAGGTCAACCGAAACTCTGGGGGAGTGGACCGAACCAGACAGAAACAAGATAGACAAATCTTGACCCTTATCCGATGATCTATCTCTTCTTGGATAGAATGGCTATGAGAGTTTTGTCGTGGGGAAGAAGCGCCCAGCCCAACCCAACCCAATCCCAAAGGCAATGCCGAACGCAGAATATGCAGAATGTAAACTTCAATATTCAAAATGGAAAATGCAAAATATCTTTGAAAGCTTGATGAATGGAATAAGCTTTTGGCAAAAGTCCACTTTGAGCTACCACAACTTAGTATTACTCGGTAGACATGTCCCGGCTTTTTGTACGAGGACTTGGACTTGGGACTTGGGAGGCGATGGGTGTGGTGTTGTGTGGTAGAACTGGTGTATGTTCCGAGTATTCTAGTACAACAACTCTGACGACCCTTGTGCATGTCCCGAAAAGCATCGATATTTTACATCTACGTACATTTGTACATACATACCCGATGAGCAGTTTACTTTGCAAGCGTTGGTTCATGCGTTGTGTCTTGTCTTTTGACTGATCTTGTCTGGGATTGGGATGGGTTAATTTGACCCTTTGTTGATCACATAACACGACAAATCTCTCTGTCAATATTGATGTGTTGATCAAGGTGATCACTTAATATCTAGGTTTTTTTTCCCTTGACCCTCTGAACTCGTGTACTCGTGAAACTCTCTGACCCTGACCCTGACCCTGCTCTCTCGCCTCCCTTGCGTGCTTGCCTATCTGAGATCCATTGTAAACGAGTCAGAGTTTGTTGTTTCGGTAGATTGAGTGTATACCAACACCAACACTAAAATCAACATCAAGATGTTGTGTCGTGTCCCTGCAGAAGACCCTGCTACCCTGCTACCCTGCTACCCTGCCACCCTGCTACCCTGCCACCTGTCCCTGGAAACCCTGCTACGCTGCCCATCTCCCCAGCGAGCGAGCCAGCCAGCTATGCGCCACGCCATGTCCTCGATATTCTCGGCTCAGTATGCAGGCAAGGCAGGCAAGGGCAGGGAACAGAAAACTGTACGAGGGCGCGCACCAAAAGTACTGTTTACGCTAATTCAAATGACAAGTGTTACTGTGACAGAAGATTTTCTGAGCTTATAGGCACCTATACCTATCTCCTAGCTCCAAGTCAGAGCTAATAGGCGGTAGCTTAGTCTATATTTTCAGTCTTGATAGGCGCTGTAGGTAACGAGAATTGAGCTCCGATATCTCCGGGGGAGGCCGTAAGGGGCACCGAGAATAAAGTCTGTTGTCTTTTGATCAGCTTGTCATTCTATTACTAGCGTTGACAATACTTTTGGTGCGCGCCTCGGTATCTCACAGCACAGTCAGGCAGTTCCCTCGGGTCCCCCCCCCCTCCCACCACCTCAACCCCTCTTTCTTTCCGCCTCCTTCCCTCTTCGCAAGCCACAAAGACTCAAAATGGAATGGAATCGACGATCTTGCTCGCCTGTTGTTCTTATTCTTGTTGTTGCATGCAGGCAGGCTAAGAAAGAAACCCTCAACACGCTTTTCGCGAGTTGTCCCATTTGGTACATCTGTCCCAATTTGGAGGTGTGCATAGGACCTAAAATACCTTTACACTTCTCGGTAGGAATGGACGTACCGTATCTACCTGCACTACCCTTCCTAACCAATTGACCAAAACAGCCTTTCTCACCAGAAAAGGGAAAAACCACAAGTAACATTTGGTAAAGGTTGATCTCACACGTCCCTGTCCCTCAAGCTCTTCGAGGAGGGGTCCTCTCATTTGGATGCTGATGTTGATCCCGCTCCTGCCCAATGCCCACATCGTCTCTCCATCTCCATGGTACTCGTCGTATAGACAGACAGCTGGACAGAGTTACCGTAGCTCTCTTTGAGTAGCTCTGACTTGCCACCCCTTTACCTCGTACAATGTTTTTGACTGACCTTGTCAAGCTGCCCCAACACATCGCATCCTAGTGAATCTGCGGCACATTATTGAAACAGTGCTCGCATCTTCCCCTCTTGTCCTGGTCGCGTGTCCAAGCTCAAAGCCGGCGAACCTGGTTATGCTGGCATCAATGCCGTTCGAGGTGGCATGAGTGTGCTCTGCGCCCATATCGCTCGCTCGTCAGCCCCGCCCAGACGGCCATACTCGTACGCCTCAGGTATCTTATCGCGCCCTCTCTTACTATCTTTCTTCCCTGCTCCTTGTGGTCGGTCAAAGTCGAACCTGCGGATTGGTTCCAGAGAAGAATCCAGCCCATGTCGTCCGTCCAAATACCCGCCCTTCCTCGACAGATCTTGACAGCCTTCATTTGTTCGCAATCAAGACTTGTCGGCACACCCCAAGCCATCTTCGCTGTGCTACGACGAAAGATGAACGGTGGTATATGAGTGCGGCTGTGGTGCTGGTCACCCCGTCAAAAGGGCTCCGTGATCAGAAAGAAGACTGACATCTTTGGCGGGGCACAAACGCACTGCTCGTTTCTGGAGACATGCACATACCCTCACCCTCGCTTCAAAGTCTTGTGTGTCCGATTTCTGATCTCCCGCATTCTGGATCACTTTGAGTCCCCAACTTCGAGTAGCTGTGTCTGCAGGTTGTTTCGACCTACCCGCTCACTCGCTCTTGTCTGTCACCGCTCGCTTCCCGCCTTCCACTTGAATATTTCTTTCAAAAGCTGGTTCGGGTTCCTCCTTCTCGCTTAAATTGATCCTTTTGCCCTTGCCCCATCCCAAGCCATTCGTTACAGCCCGGCCGACCGCCCACCCCATCACCACCCCCCAGATAACCGTACAAGGCCATTTCTGCCACTCGCGATCCCAATCCAGCGCCATTGGGATGGCACCCACCCATCCTCCTACAAAGCTTCCCACTGTTGCACCCCATACGCCTGCTGAGTCGAATGGGAGCCACGCGGCCGCAACGTCGCGCCATGCGAGGGAGGAGACGCCGTGGGTGTAGAATAACGGCAGGAAGCCGAGTAGGGAGACATGGACAGAGAGGAGGAGAGTCAGGGGGAGGAGGGAGGTAGGGTACAAAGGCGCGCCCAGGACGAGCGCGATTAAGCTGAGCGGGAGAGGCGGTAGAGTGAACGTGAGGATCAGGGAGAAGAGCGTAGGCTATATCAATTGTCAGTCATTAGTCCAATCTCGAAGAGCCTTGCTAAGTCGGAGAGGGTGGAAATGAAACAGCAGGAGTATGGACTGGACCACAACGCAGCATAGAGCACCCATTGTAATTGTAACATGCGGAAAAGCAAACTCACCATGATCCTTGCACCCCAGCTCCCTTCACCAGCTGCTCCTCCTGAACCTCCCTTGCCAGCAACATGCCCGTGGCTTTTGCCAATGCCTGCCCCCCCAAGGTTCTTCTTCCTCAAACTCCCACCTCCCACACCTCCAGACACTTTGGTACTCTTTGGGCTTTTCTGCGCCGGACTTGCCGAGCCTTCCACAACGGCGCCGTCTGGTGTACCGGACACCCAGGACCCGGCAGCCGGCAAGCAGATGGCACAAAACAGACACTGCAACGCCGCGACGACGCCCAGGTCGCTCAGCAAAGTGTTGAACGGGTCTGCAACGAGGGACGAGGCGCGGAGATAGTAGTACAGCGGGACGAGTACGGTGTGGACGTAGCAGTAGCGTTTTGCGAGCGAGGAAGAGAGCAGAGGAATTGGATAGGTGTTTGGCGTGAGCAGGCGGGCCTTGCTCGACGGTTGCGCGGGCGTAGGAGGCAGGAGATGGGTTAGAGAAGTCGACATCTTTGCCAAACCCCTATGAAAGAATGTTGAGAAAATGTCGTTAACGAGTGAATACAAGAAGAACGAAACAGCCAGAGAAAGTTTCAAGGCATTGTATCTAACGCGTACTTACAAACGGATCGATACTTTACTACCGTCAGTGTCTGCAACCTTGGACCTTTGAGCACGGGCATTTCGCTTGGCGGGCTTAAACCTCAGCCTTGTAGCCTAGCAGGTCTAAACGCATGGCTGGTTGATATTGGATCCTCTGGTGCCCTTCCAGGTTGGATCACTCACAGAGCTCGCGAATTGTCTCAAGTTACTCAAGTTACTCCTGCTACACTCGAACAGTTCACCACTCTTCAGGCCGTATGTATTCGTACATAAACACTGTTGCCTCGCTCCATTGTTAAAAGCTTCATCACACCTGTATGGGTATCTCATGCAAACAGCATCCTCAATGTAAAGCTCCCTTAGCTGAATGCCTCCGTCAAAACAAGGTTGGAAGGGTCATGTTCCGCCTTCCAATGGCAAAGGTCCGATAAATATGGTACCGAGAAAGTCGAACAAGAAGCGAATTGATGCATGAAATCTCAATGAATGCAACGCAAACATCAGTTGCCGCTCATATAACTGCCACCTGCTGTGAATCCCTTGCCGTCTCAAATGTATCACGTTGTTGCTCCCGAGGGGTTTCGTAGACGTCCTCAAATCCTTCTTCCGCATCTGAATCTTCTGTCCCACTAAAACGAGATATTTCTTTGGGCAAATGATCTAATTGAAACGGATGGGTTCGATGTAGTGTTTTCATTCGAGGTGGCGTCCCAGACAAGTTCTGCTTCGAGTCGGGACTGGGCGTTGGGTATGGTTCTCTGATCGTCGCGTAGACCGGAGTCCTCATGCTGTCCATTTCCTTCTGGAGTTCGGATACCTGCTCTTCCAGTTTTTGTCGAGCCGCCTTTTCTTCTTTCATCATTTCCAACAAAGCCTCAAACTTTTCAGAAGGAATATGAATCGACGACGGCGAATTCCCTCTCGAACGTCTGGGCGACCTCCGTCTCGCAGTCGCGGGTCTGATCGTGGCAGTTGTGGCTCTGCTCGCTCTTTGAGGATTGAACACATCATCGACTTCTGGAGAAGGAGCGGGTGACTCGCCAGGAGAAGACAAGAATGTAAAATCCCGAGCTTCGCCAGAAGAAAGGTAGCTCAAATCATTCGACGATCCGCTTGTCAAGGTCAAGTTCGTCGTATTGTGAAAGAACGTGTCCGGCATCGTGCCTTGGCCGAATGGTTTCTGATTTAACCTCGGATTTGGCAAGTCGTTGCCTTGGAGCTTGGCCAACGCAAATTCAAAGTCGTAGAGCTTGATCTCTAGAGTGTTGACTCTCTGCTCCAGTCCGATCTCATCCCGCTCTGGACTTCCAAGGCCAAAGTCAAAAGTCTGCATGGGCTCAACGGTGGAACGACCACGCTCCGATTCCGCCATCGGGTTGTCTGATCCCAAAACGTGTGTGGGATCTACCGAGATCGATTGGCCACTGTACACGGGAACAGGGTTTTGGATGGCGCTATTGCGCCAGTAAGCAATTTCACCTGCTCGGTCACGAGTGGAAGGGCGTTTATCGCTGCCTTGGTGAACAAGTTCGCTGAGGGCGTCTGCGCTCCTCGATCGCCGCTTGAACTGACGATCCGAGACACCGTCTTCCTTTGACCTCTGTTCCACCGAGGACGGTTGCGGTTCTGGCCAGTCAACAACCGCCGGCACAAGAATTGACTGTATGTCACTGAAGACGAGACTGGGTAGAGTGTTGCGACGCCCGCGCCGCGGAGGAGGGGGTAAGCTCTGGTGAACAGCTTCAACCTGAGGATATGGATTGGAATGTGAAGTTAGCGCGGCTCCCCGCAAGTTTGTGTCTGATCCCAATTGCGGAGCCGATTCCAGTCGTGTCCGAATCGGCTGCTCTGTGACTGGTTTGAGATGTCCCGTATCATTGTAGTGAAAGCCACTTGTATCAGTAGGTACGGATCTGTGCTTCTTGCTTGAGAACATGCGCTTGAGCGTTGCGCGCAATCCATTGGGCTTCTTCTGGTTCAATGATGCCTTGGAAGGAATGGAAGACATTGAGCTCTGATTCAGTGATGGCCCAGCGGAAGTACGAGAACGTGTGTGTGGCGGAAGGTCACTGACATGTCGCACATGGGTATCCTGCGTCGCCGTACTTGCCCGTGGCCATGTGGTGTCGTTATGTCGCTGTACCGACAGATGTCTGGCGGGTGGCACGGTGCTAGTGTTGCTGAAGACCCCAGACTCATCGAAGGGAATGGGATCTGAGATCTTCAATTCGCCACGGCGCAAAGCAGCGCCCGTGCTGGCCAGGGACAAAGACCCTGATCCCTTGGCTTTGTGGTTGGGAGAGGGCATATCGCGAGATTGCGAGGCCTGAGCGAATACTACCTCCCAGAAATCACCAATTGCGCAACATCAGGACTGGACGAATGACATCTGAAGGTGTGGCATCATGCTGATGCGGTGTGGCTTGAAATGTGCCCGCTTCACAGACTGTCAACAGACATTGGGAAGCTCGTATCGATGAGTGCTATCCCTGACGGTCACAGGAGTGGCACAATTGCATCTGTCACTGAGATGTCAGCCGCGACAACTGCCCTTACTTAGATCTCCGGACATCTGGAAGTCTACCATAGGTTTTTCTGGAAGATTAAGATTAGAGCCAAAAGTATATCTAGATAAGGCGGGCAACACCAGTCGGAGGAAGTGGTGAGAAGGAACAGTGGGCCTGAACAACTGCAGGGCCAATGATGACCTTATGAAGGAGTGACCAGGGAGTTGGAAGACAGAAACGGTGCGCGGAAATCGAAGGTAAGGCAGACTCGAGACGGACAATGGGGCGAAACAGGAGGAGTAGAGTCGCAGAGTCGCAGATTTGCAGAATTGCAGAATTGCAGAATTGCACGATGGTAAATAAGGGCCGAAGCGGCTTTGAAGAGACGAAGACAGAGCTGCAAGCACGGCAAAGACAGCAGTGTCTTGGTGTGTACCGAGTAGTAGTCGTATCCTTGTAGATCACAGAATTGGTGTTGGTTTCGGCATCGCTTCGACCCGCATTGCTCTGGCAAGCTTCGAGCTTCAAGCCTCGAGGCTACTCTGGAGGGTGAAAGAGACACGACGCCAACTCAAAAGAAGAAAGTATGACAATCTCTGGCGTGGCCTAGAGTGACAGCTGGCCGTGTCCCACTTGCTCCGGTGTGCTCACAACATCCATTCTCTTTTTGTTCCCGTTTCAACAGCGGCGGAATTAGACAGCGGATGATGACTTGGACGCAGGAGATCGAGTCGGCGCGGCGCAATAATGGAGGGGCAAGGTCCCTGATGGAGACAAGTCATGACAAGGATGGCGGTGGGTGTGAAGCAGAGTGAGCCAGGAGAACCAGAAAGACAAGAAAGAGGAAATGTGGGCGTCAAGGCTGGCAGGCTACTGACCAGTAGTGATAGAGAGTGGCCGATGCGCCCCAGTCATTCATTCGTTAGCCTTGGAGGGGCTCCCTAGGCATCACTAGAGCCTCACTAGCTCGCGCGAGTACGAGGGAGGTATTCTCTAGGAATGCCCCTTCTCAGCACATCCAAGCAACTAGACTCCAAACTGCGACGCCAGCTGCCTACCTCTAAGTAGGGGTTCAGCTCACTAGGAATTTTCCTCGCCGTGCCCATGAAGGATCAAAGACATCGAACACAGGCACCACATCAGCGAGAAACAATTTACGTTCATCGTCTCCAGCCAAAGAAAAGTCATCTGCCAGCCCCCAACCAACCATGATCCGCCGGCGCTCCCTCGATCCCCCTCCACCATCTTGTCCATCCCACTAACGAACTATCGACATCCTGACGTGCCGGTTGGCCGCAGCTGGTATTGCCTCGTTCTCCCTCGTGACTGGTCAGCACCAGTTCGTGCGCTCCCGCAGGTGTTGTGGCACCTCGTAACCATCCGTGTGCCATCTCACCGCACAATCTACCCCCTCTCGTCTACGCGATGATCCCGCTTCCCTCTTCCAAAAAAAATAAAAAAAACCACGGGGTCTCCGGGAAGCTGAAAGAGACGGATCATCCAAGAAGGACGGTCGGAGAACAAGTGCGACCACCTGGTCGGACGCTATCCGCGCCAACTATCCCCCGTCCAGCATGACCACATGTCGACCCTCCTCTAAGCTGGCCAGCCCACCCCTTCCTATTCTGCTCAGTCCATTGGATTCAACATGTCTACCCCTGCGCCATGCAGCGATGCAAGTCATTTTTAGCGCGGAAATACCCGTTTGCGACTGAGCTCACGCAGACGAAGCCGCTCACGTCGCGGTTTCGAAATCATACAAGCGAACTTGAAGGGTAGTCTGGGACAGAAACATGTCTCTCTCTCGGGAGCACACCGGAAGTTACGCCAGAACCGTCCAACTGTCATAAGCCTAAATAACACCATCATCGGAGATATCACAACGTGCACCGAGGAACACGGAACAGGATGTGGTAAGGCTGCCCAGGGTTTGCTGTGCAAAAACAGGAAATACAGCGGCGTGTCCGCTTCGCCACGAGTGTCGTGTTTGGAGGCCCCCGCTCGTTGCTACTCAGCACTGATATGGCAAGGAATCCTTGAACCCATGATTATCGTAAGAGTACTCGGTACTTTGCTGACCCATTATGAAAGGCGTCTGCTCTCGAGAAGCGCGATATCGAGCTTGATTGGCCTAACCTTGTTCTCTTTTACATTCACGCAACGAACCCTTATCTTGGCCCTTTGATTTGGCTACTCTTACTCGTCGTTGAGCAATGCTTCCTTTTTCGCCGAACAGAAACCACGAACCCTTTCTTTTCTCCCTTGGCTTCCTTGCGCAATCGAGGCTCGACTCGTTCGCCGCTGAGAACAGATATCCCCACCACATACTTGGGTGGCATGGCATATTTTCGGCCCCGTGACGTGTACTGTGAGGATCTTACAGTGCAGTTCGTGGTGGACGCCTGATTGATCCTGTCGCAACAACGGGCCCCGAGGACACAACCATCATGACACCGGCTCTGTTCCCGTTCGCGCAGATACAGCGTGCGATTGACCTCGCAAGGCGCCCAATAATGCGAACCCGCTGTAGGCCCCTAATTGACGAATCTCGAGTCGATTGCGTGGTCAAATCGGAAGTGCAGTTGTGACGGAGCACCCTGGGCTATAATCAACCAATTGCTTCTCAAATCCTGCTTTATTTGCTGAGGACATTCCACGTCAGACCTGTCCCTTTGACATGAAACTGGCTACGGGTCTTTCGTATGCGTTTCAAATGTACCTGAAAGCAAACCAATACGAGGTGTGCCTCCCACCACTAACCAAGTTCTTTTGCCAGCTTTGCCGACATTGGGTTTCGATGATTCAGGGCATGAGCCCGACTGTGCAGATTCTTGAATTGCAGGACCTTGTGTAACGACACAAACTACCCGAGTTCCAAATCCTCGATGTTTGGATATCTCAGGTCGGCATGGTCCTCCAAGAATTTCATCCACTTCTTCAAAAAAGGACTACCTCGAGAAACCGTCTCTGAATCGCCAATCACGCACAAATGGCGTTTCGGTCGGGTCATTGCAACTAGAGACCGCCATTGTTAGATACGCGGCACACAAAAGACTCGATCCAGGCTGCAGGGTGCTCGTATCTGCGCAAGTCCAGGGGTCCAACAATCATAGGCTCCCAGAAGATACACGTAACAGCGCACAAAAACACCGTCGACGATGGCATGTGGAATTGGACTTACCGTTCAACCTCCTTTTCTCTCCCAAGAAGCCCACTTCCTTTTCAGCGTTGCTTCTGACCAGACTGACAATGATGGCTTCCTTCTCTCGGCCTTGGAAACCGTCCACACTACCCAATTCGAGGTTTGGGAACTTCTCCTTGAGCAACGAGCTCAGAAGAGCGAGCTGGGCGTTGTAGGGTGTGACGACCGCTATGTCTTCGTCCCTAACCCCAGCCTCGACCAGATTCTTTACATGCATGGCAGCCACAGCCGCTTCCATTTCGTTGCACTTACTGTCCCCCAGCAGGGTCGATTTTTTAACCTGGCCACTCGCGTCGTCTTCAGCCTTCTCCGGAAAGTCACCTCCTTGCGTGTCGAAAAATACAAGTGGTTCGATGGTATCTTCTGTCTCTTGTACTTCGTACGGCAGATCTCTCAGCAGTCGGGACTTGACGGCATCGGCGGCGACAAGCTTTCCCTCATACAACTCATCGCTGGGAAACCGCATTATCTTTTCATGCATTCGGTACTGCGTATTGAGCAGCCTCTTGATCCCAGGTCCATGTCTGGCCAAGAGTCTGTCAAACATTGTTGTTTCCAAGGACCAACTTTTCGCTGCCTTTAGTTCTTGATCCTTGACAGACAACTTTGCCAGTTCTTCCTCCAGAGTTTTGATCCTTGCTTTCTTCTCCTCCTTGTTGTCTTTGTTATCTGCGCTCTTGACCGTTGGCGGCAACTGTAGATGATCACCCGCTAAGACCAGCTTTCTCACGTTTGCTCCTCCGAAGACCAGCGGGATCCAGCATTGCGGCTCGAGAGCCTGGCTGGCTTCGTCAATTACCACGACGTCGAAGGCTTGATTGCGGATTTGGTGGCTTCCAGCACCGTGCAGTGTCGACAGCACGACTTTGCTGCTCGTCACAAGTCCATCTATACACTTCCCTTCCCTCTCCCGGTACTCTTTCCTCAAGTCTTTCAAGTCGGCGTAAATTGCGCGCCGTTCGCGTGCGTTGCGAGTCTTCCGGATAGAAGCTTGCTTTGTATCCATCTCCTTGCGCACATCGCTTACAATCCCCGCAGCTTCGCTCGTCCGCGTCAACACCTCGAGCGAGTGGTTCAAAACACTGGGCAAGAGGCGAGCCGGATGACCTAGGCGGACAATTGGTGTACTTGGGGAGGTCAAGGAAAGACGTTCGACGATGTTGTCCACACTGATGTTACTGGGTCCGCACACCAACACACGTTGCTTACGCTTGAGAAGCTGCAGGATGAGTTCGATCAGTGTGTATGTCTTCCCTGTTCCAGGAGGACCGTGAATGAGAGCTATCTCCGGTGCGCCGAGGGCGAAACGGACGGCATCTTGTTGGGAGGGGTTCAATGTCGAGTCGAAGAAATCGAACTTGTCCGAATGAGACGAGTCAGCTGTGCCTGGAGAAGAAAGCCCTAAGAGCACACGCTGCAGCGTTGTGTATGACGACTCGGGCGCTTTGAGTAGCCTAGTAAGGGTCTGGTTCATTCTTCAGACACTACAGTCAGCCGAGTCTGGTTTTCGAGCGCCACATGTAGCAGAACTTACCTCCTGTAAGTGACATCGTTTGCCAGTTTGACCCTGTACAGCGAATAATCAGTTCCTTGGTCAGTGCGAGTCTGTAGCAACTCTCCCAGAATTCAAGCAACAGTGAGAAACGTACAGCCACAGTTTTCCGTCCGGGACCTCTTCGACATTGTCGCCCCCTCCACCCTCCTTGCCCAGCGCAACCCACACAGCCCTCTGCCCAACCCGGACCACCACGCCCTCAACGCCCTTTCCCTTGAGCTCAGCGGCTTCCTTCTTCCTCGCCGTGCCTTTCGGGATCTCTCCAACGCGCACGATATCCCCCGTCCGGATCCCGTGCTCTGGCAACTCACCTCTGGAATCCTTGCTGATGACCGCGGGATCGAGACCGAGCTCCACCACACTGCGTCCCCCGAGCCCGGTCTTCAGAGAGTGGACTGAGAGGTTGAGGATCGCGAGCCCGGCTCGGGAAAGAGTCGTGGGCGGCGTGGATGAGAGCAGGAGGGAGGTCTCGGCGACCTCGGAATCTTGCTCGAGGTTGACCAGGTGAAGAAGGGTGGTGAAGAAAGCGGAAGGAGAGAGCGTTTCGGATGCTGAGGGTGCCATTTCTTGTCCCCGTTTCGACAGATTTCCAGAATGAACGTTGTTCTGATAGGGAGATGGAAAAGAGGGGGATATTAGACCGTGATAGCCTCAGCAAATCAAGGCGGGCGTTTGTGGAAGAGAGTGGTTTTCTCTCTTAGCCTTTCGACGTCGAACGCGGAGTAGTGCTAGCTGTTACCATTGCTTCCTGTATTTGCTTGATCTCTATCCCGATCGTAAGTGTTGAAGCTATTTTGTTCACGTTATTTCTTTTCGTGATGGTATGAGATGTGGGTGAGGGAAATCTAGCTGCGGGGGACAGGTAATCGAGGGATGTTCACAACGGATGAAAGCACAGAAGGGTGATTCAAAAGTCGTGGTCACGTACTCTCCAAGTCCTGGCTCTGAAGGAGCGAGACCGCAGCGGAGAAGATTGGGTATAGGAAGAAGGGAAAAGAACAGCCTTGTTGAAGACTTTGTTGATGGGTGGATGGAGTCACAAGATGCAGCCTTGCGCAGCCTTGGCGCTTCCAGCAAATATCTCTCTCTACATAGATACGACTCTGTGCATGGCAAGTTTTTTTTGTCATTTCTCTGGAACAAGAGCAGAGGTACCCGACTATCCTCTCGACCGCATACTTGCACGAAGCACCGGAATGCTGATGGAAGAAAGATATTGCCTCCAATTACAATCCTGGATCTTGGATGAGCCCTCGGAATACTCACTGTGGTGAGACCAGATGTCCGCCCGTTGTATCCGACAACAGGGGCCCTCGGTTCCCTCATAGCGCAGAGTCTATCGAGGACACGGCCATAGGCTTTTTGCCATATATGACGGCACTGTGGCAACCATGGTCAGTCTCATGGATTGGAATTTGATCCTTCACATACCATGGCCAATAGGTATATCGCTTCGTCGCCTTGAATTCTTTGCGCACATCAGCAAGGAATACCTGGACCTGTTCCGGCTCCCATCCCAAGCAGCGCGTAAAGATGGCAAGAGTCAGTGCTTCGACACCGTCCAACATTGCGTATAGTTGATACATCCCCGCCTCCTTCATACGTGGATCGGACGGCCACCGGCCGATTGGGATCTTGAACGGCTTGACTACCACGTCAACGAATCCAACCTCTCTCATCAGTTCTCCTAGTTTCTCAAAGTCCAGGTCAAGGTGTCGCCCCATGCCAGTGATGCCTTGTCGCAGCAGACGACACTACTCGTCGACAGGGTTGTCTGGTTTAATGGGAACGTGGTCGCTCCGGAGGTGCGTGGTTAGATCATGGATCTCAAGGTAACCCCCAGGCCTACAGTGTCTACACAAGCAGAAGATGCATTAGATTCGAGGCGTGCTCGGAAACTGACGACACTTATACTGAGTAGGATGTTACCTGAAAGCCTGCCGGAAGTACTTTGGGAAATCCGCGATACTTCCACTGAGCATGAATTGGCTGTATATGAGATCAAAATGGTTGAGAGGCCATGTCCACCTGTCCCCGACATCATCGATCTCCCACTTGATATTGGGTGGAGCGACCGTGGGTTGGATAGGGCTCAGGTCTACACCTGTCACGGGAGTCTCTGGGTGCGCATCGGCGACGTCAATGGCCCACGTTCCGACGCCGGTGCCCAGATCCAAGACATGGTGGAGGTTCTTGACAGGCGCATAGAAGAGCTGGGAGCCAGCAGCAAGAAACATTGCCCGGTGTTGCAATTCCATGCGCTCGTGCTCGGCAGCGTCGTTGGGCATGAAATATTGGCCTTCTTTATATGCATGGTAGGTCCGGCCGTTCTCGACCTTGTATTGATATATACTCGACCGAACTGACTGGGTCAAGACTGAGTCCTGCTCGAAGCCTGAGTCCTCGGTGTCGTACTGCTCTTATCATTAATTTGAGCGACCGAGGAGATGTTGGACAAACCCCATGGTCTATTTCCAACTCGTCGCTCTCTTGACCTCGTCGACTGGCGCTGGCATCTGGGTTCATCAAAGAAGCCATGTCCATATTTCTGCCGAGATTCCTGAGGACAGGGGGACGAAAGGGTGCAGATCCGCCGAACATGATCTCTTTCCTTTTTGATTGCGGGATCCGGGTACATAGTGGCGTCGCAACTCTCGTCATTCAACAACAAACCCCTCTTCCACCGATTCGAGGGCCGCGGTACGATGTGGTGTAGGGCTGGGGCCACACTCAAGGCCGTCTCTCAGAGCAGTCTAGACAGAATGGTCGACAATATGGGAGGGAGTGGAGAGCAAAGCATATTGCTGGGTCGGTGGATCTGATCCCGACCGCATCTTGTTATCACCAACAATGATGTTCGCTTTCTCTCCAACATGTAGGGGTTGCCTTGAATGAGGGATACACCAGTGACAAAACTGGAACGGCGATTAACCGAAGGTGCATGGACGATTGTTAGGTACTTGGACGACCCGAGCCAACAAACCAGCCATGGACCGAGCAGATCCCCGACATCGCCTGAACTTCCACCAACAACTGGCCAGTATCTGGACGACTTGCGAGGGGGCACACGCATTCGTTCCATCTACTCGGTAAAGGTACAAGAGTTCCCCTCTCTCTAAAGGATCAACAAACTTCCATCCATTTGCACCTCAAACTTTACACATCACGACGGTCGTGCCTGTACACAGCCACTTAAGCTCTCAAAGCTTCGTCGCAGTCTAGGCGGAGCTTCTACCCCAGGATGCTGGAGCAGGTCACTGGTACGCTGCAGGTCAGCTTTACCAAGATCCTGGCCCTTTCCGCTGTCACCTGGCTGGCATGGGCCGTCGTCTCAATCCTAATAGCATACAGCAAACTACGACATGTCCCTGGGCCGCCGTTGGCTGGCTTCACGAATTGGTGGTGGATCAAATCCGCAGTCTCGGGGCAAGGCCATCTTGCCTTGAAAAATGCCTGCGATCGTTACGGTATGAGACAGGTTTCCAATCCCTCGGGAACGGCAGGGCGGACAAGGCAGGTTCTAACGAGCCGGTCCAGGATCCATTGCTCGGATTAGCCCGTCCATGGTGGTGACGTCGGATCTCGAACTGTATCGCAAAGCAAATGCGCACAGGATCAACGACTACTCGCGGGGCCCGTGGTACAAGGCATTCAAGATGGACGCTGAGCGGGAGAACCTTTTCACCGAGCTCAATGACGAGAAGCACTCCCTCATGCGCGCAAAGCTGTCTCCGGGGGTAAGCACGAGTATCACTCGGCACTGGTTCAAGACACTAAGCTCGGTGACAGTATTCAGGCAAGGATAACCCTGAATGCGAGCCCAGTACTGATCAGGTAGTCATGGACGTCGTGCATCTGGTCAAACGGAAATATCTGTCAGTGGGATCCAACATCAAGCCGCTCGACTGGGCCCAGTTGGCACAATACTTCACCCTGGACGTGATCACATATCTGTCCCTCGGTGAAGCATTCGGGTTCGTCTCGGACGACACGGACAAATACACATATGTGAAGTCCATGGAAGACAATTTCCCCATCATGAATGTCTTTTCGGCAGTGCCGCTGCTGTCAGCCATCGCGAGGATCCCAACAGTGCAAGCGAACCTTGTGCCTTCACCGAAGGAGAAGACCGGGCTTGGGAAGGTTAAAGCGTGGGTCATGCGAGCAAAGTCATCCACCACCCAGCTAAGACTAACACCATTGCAGGGTCGCTCGGCAGATCATTGCTGGCCGTTTCTCCGGGGAGAAGGCGGGCCGCTATGACATGGTGACTTCGTTCAAAACCCATGGTTTGTCAGAACTGGAGATCTCGGACGAGTCGCTGTTCCAGTTGCTGGCGGGCTCCGACACGACGGCGACCATCGTTCGCACTGGCTTCCTCTCAATCTTATCAAATCCACAGGTATACCGCAAGCTCCAAGCGGAGGCACTGGCCACAGACATTGGCTTGGATAAGGTCATCTCATACTCTCAAGCGCTGAGGCTGCCGTACCTGCAAGCTTGCATCAAGGAAGCTCTGCGACATCATCCGGCTGCGGCAGGCTTACTCCCTCGAGTTGTCGGTGCACAAGGTGACACACACAATGGCGTCTACCTCCCTCCTGGCACCGAGGTCGCCTTTTGCGCCTGGAATATGCACCGCCATAACACAGAGGTATACGGTGCAGACGCAGAGATCTTCCGGCCCGAGCGCTGGCTCGAAGCATCTCCTGAGCGTTTGGCCATCATGGAAGAGGCACACCATCTCGTCTTTGGCAATGGCAGGTTCCGCTGCATGGGTGAGAATATTGCGAGACTGGAACTGAACAAGATCTTCTTCGAGATGATCCGGAGGTTTGACTGGAGCTTGGTTGATCCTGTACATCCAATCAAGAAGAACACGAACTACGGATTGTTCGTGCAGAAGGGCATGTTGGTCAGGGTGAGCGAGCTGGACAGCTGACGAGGGTGGCCCTCTGTATGTGGAGAGTTGTCAATGTAGACCGCTATATACTTTGCGGAATATTTTGTCGAGCAATCTACCTACGTGTAGGAGGTATGTACATAGAATCGATGAGAAGCTGATTTGTCATGACGTAGAAAGTCGGAGGAATTCCTCGTCATTTGAAATTGGTGCGGAGCGATAATAATACCGAGCACAAAACCGCACAATACACCTGGCCACAACCCCGACTTTCATTTTCACTCATGGCTATTACATGCTATTTTGATACGTTCCTTTCATGCACAGGCAGTGCTGAGCTCGTCAAAGCCAGCACTGCCCTATGAGATGCTCCTAGGGCTTTGAAGTCCATCGATAACCCTCGTCTTCTCTCTCTCTCCTCGAAGTTTTTCGCTCTGCATTTTCTGCGTACGAGGTGCACCTTGGCTGAACCGTCTGTCGTCTGATACCAGATCATGGTGCTGCCAAGTCGCTGGGTCTAAACGTGTTTCTCTCACGGGGGCATTGGCTGGCGATCAGGATAACCGCTCTCTACGTCTACTTACAACATGACTTCCACAGAAGATTCCCAGAAACATGCTGCTTCGAACGGAGATACACCCGCACCGACACCGGCGCAGTCGTGGACATATCCCACACGAACCTGTCGACTCTGCCTCGAAGAAGTGCCCGCCACAGTGACTCTCTACCCTCCCGGCCTCCCTCCGGCCTTTCAACATCCCGTCGTCGAGTACAAAAATGAAGATGAATACGGCCGGCTGATCAAGCCGTGTCATTGCAGAGGAGGCATGCGGTACATACACGAGCTGTGTCTACGGCGGTCCCGGACAGAGGGTGTGCGGCCCGGCTCGCTCTGGAAATGCCACGAATGTGGCTATCAGTTCAACTTCAACAGACTCACGGTTCAGAAATACCTCGGCAGCAAGACAGCTTCGGGGGCTCTGACGGCATTGGTCATGCTACTGTTTGTGTTTCTTCTCGGGTTTATTGCAGATCCAATCCTCAATCTGTACACCGATCCCTACGAGACGATCGTGGGCCACGAGGATGTCTGGCAGGCGGTTGATGTCAATGACTCGAAAGGAAGCCTGTCAGGCTGGGCCCAGCATTTTATAAAAGGGCTGGTCTCGATGGGCGTGCTTAGCTTCTTGAGAACCATGATCCTCAACCCTTTCCAATGGTGGAATCTTAGAAACACTGGCTTTGTCACCGGCAGAGTATCTGGGAGATCTGCTACTGGTCGGGACCGCGCAGTCAACGTCAGCTGGATTGTGGTGGTGATGGGAATCCTGTCGGCATCGTATTTTTTCTACCAGTGGGTGCAAACGATCATTGGCAAATCACTCCAACGCATAGGGAACAACATCGTTGACACGCAGCTCCCGGGCGATGATGACGATATCAAACCGCCGCCAGGCTTCAAGTTTGAGAACAGCTCTCCGGACACTGCCAGTTCGGAGGCAAGTCCGCAACAAGATGACAGTTCCCCAGCAAATCAGCGCGAGGAAGCAGCTGAAACCAAGGATGTGGACGCGCCTCGCATCGCACCAGGTGTCATGCCTGGGACTTGGGGATCCAGCGCCTACAGTTCGGCCTTGGATGATGCTCAAAGGCAAGGCTGGTCATTTCGAGGGCTCTAGCCATCTGCTTTTGGGGGCCCCGATGGGTGCAGACTGCGCTGCTTGTGATGCTTCCCACGGTGAGGGCTATCTGTCCGACGACCCTGCCAGTGTAATATATCTGTTGAATGTTTATCTCTATCTCATCATCGCCCAACTTTGAGTTGTCACATCTGTTTCAGTGAAGTGCCAATCAGTCAGTGCGCGAAGAGCAACAGCATTCCGCCTCCGAAATGTGTCGGCGTCATGTCTTCGCATCTCATCAGGCGGTTTGCCAGGCCAACAACTTTCCCCAGAAGCAGCTGGTCCAGTCCATGGCCTGCGATGGGAACAGTTGGTAAATTCATGACATGTGAAACCAGTATTATGAAAATCATGCCTGTGATGCCTTTCGATGGTGAGGCAGTGAGTGAATATGATGAGACACCAAGACCACAATGACAACTCCCCTGTTCCACTTGTTCTTGCCTTTCTGCTTCTGCTGTTTCTATCTCGATGTGAATTGCACTTGCTTTTTTCCCTTATCGACCTGATCGTTGCTTCCCTTGAACATCGCGTCTCGTTTTCCTCGATTCCGAGTCTGAGACCGCCTCATCTAGACTTCATACATTCATGTCCTGATCGATAGAGATTCTCGCTCAACCATGGCCGACTCTGCTGAAGCTACGGATACTGACCTCTCCGCACTGTTCGACCGGTATCCGGACATCAACTTTGACACGACAGGGGACATCGTCTCGAGTTCTGAGATCAGTGAGCATTTCTCATCACCGGGTTCAAACGCTACAGACCATGATGACACTCCAATCTCACACGATTCGACTTCAACCGCCCACACCACTCCGCTGCGGCCCAGTCTTCGCTCCGCCGAAACACTGGAGTTTCCGACACTGGATCTGTTCCTCGAACACGTTGCCAGTGCTGATCTCCCCTTGACATGCAAGGAAGCATTCGAGAGTCTTGCACAGGTAACAGCTGGGCTCGGTTGGTTATTGGTGCCTACCGATGGTGATCCTCCGGGGGTTCATGTCGCTTGTAACAAGCAGAAGATACTCGCCCTGGTCCGATTCATGTCGGCGCAGCTTCGGCAGTCAGTTGCCAATGTCACCGAACAGATCAACAACGTCGACTTTGTTAAGACGCGCGCTCCATTCACAGCTGACCTGTCAGAGGGAGATCTTTGGTGCATATATCGACAGCGCGCAGTACTCCTTACATGGTGCGTGCCCTTGCGTACCCTTATGAATACGGAGCAGGAGATGCTGATGACGGTGCAGGTATACGGCATTGCCCTGCCGGACAGAGCAGACAATGCTAGAAGACCTGACTCATGTCTTTGATTCCTACGTCTATCACCCGTTTCTGCAGTTATTGGGTATCGAACGTGTTGATATTGACGTGCAGGAGGCCGTCAATGGCCTCTACGACGTTCTCATGACACTGTTTCACCACTACGCCGTCTGGATGAACGAAATGAAGGACATAACAGTGAACTATATGCGACCGCTAATGAGACGGATACGGAGGTCTCCACAGATACTCGGGGGGATATCAGAAGCTGAGGAGCTCGGCGAGGCAGTCAAGGCATCGATTGGGGATTCAGAGGCACCAGGCATGCAACCACATAACGAGCGAGCCATCCAAGAGCTCCATTTGAGTGTCAGTCGACGGAGAATAGTCGCTCCTCCAAGAGCCAGACAGAGGTATCGGCGCGAACACACCGTGTAGGATGTATCTGCGAGACACGGCCGTCCGAGATGGGACGGGCTCTTGCTATTCTCTGGTGAAATTGGGATAGCTGTCATCTTTTCATGTCAAGCCAGACACGTCGCTATCAGCAATGTCTCTCTCATTTTGTTGCTCCTGTGTCTACCTAGGTATTCCAAGATAGACCCAAAGGAACTCAACAGAGCCAGTGACATGCATTTCAGATCAATGCTGACAATTTCGTCATGTCCACGTCGTAATTGAGAGATAACTGTAATTGTATCGCGGGCATGTTCGGCCATGGCCATTGATAACTATTTGTCTCACCTCGAATGTAATAGTTTTGATCTTGTCCTTGGCAAGAGTGGGCGACGTCATATCGACAAACCACTTTACGCGTTCTTAGACGCCGAGACGCGTCTCGCATAATTTTGAAAATCATATTCAACGACCAACACCATCACCATCACCGCCACGAATCTAGGCCACCACGTTTATTCAGCTGTCTACACTACATCAATCCAGCAGCAGCCATGGCGCTTCTGGTGGATAAACTCCGTCCTCGATCCCTCGATGCGCTCACATACCACAAAGACCTCTCGGAGCGATTAGCTGCCTTGGTATTACTGGCCCCGGCGCCCCGATGAAAATACAAGCTGCTGCTTAGGAGAAATGCGAGTGCTGACTCTACGCGACAGGCCTCTTCTGCCGATTTCCCCCATCTCCTCTTCTACGGCCCGTCGGGCGCGGGCAAAAAGACACGGGTGCTCGCGACGCTGCGGGCGCTGTACGGTAGCGGGGCGGAAAAGATCAAGATCGACGCCCGCATGTTCACGACCAGCTCGAACCGCAAGCTCGAGTTCAACATCGTGTCCTCGGTGTACCACCTCGAGATCACTCCGAGTGATGTGGGAATGTACGATCGCGTGGTGATTCAGGATTTGCTCAAGGAGGTGGCGCAGACGCAGCAGATCGACCTCGGGGCGAAACAGCGGTTCAAGGTGGTGGTGATCAACGAGGCGGACGGGCTGAGTCGCGACGCGCAGGCGGCGCTGAGGCGGACCATGGAGAAGTACAGCGCCAACGTGCGGCTGATCCTGGTGGCCAACAGCACGGCGGGCATCATCGCGCCGATCCGCAGTCGGACGCTGCTCGTGCGGGTGGCGGCGCCCACGGAGGCGGAAATCTGCGACGCCCTGATCAAGGCCGGCAAGAAGGAGAACTGGAAGGTGGTACCGGCGCTCAACGAGCGGATCGCGCGCGAGTCGGGCCGCAACCTGCGCAAGGCGCTGCTCATGTTCGAGGCCGTCTACGCCCAGCACCCGGAGCCGAGCGACAAGACGGCCATCCCACCCCCCGACTGGGAGCTGCTGATCGAGCAGGTCGCGCGCGACATCGTCCGCGAGCGCACGCCGCAGATGATCCTCGCCACGCGCGCCAAGCTCTACGACCTCCTCACCCACTGCATCCCCGCCACCCTCATCCTCAAGACCCTGACCTGGAAACTCGTCGCCCAGCCCGAAGTCGCCGACGACCTCAAGGCCGAGGTTGTCAAGTGGGCCGCCTTTTACGAGCACCGCGTCCGCCTGGGCAGCAAGCCCATCTTCCACCTCGAGGCCTTTGTCGCAAAGTTTATGCGCGTTTTTGAGGGGTACCTCGTCGGGATGGACTTTTGAGGCCGGCGGACGTGGAAATGGAAATGGACATTTAAAAAGGGGAATTGCGCGCATGAGGGCGAGATCGAAGCGAGAAGCTGAGGGCAAGAGATACACGAGGCGGTTCGAGGTCATTGATCACAAAACTTCCTCCGACGCTCTCTATCTATCTCGATGTGTCCATACCTACCTACATACCGACGTGCATACCGCTACGGTGCGAGCAGGCTATACCTTGCCGTGGCAGGCAGGCAGGCAGGCAGGTGTATACTCGGGGAACTCGGTACCCTCTCCCCCTCCCCCTACCTCTCACAAAGAGGACGCCCCATACCTCTATGTATGTGTGATGACGGTACCAAACCAAAACGGAGTTTTTGAGATGGGTTCGTTCAAGCTCGGGCGCAAAGGAGCGGCGTTTTCCCTGGTACTTTTCCTGGGTGCTTTGTGGGGGTGTTTGGTCGTGGCTGTAGTTTCCGTTCATCCCGGAAGTCAAAAGAGAAGAAAAGGGGGTCCATGGAAGTCCAGGGCGGGTTGGAAGATACAACAGATATCTTAGATATCTGTACGAGGTATACAGAGGACACACATTCCCCAGGACGAGGTTTACCTTGGCAACAGGTACGGGACAGTCGCTAGAAAAACAAACAAGCAAAATAAATGGAGCGAGCTGGGCATTTCGGACATGATCAGACCCTGGACGCCCCAGTACCGAGTGGATATGTATGTCCATGTCCATGTCCATGTCCATGTCCATGTCCGGACGGGAACAGCTCAGACCGGGACTTATTACTTGCTATGAAATCCTGAAATGGTGAAAAGAGGTGTACTTTAAATTACACATATCTTGTTCCTACAACCTATCGTCACAGCAACAGCCACCATATAGCTATATCTACGTCTACACCATCATCATCGCATAATTAAATAAATATGTACCGAGCAGTAGATACCATTCAGGGGGGGTATATAAGACAAGTCTATACATCCACACACGTACCTAGTAGTAATTTATCCCATTCTACCTCATGGTTTGATATCATGTTCATACAAAGGTGAATGGGGATGGGCGAACGTCATGCTCTCTCTCTCTCTCTCTCTCTCTCTCGCTTTTACTGCATTTACCTGGCTAGGTACGAAGTACATGCATGGCTAAGCTGCCAGTTCGCAGTTACCGAGACTCGTCTCCATTGTGCTCTCGGACATGCTCATCCCCTTCATCGTCGTCGGCGTCGTGGTGTCCAGCTTCGTGGTTCTCGCCGCCGTCCTGGTCGGACTGCGGCTTGACAGACTCCTTCACCCCCTTGCGGCGTGCCACTTCCAACGCCTTCTCCGCCGCCCGACATTGCGCTTCCTCTTTGCAGGTCGCGCCTTTGAAGAAGGTGATCCTCTCCCCCTCACACATGACTTTACACCGCCAACTTCTCCTCCCCGAGCCGTCGTCGCCGTCGTCGTAGTCGATGGTCGGTTTCGACCCGGTCTTGTCGTTGGTCTTGGTCTTGATCGTCCTCTGCTGCGCCACAAGATCATACTTGCCCGCAAGTTGGGCGAAGAGCTCCTCGGGATGGTGCAAATCGATGTCCTTGTCCGTGGCGAGGCGGCGCACCAGCGCCATGTACCCCATCTTCTCGAGTACCGCTTCACAGGCCGTCAGGTCGCCCTGAGAATCGAGGAAGACGGCGGCGATGATTGACTCGACAATGTCCGAGTAGCATTTCGGGGCCCCGACGTGGAGGAGCTCGCTCCAGGGGAACGTCTTACCGATCGCAAAGCTCTCGAGAATCGAGGAGCGGACGTCCTCGTAGGCAGCCAACGTGGCTCGTCGCTGCAATGGCGCTGCAGGAGTGCCAGTCCGTCGAATGTGGTCGGGCAGGTACACCGTCTCGGTCTTCTCCACACTCACAAACTGTTCTGTGCCAACATCCATCTGCACATCAAATGTGTGGCGGGCAGTTGAAGTTTGGAGAGCGAAGAACGCCAACGTTGCATGGTTGACGAGGGCGTGGTGTCGCAGTGTCATCTCCCCAGGGTCAAGTTGGAGAGAACTGTGAAAAAGCTTCGCGTTCACAATCTGGTCGAGGATAGCGTCACCCAGGAACTCAAGTCGGTCGTACGACGAGAGAGCATCGCCTCCAAGGCTAGACTGAGTCAGGGCTTGTGCCAGGAGAGCATGGCACCCGAACGAGTAGCCGATCAAGGACTCGACCGACTGCAATGCCCCGGCTTTATGGCTCAAAGATGTTTTTGGAAGCTCGAATTTGGCAATATTCCCCAACAAGGGCTTCCATGAGATCTCTTCAATAAACAGCCTTAGTGCCGAAAGGACCTTTGCATCCTTGTCTCCTGGCTCAACGCCGGAAAGACTTGCAGCTCCGATTAACGCTTCAACCACGTCTGCCAATGTTTTGGACGACACCCGACTCTCAGGCAGCTTTTGGGCCTGTACCTGCGGATCGCTGACGCCAATCGACCACTGCCTGCCGGCGAATGGCTTCCGGGTGATATATTGATCCAGTCCCAGGGCGCGGGTTGTTCTTTGCAGCCGCGCATTATTGATGATCCTGGTCCGGTATAGAGTAAGGTAGCTCTCTGGGTGGTTTGGGTGATCGACAAAAACTTGGAGTGAAGAGTAGAACTTGAGTAAGGCGTCACCAAGGAACTCGAGGCGCTGATAGTTTCGACTCCCCGCGGCTGGAGTCGTGATTGCTTCAGACACGAGATCAATGCTGTCAAAGCCAAGGCTAATCAACGGTCCCTTACAGGCTTCCACCGTCCGCAGAGCAACTTCGAGCATGTGCGTGATCGATGGTATGAACAGCATGAGCCGACCGTACTCCACAGATAATCCCAAAATAGAACATTCATCCACTGGTAAGAGTTTGCGCGTAGCAGAGCATGTTACTGGATCATCTCGTGTGGGTATCAGATAGTCCAGCCTCCGGGGAAGTTTGGTTCCGACGATTGTGGTAATGCCGTCCACTGTCTCAAGCTGCGGTGCATATCGGCCGACGCTGTCCTGTCGTGTGTCGAGCTGCCAGACGTAAGGAACCTCACGCTTACGCTGCACAAGATATTGTTTGTGGAAGTCAGAACCCGTCTCGAGAAAGTCTGTCAATGCTGTGGTGCGAGACACCCTCTGATACCACTCTCGAATCGATGGTAAGTCCAGGTCGGGAACGAGAAGGAACGGCAGTTGTTGCTTGTCGAGACCACGTAGTCTTCTTCCAAGGATGGTATCCAGGAAAAGATAAGTTATGTCCCGGCCCAGGTCTGTGGGGAAATCGTGTGCCTCCTGTCCGGCACTCACACTCACTTGTATCCTGCTGGATGGCGCCGTAAAAAGGGGGAAAGATAGTCTGGGGAGTTGCTGGGGGAGTAGTAGAAGCATGGCAGGATAGTCGCAATCCACAGCCTCAACCTGTAGACGGTGGGTATAAACTCGGCCTGTGGTCGCCCATTGTTTCATAAGTGTTGGCCAGGGGTCACGTTGGTTCTGTACGTCGTATTCGCGGTCTCGTTTTTCGATTGAACCGTCGGGGTCTTCTTTCTTGGGCCATTCTGGAGGCAACAGATACTCCGTCACCACTCCGGCGTGGTAGAGCGCCAGATAAGCCTGGAAGGCCGCGTCTTGCTTGGCCTTTCTTTCTGTTCGCCAGGTAAACTTTGACTCTGCCTGGCGCAAGCTCGGAGGAAGAGTATCTGGCAAGACTACTTTCGCCACCAACTCGACGCCAGGCTCGCCCTCAAGGTAGAATATCGGACTTGATTGCTCGCACTCGTCGGTCCGGGGTAGCTTGGCGCAGAATCGACTCAGGAGTTGTCTTGCTCCGCTGTATGTCAATGTGGCACTATGTTCGTGAGTAGACTGGCCTCAAAAAGGGTGCTAATTCCCATGGGAGGGGATGAACGCCGTCTTATAACTTACCCTGTAGACGCAACCCTAAAGATCTCCGACTCGGATTCATCCATGCTCTCGATACGCTGCCGCTCTTCGAACTCCCGAAGAGTATTCTGACATTCCTGCTCCATTTCTTTCTCCAGGGCCTGCCATTTTTGCACCTTGACAGCGTCGTCTTGGAGGATGACGAATCTTGAATTGCTCTGCCGGGCCCTGCCACGGCTTTGGACGAAACTTCGAAAGGTCGGTCGTTCATCGAAACATATCACAAGGTTCATCGCGGGCACATCGACACCTTCTTCAAGCACCGCAGTTGCCACACAGATATTGAGCTGGCCTCTTCGGAATCTCTCGAGGTTGTCAAGCTGAAGGCTTAGGTTTGTAAAATCAAATGTTCCCTTATACGATGGATTGCTCAGTCCGACAAAGGAAAATGCTTTATAGAAGCCTTTTGTGAGTGCGTGATTGTTGAGAATCTCAGTGAGACACCAAGCTGCATGCCTTTCTTTCACAAATACAAGACATCTAAGGTCTGCGCAATGCTTCATTTGGAGGAAGTCGAGGAGAACTCGGACCTTTGGTGAAATGCTGTCTTCCGTAGACATGGTCAAGCTCCCCGACAGTATCTGCTCATGAAGAGGCCGAAGGCAGGATTTGATGAACCGGTGGTTATGAGAAGGAGATGAATTGGAGATTGGACGGTCAATCGTGTGCAACTCTTTCATCTCCACCTTCTCAACGCAATTCTTGATGAACATGTCACACGCCCAGTTTCCCAGAGTCTCTTGTATGCCTGTGCTCGACCGTTGAAATGTCTGTAGTTCTTTCATGGCCGGCGTACAATTCCTGCTGAAGATCTTCTCGAGCTTGGTCTGCGCTTCGAGATCATTTCTTCTGCTGCGGAGAGTCTCGACAATCGGGTCATCATCCAAACGGATGGCAGAGACAACGCTGTGTAACGCCAGATAGTATTCGGAAGGACGTTGCTCAGCGGTACCATATGTCAATCTTATCAGTTCTGGCATGGTCAAGAAGGCTGTGTATTCGTCCAGCTGCTGCAACGGACTTCTGCAAACGGCATTGAGATTCCTCTCCAAAATATCTTTCTCCTGCATTCTGCTCCTCG